TTCAATTTTCAGGCATTTTTGCGATTTTTGCAATTTTCAGGAATTTTTGCGATTTCTGCAATTTTCAGGCATTTTTGCGATTTTTTCAATTTTCAGGCATTTTTGCGATTTTTTCAATTTTCAGGAATTTTTGCGATTTTAGCAATTTTCAGGCATTCCTGCGATTTTTGCAATTTTCAGGCATTTTTGCGATTTTTGCAATTTTCAGGAATTTTTGCGATTTTTTCAATTTTCAGGCATTTTTGCGATTTTTTCAATTTTCAGGAATTTTTGCGATTTTTGCAATTTTCAGGAATTTTTGCAATTTTCAGGCATTTTTGCGATTTTTGCAATTTTCAGGAATTTTCGCGATTTTTGCAATTTTCAGGCATTTTTGCGATTTTTGCAATTCTCAGGCATTTTTGCGATTTTTTCAATTTTCAAGCATTTTTGCGGTTTTTTTCAATTTTCAGGCATTTAGGAATTTTTGCGATTTTTGCAATTTTCAGGAATTTTTGCAATTTTCAGGCATTTTTGCGATTTTTGCAATTTTCAGGAATTTTCGCGATTTTTGCAATTTTCAGGCATTTTTGCGATTTTTGCAATTCTCAGGCATTTTTGCGATTTTTTCAATTTTCAAGCATTTTTGCGGTTTTTTTCAATTTTCAGGCATTTTTGCGATTTTTTCAATTTTCAGGAATTTTTGCGATTTTTGCAATTTTCAGGAAGTTTTGCGAATTGCAATTTTCAGGAATTTTTGCGATTTTTGCAATTTTCTGGAATTTTTGCGAATTTTGCAATTTTCATGAATTTTTGCGAACTTTGCAATTTTCAGGAATTTTTGCGATTTTTTCAATTTTCAGGAATTTTTGCAATTTTCAGGCATTTTTGCGATTTTTGCAATTTTCAAGTTTTTGCGATTTTTGCAATTTTCAGGCATTTTTGCGATTTTTGCAATTTTTTGCAATATTCAGGAATTTTTGCGATTTTTGCAATTTTCAGGAATTTTTGCAATTTTCAGTCATTTTTGCGATTTTTGCAATTTTCAAGCATTTTTGCGGTTTTTTTCAATTTTCAGGCATTTTTGCGATTTTTTCAATTTTCAGGAATTTTTGCGATTTTTTCAATTTTCAAGCATTTTTGCGGTTTTTTCAATTTTCAGGCATTTAGGAATTTTTGCAATTTTCAGGAATTTTTGCAATTTTCAGGCATTTTTGCGATTTTTGCAATTTTCAGGAATTTTCGCGATTTTTGCAATTTTCAGGCATTTTTGCGATTTTTGCAATTTTCAGGCATTTTTGCGATTTTTTCAATTTTCAAGCATTTTTGCGATTTTTTCAATTTTCAGGCATTTTTGCGATTTTTTCAATTTTCAGGAATTTTTGCGATTTTTGCAATTTTCAGGCATTTTTGCGATTTTTGCAATTTTCAGGAATTTTTGCGATTTTTGCAATTTTCAGGAATTTTTGCGATTTTTGCAATTTTCTGGCATTTTTGCGATTTTTTTCAATTTTCAGTAATTTTTGCGATTTTTTTCAATTTTCAGGAATTTTTGCGATTTTTGCAATTTTCAGGCATTTTTGCGATTTTTGTAATTTTCAGGAATTTTTGCGATTTTTTCAATTTTCAGGAATTTTTGCGATTTTTGCAATTTTCAGGAATTTTTGCGATTTTATTTTCATGATTATTTGCGATTGCGAAAATTGCAAAAATCGCAAAAAATTCCTGAAAATTGAAAAAAATCGCAAAAATTACTGAAAATTGCAAAAATCGCAAAAATTACTGAAAATAACAAAAATCGCAAAAAATCATGAAAATTGCAAAAATCGCAAAAATGCCTGAAAATTGCAAAAATCGCAAAAATTCCTGAAAATTGAAAAAATCGCAAAAATTCCTGAAAATTGCAAAAATGCCTGAAAATTGCAAAAATCGCAAAAATTCCTGAAAATTGAAAAAAATCGCAAAAATTCCTGAAAATTGCAAAAATCGCAAAAATGACTGAAAATTGCAAAAATCGCAAAAATTCCTGAAAATTGAAAAAATCGCAAAAATGCCTGAAAATTGCAAAAATTGCAAAAATTCCTGAAAATTGAAAAAATCGCAAAAATGCCTGAAAATTGCAAAAATCGCAAAAATGCCTGAAAATTGCAAAAATCGCAAAAATTACTGAAAATTGAAAAAATCGCAAAAATTCCTGAAAATTGCAAAAATCGCAAAAATGCCTGAAAATTGCAAAAATCGCAAAAATGCCTGAAAATTGCAAAAATCGCAAAAATTCCTGAAAATTGAAAAAATCGCAAAAATTCCTGAAAATCGCAAAAATCGCAAAAATGCCTGAAAATTGCAAAAATCGCAAAAATTCCTGAAAATTGCAAAAATCGCATAAATGCCTGAAAATTGCAAAAATCGCAAAAAATCATGAAAATTGCTAAAATTGCAAAAATTCCTGAAAATTGCAAAAATCGCAAAAATGCCTGAAAATTGCAAAAATCGCAAAAATTCCTGAAAATTGAAAAAATCGCAAAAATTCCTGAAAATTGAAAAAATCGCAAAAATGCCTGAAAATTGCAAAAATCGCGAAAATTCCTGAAAATTGAAAAAATCGCAAAAATGCCTGAAAATTGCAAAATTCGCAAAAATTTATGAAAATTGCTAAAATCGCAAAAATGCCTGAAAATTGCAAAATTCGCAATGCTTGAAAATTGCAAAAATCGCAAAAAAGCCTGGAAATTGCAACAATTCCCGAAAATTGCAAAAATTCCTGAAAATTCCTGAAAATTGCAAAAATCGCAAAAATTCCTGAAAATTCCTGAAAATTGTAAATATCGCAAAAATGCCTGAAAATTAGAAAAATTTCTGAAAATTGCAAAAATCGCAAAAATTCCTGAAAATTGCAAAATTCCTGAAAATTACCGAAAATTGCAAAAATCTCAAAAATACCTGAAAATTGCAAAAATTGCAAAAGTTCATGAAAATTGCAAAAATCGCAAAAATGCCTGAAAATTGCAAAAATCGCAAAAATGACTGAAAATTGCAAAAATCGCAAAAATTCATGAAAATTGCACACTCCCCAAAAAGGTATTCCATATCGTAATTGGGAATCTATTAGTGAATAATATACCATCCTGGCAGTAAAGAATCCTAATTCCCTAGAAATCACTTTCACTACATAACATTCAGAAGAAATCTTACCAGTGAGTAGCTTGACGTGGTTACCAAATTTCAGATTCTTGTCGATGAACAATCCCAGAAATTCAGTATCATTTCTACTCTCAATAAAATTATCACCAAATGTGAGTTCATCAAGGGAATATCTGAATGATGTTATATTAGTTTTAGATATATTGAACGACAGAATATTGGCGTCACACCAATCTTTCACCTTTTCCAAATCAGATGATATCATTTGATGCAGATCTCGTGGATTCCTACTGTTCCATGATATAAAAGTATCATCTGCGAATAGATTGAACTTTCCAGTTATATCAATTCGTGAGGAGGTTGATATACAATACAAAAACTAAAGGTCCCAACACAGATCCGTGTGGAACACCATAATCAATATTTCTCTTTTTGGATAGTACTGTCGTTTTAACCACTTGATTTCTTCCTGATTAATATGATTCGAACCATATGTATATCATTCCCCTGCATTCATACTGAAGATGCTTTCTCAGCAGTATTCCATGATCAACACAGTCGAATGCTCTTGATATGTCAAAAAACACAGCCCCGGAAATCTCACCTACATTTAAATATTTAATATACGGTGGGAGCGCGACACGTACGTAGAACCGGTTCGGAGTGTCCGACATGTATGTGAAATTGGGAGTCCGGAGTGAATGTGCAATTGCCTCGAGCATTCCGGTATGTAACTGAATTTACATGTACGTACAGTCATGTCGAAAACAACATGTATGTACGCGAAATGTGACTAATAGGGAAGGCAAGTATGTAAAATTGACCAGGTACATCAACAAGTAGGGGGTTATTGTTTATATTTTATTCAAAAGCTATCTCAGTCAATATTGGTCTTAAAGAAACGTTCAAATGGGCGAAAATCAAGTATTTTTATGGGCATTCAGAATCAAGTACTAGAAAGGGCAAAAAACGATCGTGAACCTAAAATTTTTTCATACACTGGTATTTTTTAAATGGAACACCCTGTATTTTACTCTCCTAATCGGTAAAGCTCTGAAAATATAGATTTTGTCTTTTGAACCTAAGGCAGCTGTAGAACGCCAGACGACAATGCTGTGATTCCTACCTTAAATCTACATTTTTCGAAACTGAGAAAGATAACCTCAATGAAGTATATACAGGATGTATCTAAATAACACTAAACAAATTCAAGGAGTGTTTCCTTGTGACATTCTTGCAAATAAAGTTTAAATAAACATGTGTCCTAACTTGCTCCGTTTTTGATAATTTCAGATCGTTATTTATCATAGTTTCTAAAATTAGAGGATTTTTGTTTTCATATAGAAGCACTGTATCGTCTGCATACACATATTGTATAATTACTCGCTAAACCAATTTTCGTGATATTTTCAATATAAAGCAGATTCAGTATTGGTCCTAAAACAGACCCTTGTGGAACACCCTTATTCATTGACAGTTTATGAGACTCAGAATTAGCAGATTCGGTACTGATTGTCCTATTTTCAAGATATGAAGCTAAAATATTTCTCATTATGCCTCCGAGTCCCTGTATCAAAAGCCTTTTTCGGATCAATGAAAACAGCTACTATGTAATTTCCTTTATCAATAAATTCCTCTTTGAATAGCTTCTATCACTTGTTTATTCTCAATTTGAAACTGTTTATTCTGAAATTGAAAATGATTATTCCCAATATGATTGCGTCTATTCCCATTTTGAACTTGTTTACCTATCATTTGGATGTGTTAAATTCCAATTAAAAGAAATCGATAAGTTTCAATTTGAACTTGAAAAGGTATAGTGTATGTAAAATTCTGGATATCGTTTGAACGTGTTCGCAGGATGGAGGAAAACCTTCAAAATGACGTCGGCCCTGTTCGCCGTTTCGGCCTTTTGCGCGATCCTCTTCAGGCCGGTGCGGCCCAGCTACGCGCAGAAAATCCGGTACAGCACCGTCGCTTCCGGTAAATTCTTCGCCACCTACCCCAACCGAATGTACCCGACCTTGTCCGAGGTGACCGAGGTGCCAACGATCACTCTGCTCCAGCCACGGAAGCTGGCCAAATCGAGCGAGGTTATGATCATGTCGTATCCCTCTTCAAGCGTCAAGTGTAAATTCAAAGAGGTATATGTTTATGACAGGGAACAGAGAAAGGAATTCATTATATTATGTTTGGGCTGCGGGATTTTTTGATATTATGCCTGTTCTAGGAAAATACTCATGGACAAATGATGTCATCAAATACGTATTTTTTCTTCGATCATGCAAAATAGTTACTTATTATTTCTGGTGTTGAGTTAGCGGGAATTCGGTCGAAATGTTGAAGAAAACCAATTGTTAAATTGTCGACGTATCGAAACTTTATTGTTTCATCTTCAGGACACTGAAGTAGAAAAACAAGAACATACATATTAAAATGATAATTTAAAATGAGGGGTTTTGATACTCTTCAATAAAATTTGGAATAAAAATAAATTTAATTCGATCGTTGAAAAACTGTATGCAACATGTGCAAAAAGCATATTTGTTGAACTCGGTTGAACTTAGTTGCACGCGTAGGTAAATCTTTTTAGAAACTACAAGACTGCTATCAAATTTTCTATGTTCATAATATTACATGTTTAATTTTCGAGAACAGTTCTTGATATAATATAGAAGCCAGAACTGCCAGAAGGCCCTTTCTTGCTCTGAAATTTCCAACTATATATATTATTTATGTTTCTTCTTATAATTCGAATAGCTCTTGAATCTCTTTGAGTTTAGCTTATTCCGATAGTGCACCACCCCGTATACTAGACAAGATGATTCAGTAGCACCATTATCTATGTGCGTTGGACCCGCATATCATCATAATACTTGGAAATGATTAATTCAAAACGCCTCAAATCAACAATACAAGGTTAAACCACTGAAAAATTCCGGAAAATAATCAGCTGGAAATACTTCCCATAAGAAGAAAGTGTGTACTGATAAGTTCTATACTTTGATCAATGATTCATATTATTTGTTCGATAGTTCAATATTCGTAAATAACTCGGTGAAGTACAGGGTGACTATTCATTTAAAGCCATAAAAATTCTTATTCCTCTTCCAAAATAGTTATTTTCCTCCAAATGACGTTGAAAGTGGATTTTTAATGACATGCAATCCTCTATTTTGAGTCGAATATCTCGAAAACTGTATATTTCAGCTCAGTTGAAGGTGATGTATTTATTAGACAAAATTGAACAATGAATTCGAGGAATTAGAGATAATCGCAATTTAATCAGTGGCATAGAAAATATGGGAGGAAAAGTTGCGACAACACTGGATAAAATGTCCGGAATGGCTTCCTGGTCAAAAAATGACCCATTCAAAGATGAAACCCTGTACCGAAGTTGAATGCCTCATATTCAATTTTTCTAGAGATATTGCGAAAAAACTTTTTATTTCTCAACTCTTTAACGCCCTGTATCTCGAGAACTGAACACTTGAAAACCGTATGTCCATATCTCAGTGATTATGAAATCAGGAGGGCTATCACCTGTCAAGCGTTGTCGGTCGAATTTCGCAACACCCTGTATATCTGAGAATATTCCTTTTCAAAAAAATCCTATAATTATAGTGTATCCAACTCGAACCACCATCTAGTTATTCAACTGCTAGTTTTTAGGACGACATTCAGGAAGGTTCGACCAGATCTCTGGAGACCTGCATCGAAGGCAAAGCCACCGAAATCGTCACCACCTCGTTGTTCCTCTCCAAAAAGAAGCGCCGAAAAATCTCCTTGCACGAAACCCAAACCATGCTGGGCAGCAACATGAGGCCGATGTATCGTGACGACATCTTCTACAATAGCTCATTCAACGTCCTCCAGAAATACAGGAAAACGACGCAGGCCTCTAACCGACGCTCGGATTTTTCCGTTAGTACCGAATGATTCACCTTAACTGTCCCCCCCCCCCCTCTAGCTCAGTTATTTTTGAACCGTTCCAGTGGATACTACTAGAGTTCCTAAATGTACTTGACACTGCTGTTTTGACGTTTTCTGTATATTAGAGTACGGACACTATGGGTTGCGTGCAAGAACTGTCAGATGACCGACGCTGGAGGCAAAACATTGAAACACAACGTCACTTTTCTTATTTGTTTACAAGTGATCGAAATAGTTTACCACAATTATTTTGGCATATGAATCGTATTTTTCCGCTATTCATCAATTCACTCACATATAGTTTTCATTTTTGAAATTTGGTAATTTCTCTGATTTCTCATCGGAATTCTTTCTGCGAAGAAGAAAATTGTATTCATTCAATCAATCGGGAGGACAGGTCTGACATGCTGACGATCGTGTGTGTTGTAGACATTTTCAATTTATTAGCAGTATTAGCTTGTACTGCAGAAGTGGCAGAAGGCAGAAGGAATTTTAATAACGAATGACAACATTTCATAATGATAACTATGTGAGATTACTATTCACCTGAAAAATCATATTCTCTAGTCTCTTGCTGCATTTTTTGTGCATTGTACAACAGCACAATGCGAAGGCATGCTTGAATTAATGAATAACGCAAGAAACACGATTCGTATGCCAAAATATTGTGAAAAACTATTTCAACCTTTTGACTCCTCTGTAAACAAATAAAAAAGTGAGGTTGTGTTTCAATAATTCACAGAAGAGTGAGGTTGTGTTTCAATATTTTGCCTCCAGGGTCGGTCATCGTGCACGCGACGTATACAAGCAGTGACAATCAAACATAACCACAAAAAACATAACCAAAACGTCAAAACAGCAGTGTCAAGCACATTTAGGAACTCTAGATACTACTATACCGCGAAACCCCGCGGTTGCGGGGGGCCCGTTCCTCGGAGGGGGCCCTGGGTCCACCAACCAGAGCAAGGACTCAGCCAAATTGGTTGATACATGAATATTTTTCAATTATGAATATGCCACAGAAAAAATGTCTCCATTTCTGCGAATAGTGCAGGCATCTTTTTGTCAGTGTAGGTCCAGGGTGATGGAATCAAGGATACGAGCCATTATTTTAAATGGAGAACTTGCATAAAACTAGTGGTGCTTTAAAAAGAAGAAGGAAACAAAAGTTAGAAGATGAGAAGTGTAAAATTTCCAAGATTACCACGTTCTTCACGAATACTACTACTGTTTCGGATAATACAGTTGAATATTATGATGAATGTACATCAAGTAGTAGCAGTATGATGATTGAAACAGGAATGGATGGAATGGAAGAGAAACTATTATTTCAGATTTTTTTTTCTCGTTTCTATAAAATAAAAGTTTGACATTATTTCAACATACGTGTAGTAAGGACAAATCAGATGATTTGCCTCAAAATGTCACTGCGTTTAAAGAATTTTTTTATCAGAGAGCCTATAAGAAAAAATTACTAGCTTGTCAGTGACAATTATTTGTATTGAAAAAAGTTTGGAGAAGAGAAATAAAGGTATATAAAAAAAATACCAAATTTTTACTTAGCAAATGACGAGAAAATATGAATTTACGCCATTGAACCGTTCCCAAAATTTGAAGAATCATTTCAAATGTTTTCTGATGATTTTTTTTTTCGCTACATCAGAAAATACAGGGTGCTCGGAACAAACGATCTACAGGGTACTACTTGATTTTTTTGAATGGAACACCCTGTATTGCATTGCATTTTTAGATTCTCGCTGAAGAGGTGATTTCATAAATATATAACACTTGGGGTCTAGCGGTAATAATTCTTCAAATTTTTGGATCGGTTAGAAAATAACTGAGCTAGAGGGGAGGGGGACATTTATGGTGAATCACCCTGTACATTAAAATGTAAATCATGATTCATCGATTGAAAGAGGTTTGGACGGATTGCATCCCTCAGTGGTCTTTCCCATTTCATAATCATATCATTCACAGGGCGATTCAGAAAAGAAAAGACATATTTGAACCTTTATTGTTATCCTATGATTCACAAAGTTGAGTAATCATCATAACAAGTTTCACTCCATAATATTCTCATTTACTTACAAAAAAATCGAACATTCCAAATGTAACTATAATCTTTTCACGACAAAAATAAATACAGTGACCTTCGAATACTTTCAATGACCAACAGAGTCTTCCAAAGACGTTCGATGACTTCCGAATACTTCTTGATGACTTCAAAATATTCTCAAAGAAGCACAGGAGCCTCCAAAAGCTTCTAATGACTTCCAAAACAGCATTTTGAAAGTGTCAAATCACTCTCAAGATCTCTGCAAATATATTCAATTGACTGCCAGACTCTACTCACGACAACTATAATGACTTCGAAATACTTTCAATGACTACCAGTCTAATGTCTAAATGACTTCCAATGACTACCAGTGTCTTCCAAATACCACCTAATGACTTCCAAATACTTCCTGTTTACTCTCAGAGATTCTCAATTACTTCAAAAATTTTCCAAAGAAGCCCAGAGGCTTCTAATGACATTCAGACTGGAAGGTGTCAAAGCACTTTCAAATACACTCAATGATTTCTAAATACTTTGACTGCCAGATTCTACATAGGATAACCAATGAGCCAATGACTTCAAAATATTTTTGATGACTACCAGTCTAATGTCTAAATGACTTCCAAGGACCTCCAATAACTACCCGCCCGATGACTCCCGAATACCTCCTAATGCCTTTCGAATACTTCCTGATAACTTTCAAATATTTACAATGACATCCAAAATCTTTCAATGAAGCACAGTGGCCTCCAAAGGTTTCTAATGACTTTCAAACTAGTCTTTGAATGGTGTCAGCGCACTTCCAAATACATTCAATAACTTCTAAATTCTCCTAATGACTGCCAGATTCAACTCAAGATAACTAATGACTTCAAAATACTTTCAAAGACTACCAGTCCAATGTTTAAATGACTTCCAATGACTTCCAGAGTCTTTCAAATTCGTCCAGTTTCATTCAAAGGCTACCTTTAATACTTCAAGATGCTTCAAATGGCCCATAATCACCATCAATGACTACCAGGGTGTTACAGAGACGTCCAATGCCTTTCAGATAACAATGTTTGCCTAGATTCTTCTTAAAATACAATCAATGACTTCCAAAATGTACAATTACTTCCAATGATTTGAAATACCATCAAAGACTTCAAAATGACTTCCAAAGAAGCCCAATGAGATCCGAAAGTATACTAGAAAGAGAAACAACTTGAAGAATCAGTAGAGATCGAATTGAAACTGTTCATTGTCTTTCAGAAATCCAACATGGATTACCACTTGTCGGTCATCAGAGTGGAAACTTCTTGGGTTTTCAACAAAGACGAACGTTGCTTAGTGTGCACGGAAGCAGTCAAAAGGACGCTGGCCACCATGTTGGACTACAAACTGCTCAAATCGCCCACCTTTCTACTCATAGCCTGCCACGCCTCCTTCCTGTGTTTCGGCTATTCCACGACGTTCATCTTCATTAAGGATCGGGCAGAACAGATGGGCGTCTCGAAAGGTGTCAGCTCCTGGTTGATTTCTGTTTTAGGTGGGATAATATTTGTAAAAACTTCACAAACGATAAGATCTCCACACATTATATTTGTTTAGTACTTTACTTGTATGATCCTGTATAACAGTTGCTATTGGTAGGGGTCCCTTGATGCAAATTGACGTATTTGTCATCTAACAGGGTACGGACAGATCATAGCTCCTTTCTCTTTTAATCATCTAGTGACTTTGGTTTCGTGTATTGGCGTCCCTGACATGACATTGCTGTCACGTCACATTCATAAGCGTTAAAAGAGATCTTACAAAATTCTGTTTTGGAAGGATGGTAAAATGTGCTGCGTTAGGCTGTATCAATCAGTTGGATGGCAAATTTGAATTTGTCAGCTTTCCATCAAATGCAAATGAACTTAGAACATGGAAAGTGAAGTGACCGAATGGGGAAAATTGGTAAATACATCAGCAAAATATTTGAGGTAAAACTAATACGAAATCACATATTATACTTTCTCATTGTACCTATAATTATCCACTCCACAAGTTTTCGAATGCATTTTAGTAGAAACAGTTTTGATGAAAACGGAGGATTAAAAGAAGATGCATATATTATGTCCTACCATTTAAAAAATTATACCTACATTCAGGAAATATTGAGTGGTCGTGAAAAACTGCAAAAATGGTTCCCAACATGAATATCTACAGCACACATGACATATTATATTAGTTTGAATACCTACATAAAATTTTTCACCATTTCTCAACCATAAGGCTCAGTCTGAAATCAAAATTCATTTATTGATAGGTACTGCCTAAGAATTCTTACAGTCCCATTTGATAAAACGTATTAACTTTTCAGAAAAATTTACTCACTGCCTCACAAAGATTATGTTGGAGTTGAAAAATCAAAAATTCGAAAATTTTCATCATCATTTGGATATAATATGTAGAGTTGAATGAGAAATGACATATGGAAATCACGTATGATACGCCAATGTCCTCAATATAACCTAAAAAACAACAAATGTCAGAAATCTAGTGTTTATCCCCAGAAATGAATAAAGATGGAACTATAAAACTGTTTCACAAACACTTTAGAGTGAGAGGAGACGAGGATCTGTCCGTACCCTGTTAAGATGACAAATACATCAATTTACATCAAGGGACCCTAGTATTGCCGAGGGTAATACACTATACAGGATGATGTAAATATTTCAAGGACATATGGTTGAGATGAAAATTATACTTTTTTTCTGTGACGGGAAAAAAGTTTGGCATTTCATCTCTGTTGGCAGGTTATAAAATGTCACTTTTCATAAATTACTTTTTTCCGTGGGAAAAAAGTGGGTACTTTTTTCCCGGATATATATCACGGTCCATGGTACGTTAGACGTTTACGGAGAACGGGACATAGGATCATTCTGAAATATTGGTTACTCACGTAGTTGCTCTTAGTCTATCGATCTAAAATATTTTCAGCTCTGCGGCGTTGCCGCTTCTATCGAAAAGTAGCAACAACTTTGTTATTTTAAATGGAACACCTGTATTTTATTGCATTTTCAGATTCTCTCTGAAGAGCTGATTTCATCGATGTATCACACTTGGGGTCTAGCGGAAATGATTACAGAGATATAGGGTGTGAAAAATCGACATTTTTCAACTTTAGGAATATTTTTTGTCGAAACTATTCATTATTGGTCAAAACGGCGCACATGTCACTATCTCAACTTTTGATCAACTATCTACTGACATTTAATTGAAACAAATACAGGATGGTGCAGAATTCAGAATCTTGATCACCCGGTATATGTCCCAATTAAATATCAGTAGATAGTCAATCAAAAGTTGAGATAGGGACATGTAAGCCGTTTTGACCAATAATGAATAATTTCGACAAAAAAAAATCCTAAAGTTGAAAAATGTCGATTTTTCACACCCTATATCTCTGTAATCATTTCCGCTAGACCCCAAATGAGATACATCGATGTATTCAGCTCTTCAGAGAGAATCTGAAAATGCAATTAAATACAGGGTGTTCTATTTAAAATAACAAAGTTGTTGCTACTTTTCGATAGAAGCGGCAACGCCGCAGAGCTGAAAATATTTTAGATCGATAGACCAAGAGCAACTACGTGAGTAACCAAAATTTCAGAATGATCCTATGTCCCGTTCTCCATAAACGTCTAACGTACCATCGACCGTGAGTTACCCTGTATACACTGTTGGTGGCTTTTGTTGTGCTGGAGATCCGAAAAATGAGTCAATAATACCGTCTCCGAGAAAGGACTGCAAGTCCTTTTATCTTCCATTCGACTTCGCGGTTACGTATTTTACTGAACAACCACTAAATTCGCATTTTTTTGAAATCAAATCACAGAAATACTAATTAGACTGACAGAAGTGACATCAGATATTTTATTACGTCAAAAGAATGATAAAGATGCCTACAACACAGGTGTCCCTACTGTTAAAAACTTAAAATTTCACGTCGATAATTTTCAGATTTCGAAGTAATGTAATATCTTCTCAATATTGATTCATCCTTTCTTCTGTCACAGAAAAAAATAGTGTATTATACACGGGAAAAATATTAGATTTTAGCTCACGGTTTTTTGTCTCCTTCCGCTACGCGTCGGAAGACAATACAACCTGGAGCTAAAATCTACAACTTTTTTTCCTTGTATAATAAATAACTATAGTCGTTCAAAGGAAAGAAATAAGAAATTCCGAAGCGTTCCATAGAGAAATAAGTAGTTGATTCGAATAGTTGAGTCAAATTTACTAATAGCAAATACGTTCAAGTCAAATACCGGCAAACAATCAATTCTTCACACAGGAATCGTTCTATACAACTCATTACCAAGTCAATTGAGGAATATACAGGAAGCAACTAGATTCAAAATTAACTTAAAAAAAATATCTGCTTCAGAGACTTTGATAATTCCATTTCTTATTTGAATACCTACTTATAAAAGACTAGCAGGTTTATGTATCCCTATTATAAACAACTATGTTTCTTGGGGAATAAAGACAATCAATCAATCAATTTACATGAATAATAGTTATTTATTATACAAGGGAAAAAAGTAGTAGATTTTAGCTCCAGGTTGTGTTGTCTCCCGACGCGTAGCGGAGGGAGACAAAAACCGTGAGCTAAAATCTAATATTTTTCCCGTGTATAATACACTATTTTTTTCTGTGACAGAAGGAAGGACGAATCAATATTGAGAAGATATTACATTATTTCGAAATCTGAAAATTATGGACGTGAAATTTCAAGTTTTTAACAGTAGGGACACCTGCGTTTTATAAGCATCTTCATCATTCTTTTGAAGTAATCAAATATCTGATGTCACTTCTGTCAGTTCAATTCTGTGATTTGATTTTAAAAAATTGCGAATTCAGTAGTTGTTTAGTAATATACGAAACCGCGAAGTCGAATGGAAGATAAAAGGACTTGCAGTTCTTTCTCGGAGACGGTATTATTGACTCATTTTTCGGAACTATAGCACAACAAAAGCCATCAACAGAGTATATATATGTGATATATATCCGGGAAAGAAGTACTCACTTTTTTCCCACGGGAAAAAAGTAATTTATGAAAAGTGACATTTTATAACCTGCCAACAGAGATGAAATGCCAAACTTTTTTCCCGTCACAGAAAAAATGTGTTTTAGGTGTTGCAAATACAATTGGAAGGATAAGTTATGGCCTGTTAGCGAATTGGCCAAAAATGGAGTACATTTGGTTGACTACAGTATGTTTGATCACAGGCGGAATAGCTACTATCCTATCGGCACATTTCACAGACGATTCCATGCAGATATTTTATGCTGCTGCTTTTGGTGGATTTGTAGGTAAACTAGGAAATATTTGGTGATTTGGTGGACAATATTTTGGACACTGCATGAATAATTTCGTTAGGAAAACAATGACTGGCATATTTCAAGTAACTGTTTGGCTATTATTGTTACAATAAATAAAATGAATGGGCTTGATGCCAGAAATATATTTCTGTCTTTTCCATCAATGACAATGTCAAAACTGTTTTCATATTATAAAAACCGAGTTTGGGATTCTTCTTTCCAGTAATAATTAATGTCGATTATTTTTCAAATAAGCATACATATACAATTTGAAATGCTCAACTTGCTGAACAAAATATAGCATAAAGTGAGTCATCCTTGACTGTTGATAAAATAACTATAACATTTGAAAATTCACAGTAGAAGGTACCATTCGGATTCAACAAAATTTTCAAGAACCTTGATAACACAATGTTTTCTTATCAACATATTATTTTTAGTTGCAAATAGGTACCTGTTATTGAAACATAATATGCTGATAAAATGGTAATGTACTGGAATGACAACTGATAAATATATTTATTTACAAGATAACTCGAATTGCAAGTCAACTTGTCACCAAAATGTATTGAGAAAACTTGATTCCTGAAGGAATTAATCATATGGCCCCAATTCTGATTTTCAGACAATGATGTATTCTCATGTCATTAATTTGTGGTAGTGGTAGTCGAGGTGGTAGTGGTATAGTTACATTGTCAAAATAATGTTTATAAATACATAAAATCATGTCTCTCTTTGTTACAATGAATACCAAAATTAATTGTTTTGACGTCAAAAACGAAAATGTCACATACATTAATAGCTCAGTAAAACGGTAACGATTAGGACCCAATCCGGGAAAAAATTCAAGTAGTATCGTTTTCTCTGTGGTTTTTTATGTTATTGGAGGTGCTGAATTCGAATCTGAATTTTGCAAACAAAATTTCCTGGAGCGGTCCAAAATATTAGCAAAAAACAGCGAAATTTTCGCACTTTTTTCGGTTTTTTGCCCGTAACTCGGAAATCATACATTATATCGAAAAGACCGTTCTATAAAAAGTTGAAGTAGATAAAATTTCCTAGATGGAATTATTCTTGCTCATTGACGTAGGACTGAAGGGTGCGGAAATAGAGCCAGTTGAAAATTGACCAAATTTGGGTACTTTTAAAAAAATAGCGTTTCTCGTCGGTTTTCGTAGATAATTCATATGATTGATTGTCTTTATTACCCCAAGAAACATTATTGTTTATAATAGGGATAATACAACAAAACATACATATTATAAAACATAATAAATCGAAACAATAATAATTGCACAAATATTGTTTTTCCTAAAAAAAAAAAAGAATTATAATAAAATATAAAATGAAAATATCATAATCCATTACAAGTAATCAAATTGTGAATGATTAGTACTATTAAAGTTTACTGAGCAGATATTTCTTTAATTTCATTTTAAATTTTTCTGCTTCTTCTATATTTTTCAACTCATTAGGTAAGGAGTTATACAAAATTATTCCATTATAGAATATTGATTGTTTACCAAAATTTGACTTATAATTATTTGCTATCAATAAATTGAATTGCCTTGTTTCATGGGCGTGAATCGTATTAACTTCATTAAAATTCAAATTCGATATTTTCAATTCCTTCCTGACAAAATGAATAAAACAACAAATTTTGAGTTTATATAATGAAACTAGATTCAGCAAGTCTTTAGGTTTGTATAGATTCGCAGTTGATTCTAAAAAAGGTAAATTGAAAATGCACTTTATTGTTTTATTTTGTAATTTCATGAGTGGCTTCAAACGTGAAATATTTGTACTTCCCCAAATAGATATTAGATATTGTATATTTGAATAAAAAAGACAGAAATAAATACTCTTTAGGTATTTAACAGGAATGAAATTTCGAATTTTATATATAATACCAGCAATAGGATTCAATTTTTTTCTCAATTGATCTATATGTAGAGTCCACGATAGTTGTTCATCTATATATAGACCTAAAAATTTTGTTACATTTTTATATTCAATGGATTTGTTATTGAAAAATATTGGGGTATTATTCAATATATCCGTTTTTCTTTTTGAGATGTACATATACGTAGATTTACTATAATTAAGAGTCAACTTATTGGTCACTAGCCAAGATGATATTTGTTTCAAATCATTTTTAATATCATTATTGATATCGTTGAAATCTTTTGAAGTGCAAATTATTGTTGTATCATCTGCAAATAATTTTAGTTTTCCTTTCAATTTTAAAGTAGATATTGAGTTGATATAGATTAAAAATAAAATTGGCCCCAGAACTGATCCTTGCGGTACACCACATGTAATATTCATCAAGGAACTACAAGTATTATTCACATCAACATACTGTTTCCTATTCTTCAAATAATTTTGGAACCAATCATGAATTTTGCCTCTGACACCTATTGATGATAATTTAGTCAATAAAATATTATGATTTACAGTGTCAAAGGCCTTACAGAGATCCAGAGACAGAATGCCGCATTTGTCATTGTCATCTATTCGTAACTGAATATCATTGTTGCCACACTCATGTTCATCCGTTCAACTTATATGATTTAGATCATATGAACCTATGCTTTTGGGTGTATGATAAATTGACATTCATCATACAGGGCGTGGAAAGAAATTCTGAATTGAGACTCTATCACGAATCTGCGATTAGAGGTCTATCAAAATCACAAGTTTCCATCGTTCAAGTTTGTACCCCCTGATTGGGTATGGAAGTGTTGAAAAGGAATATTCTCAGATGAATTATGGACATACAAAAATGGATATATATTTATATGAAGCAATACATTGAGAATTCGCATTCTCTATGTGATGAGAATATCTACTTTTTTTCAGTTTATTCAATAGAAAACAACTACTTTCCTGGCTATATGCCACGACGAACATTGAATTATATCTATTGAACACACACGATAAGAGTTTCAAAATAAAATATAAAAACTTCTGAAATTGAGAATTTGCATTCTCCTTCAGACAAAAATATGTATATGCACACATCATTCTGAATATTCAACAGAAAACAACTACTTTCCTGGCTATTTGCCACGTCGAACACTGAATTATATCTGATGAACATTCAAAAGGAGAACATGAAAAATAAAAAATAAAATCCTCCGATTTGAAGAAGAATGTCAATCCTCAACTAAAGCACTACCCTCTGAGCTATTACTCGTCGATTGACATACTCCAGCTTGCTCCTCTAATTTCGCTCATGACATTGATCCAAAACTACTCGCCTACGGCTCGTATTTTTGATAACAATGTCATCCACGAAATTACTAGGCAACAAGCTGTCGTAACAATCACCGAATATTTCCGGCAAAATAATATCACTTGTGGTATTACACATGAAAATACCATCTGATTGGACTATAAGGAACTCTCTAATAGTGATAATAATTGTTTTAGCAACATTTGATCATTTCCAGCTTGTATACCTGCCTTGAGGACCCTAATTATAGTGGACACTCTAGGCTTGGACAAGTTGACGAATTCTGTAGGACTGATGTTGATGTTTCAAGGTGTCACTTCCTTGATAGGCATCACAGCTGCTGGACTGCTACGAGAAGTGACTGGTGATTACAAATGGACTTTTTATTTTTCTGGAATTTGTATAATTTTGTCTGCACTGTGTTTCATACCTCTGAAGACTGTAGCAATTTGGGAACAAAATAAAAATGGTTTGAAGATTTAGTATAATCTATAGTGAGCTGGTGAAGATTTCAATAGAAGTTTCTCAATATAAACAATACAAAAAGGGTTTGGGTGAACTGGTTGCTATCAATTTTATCATATGATATTCATTTACGTTGGGTAACAAGGTGCACATTTGTTGATTAGTAATCTTTATGGGTGGGTAGGTACCTAGTTGAGATAAGTCAATCTTGTTTGCTACTTATAAATCAACTCAAATAGAATATCAAATCAATTTCATCAGATGCAAAAACTGGGGAAACGCCAATGAAACATACCTTTTATATACCTACCAATTCTCCTTGATATTTTCTTGGTACAATTTAAAAAGTACCGACCTGTCAGGACAGTCAGAGGATCAGAAGAATACTAAAACTCTCAAATATTTTAAAATCATAGTGATAAACCCAATAAGAATAACACATTTTTTCTGCAACCGACACAAAAGTCGTCCATTTTGATACCAAAATTAGCTCTCAAATTGACGTTTCTATTACTGACACAAAAATAGGTATGTTGCTAGGCAACATATTTAGTTCCTAGGAGCTAAAGTTGAATTTTAGTTCCTAGGAGCTAAAGTTGAACTTTAGCTCCTAGGAACTAAAAAGGCTCTACTGGATGTCATCAAGAATAAACAACATTGTGATGGTTGGTTATTTGGGTTGAGACGCATACCTGATTTGTTTCCGATTTCAGCAGATTTGGCATTTCATACCCATGCTGGAGATATAAATACACCTTATTATAGTTTAGAATTGGAATTATAAACATCTCAGTTAAGTATTTTTGTTTTGATCAGGGAAGCCTTCAAGATTCAAATAATTGCTTGATCTGTATTTCATTCGTTATTCTCGGGATGGATAACTTGTTTTTGAATAATCACGGCAAGCAATAGTTTTTTTGTCTCAAACAACGATATTGTTTAGCTTCATTTGATTATCAAGTCAAACACAGTGTAGTATGGAGAGGAATAAATAATCACTATTATCATTGTTGATATGCTCACTAACCTAACATTTTCAACGTCTTGTTCCTATAGCTGGCACTGACGCGGTATTTGCCATTAGAGCACCTGGTCCATACACAAATATGTCACTCTGTGGTTGTATTTATATTGAAACTACAATTCGAACATCCTAGAAAACCTAACCTGCTGTAAATGCAGGTAGAATATTCTCACCACATGGATTATTTGTCAATATTTGTTGCATTGCATACATATGGCACGGCATTGGTGGTTACTTCACATGTATATTTGAGTTAATTGTTTCGGTTGCAGAAAAAATAGCATGTTTCATTCGGATCAAAAGTGACTTTGTTCGACTCGCAAATTTTGCTTTCGATCGGCTTCGATAAACGCTCCGCCTCGCAAATGCAAAATTCGCTTGTCAAACAAAGTGTCACTTTTGATCCTAATAAAACAATCTACTATTCTTTTTATAACTCCTATCCTGAGTCATATCCTTGGTGTCATATCATTTTTGTTTTATTCGTCTGAGGGAATATCCGAGGGCATATCCCTTCTTCACAATTTATTTGTTGACCACATATTGGGGATTGGCATGATTGGGCCTCAGCCGCAGACTTCAGACTCATCAGAGAACCATATTGTCAGATAACAGTGATAACACTCCATAACAGATAACACAAACAAAACAAACTATTTACTATTTAGATTGACACCAGGTTATTCCCCTAATGCACAGGAAGATTAGAGCTAAGTCAGCTAGCCATAGCACCCCTACACGGAAAATATTGACAGGGGGGCTGGTTAAGATCGGGGGCTGTTTAAGAGGGTATAAAATGTAGTTAATAAAGTTAGGATGGACCATATCAGAAGAAATATCTCTCTGATCACAGGCATATTATATTGCTGGAGATAATATCACCTGTCCACAATGTCCACCAGAACAACACCTACAGAAATCCCAGGTTCTGCTATAATGCAATGAGATCAAGATAGACAGATTGAGATAGACATGGAAAGACAAATCGGTGTTTTTTTCATCCAATGAAGAGAAAAAAAAATCGTGATTATAGTTATAAGTTAGTAATAAAATGGTGATAAATAATTATGGTATTTCTGAAGTTTTCAAAATAATAAATTTCTAGCTATGGTTTTTCTAGGTGGACATAAGGCAAGCAGAGCCCTTTGTTTTTTCTGTTTTATGAAGGGTAATAAATTTGCCAATATGGTAATAAATTAGTAACAAATTATAGTACTATTGCAAATCTGGAATGTTCAAGTGGTTCTGCTAACTTTATTGGGGTGTGGTCCAAGTGAATTCAGGGCTCCAGAGAGCTCCTCCACTGATTCCAAAATCCAGATCCATATCCTTGGTCATATTATTGTCATATCCCTTCTTCACAATATATTAATCAACTATCAAATTATCAACCAGATAATTGGGCCTTAGAGAACCAATAAGGTTTGTTAATCTGTGACCAGATGCCAGATAACCACTATTTATTAGATTTACACCAGCCAGGTTATTCCCCTAATGCACAGGAAGATTAAAGCCTAGCCATAGCACCACTATGCAAGAAAAATTTGCCGGCGGCTAGTCAGAAGCATAATATGAAATTGTTTTGTAGTTTGTTTTGCCAGAAGCATGGTGGTCATTACATTAGAGTAGCTTAGAGTCACTGGAATCTGGATGGAATTAGTATCTAACTATAACTATACCAATATCATCTAGTGACTCTAGAGTAGCATTCCTTCCTCTGAATGAAAAGATGAGGGTTGGAATCATTACTGGAGCAAATCTTTCTTTTGTTTTTCAAAGTAATTAGGTAATCAAAGAAAATACTGTGGAGGCATTTACTGGTTAGGCCAATAGTGATCCACTATTTGAATGTTTTTTTTCTCTGGATATTTTCTGTAGCAGTGAGCCAGGCGCAATATTACCTTGCTATGGTGCTATGGCTAGCCTCTAGTCACAGGAAATGCTTTGTAAATAATTTAAACTCAAGTAGGTGAATGATAAAAGTGATGAGCCAGGCAATATACCAGCATAATCAAATAATCATATCAATTACCTTTGTTAGGATGCCATCAACACCAATGGGACTAGATGATGTGTTTGGGGACCTCTTTCTTCTATTGCCTGTGAATGGGATATTGTTTGTATCAGCATTGATTATCAAGGATTTCCTCTCGTCAAGTTCATCTTCATTTCCCAGCAATGTTTTTGTCTCTTTATCACTGTATGCCCCGGCGTGAGTCACTAGTATGTGAAAAGCTAGTGAAATTAATACAATTTTCAACATTTTTGCGAATTATTTGTGTCCCATTACAATCGGTATAATAAGTTCACGTAATAACAATATCAGACAGCTATTTCTGAAATTCTAGTTTCTACGATCTTCAATATCCAAATAACCAACATACACGTCGTACACAGTACACAAGCCAAAACACAAATGCCGTCGTAAACAAATAAAATACGAAAACAAAAGAAAACAAGTGACGTTCTGCGCATGACATTTGCAATGACGTATGTCATTTCCCACAATCAGCTGATGATGATCATTGTAGCCAACTTGATCACTAGTAGTACAAACAGGGTTGTCTTTAGCGCAGCTGGTCTTCAGAAGAAGTTGTACTCATTCTTTGTAACAGAAAAAACCTCGGATGGCCCATTTGAAAATTTCACAGTAAACTTTTACCCACAAAACTTTTACCAGATTTTGATTTCATTGGTCAGAGTTTAAGGTCAATTAGAATGAACCAATCAGAATCATGAAAATCATGGCATTTTTGACAGGTAGATGACTGTTGACTGATGACAGTGATGGATGAGGATGACTGATGTCAGTGATGATGGATAGGTTTGTTCGTTTGTGTTGCTCAACTTGCCAAAGTTGATTTTGTTTCCATAGTGGTCTCTGTTCCTAGAATGATGTAAACAGGGAAAGTCACAGAAAAAAATCAAGTTTAACAGGTGGAGCAAATACAAACGAACAGGCCTCATGAATGATTGACAGGTGGTTATTTATTTGAGTGTTTTTGTTGTTTTTTTTGATGTTTCGTATTATTATTCGTATTGTATTTTTCGTGAATTATGAAAATGATAGTCGTTGTCGTCCTCGGACTCTCGAACTGACCGATGAACTTATTTATGGACTTTGACACAAAGGTTTGAGAAAATCAAAGGACAAAGGTGTTCCAAAAATGATTGGATATCTGGCTTGATATCGCTCTTGTCAAGATCATCAGAAAAAGGTGCGTTGGTGGAGTGCAGTTTATATTTAGTTGTTTCAAATATATTCCAGTCGTTCCTCAAAATTAATTAATGATTAGAACATTTAGGTCAATAGAATTTGTTAATCACAATTGAAGATGGCGTCAGAAAATGTATTGCTAAAGAACAGATCCTCTGATGTGAAAGTGCAAATAGTTTCTACTCAAGTCAAGAAATTAACCAATCTACCTCAAAGGCCCAAGGTAGATCTATCTTTTTCGGATCTAACATATAAGGTGAAACAAGGAAAGGGTAAGTTGCTCAGTAATCAGTTTGATCAAATATTTTCTGAAAGAGTTGAAAGACTTCTACCAGAGCTTCAACCTCTTTGGAAATGTCCCTTTTATTATGAACAAACATATTAGAAACTTCTACAGTAAACAAATATCTCTACCTTGATCTCTACCCAACTACCTACTTTCACTGTGTCTACTTTTTAATCAGCAATCATGTCATTTATGTACCTTTCTCAATTCTTTCCTAATAAAATGTTATTATCATGATCATTAGGACATAAACCACACATAGCCTGTAATACCATCATTGTTTTTTTACCTTCCCAGCCAAATGATTTCAGATATTTTAATATGTTAAACTACATCATAAATATCATAAGAATGCAGTGGTGATGCATATTCTTTTATTTTTTAATTTGCTTGGAAACCATAATTATTTACAGGTACATAAAAATGTTCATGCTTCATTAACTTTTTATTTGATTGGTGATTGGGTTGAAATATTTCCATTCAGGAAAATTATTTGATTCCATTGTTCAAGTGGGTACTATCACAGTATACATATATCCTAAACTAGTGAGTTTACCAACTTGACTAGTTATGATAAGATAACATATCCAATTGCAATTTGAAATTGAAAATTTGATGATCATACTAGTGTTCATATTTGAAATTACCTTGGAAAGTACAGGGTTGTTTTTGATATAATCAATTGGCCAGTGGTCTCACCTCATTTTTTTGTTGAAAGTCAAAACAATTATGAAAACAAATTGCATTCAAAAGATGTTGTTTTTTCAATACTTCTGAAAAACAATTTCTCCCATAGGTCAAGTCAAGGGTTAAGTGATATATAAGAATAGACATGAGTTATATCAAACAAAACATCCTAAAATATGTTTAATATTGTCTGTCAGATACTTACTTCCTTTGGGGGTCATAAGAACCTCTGCCCTTCTTTTTTCCTCTGAGGAATGAAGAAAAAAATAATGTCATAGCTCAAAAGCATAATTTCATTTGAGGGTCATAACTACCTATGCCCTTATTTTTTCCTCTAAGGAATGAAGAAAAAAATAATGTCATAGCTCAAAAGCATAATAACTATTAAGTCCAATGTCCGGAAATTGGGGTGGTTTCATGGCTGTTGGCGAGCAGTGTATATCACTGAAGATGAACCCACTTGGTCATAGAGTACAGTTTTTGTATATCTATAGCTCCAGCAAATTTCAGGATCCTTACCCAACGAATACGTAAGATACAGGGGTGTTTCCATTAGAAGTGGGTCACACTGTATATTATTATATTGTTTAACATTTTTACAATTCTCAACAAAATCGCTGAGAATGGGAAAAATGGAGTGTGAATTTACTCACACATTATGTCTATTAGGGTGCTTGCCTTAATTACTAACGTTCCAAATATATAACGTTGTTACTAACTATACGTCTCACAGACGGGACTATTTAAATGTCCATATAAATCCAAAATTTTTTATTTCATCTTTGTGAGCTATTCAATCACTTTCTCTACATATTTTTCGAAGAGAAAATGATGTTTAATAGATGAGTACCTTATGTTCAAAATTTCGACATTGATCTATAGAAATACTAAAATAAAATTGAAATACTAAAATTATCGATGATATTATTGTCATTCTGAATAGAGTTACAGTCGTAATAAAATATATTAACTAACTATACGTCTACGAGACGGGAATCTATATTTCACTCAAGATATTTCTAAAACTGAACCATATACATAGATCAACTTTAGGGTATTGAATGAGTGCTAGTTGGACATAAATAACGTGGTAGGACAATGGCCGATATTGAAAAGCAGTGGTAATCCAACAAATCGGATGCTGATATGCCGTCTCTCAGACGTATAATAATAATAATAATAATAATAATAATATTTATTCACCATTCGAATCGAAAATTACAATTACAATAATTTTAGTTGTCAACTTTGAGTTTATTACCGTATGATTAGTAGTTAAGGGTTAATAAAAATCTATCATCATCTATCATCTACCATCATCTTTCACTCACTTAATACTCATGTAGGTACCTCAGTAGGTGCTTATTCAAAACAGTTTTGTTTACAAATTATCAAAATGGTTATTCATTAGGAAGGGTGAATGTACTGAAGCAACCATTATCAAGACCATAATATTCAATATCATCAATTTCTTGTTTGGAGTCATTGTAATAAGACTAGTAGGAAATACAATACATTGTTGTTAGTTGTTATATGGAAACTCATTGGCATACAGAAATCACTTATTAAAGGTAATACCTATCTCAAATATTTTCAATCATTTTTAAGGAATAGTTATTTTTGTATCTAGTGCATGAAATGCGAGTTTGGTGATCAAGAACTGATTTTTCAACGAGGCCCAGCCGAAATCATTGTTAAACTTCAAGATTATAAATTATTTCTTGGATGTTTGCTCCATTGGGTAGGACCATAGTGGTTGAATCCAGGTTTAAATACATGAAGTATGTACTTCCCGCATCATTTTACTTCACACACTGCTTGGCACATGGTGTCTTGGTAACATAGGAAACAACAAACAATGTCACTTCACATTTTGTAATTTTTTGACGTTTGTAAAAAAATTAATTCTGATGTGAAATTCAAATTGAGTAATTTCAAATCTACAAGAGGACCGAGATCTAGACAATGAGCAGTTTTTGAAGATTTTTATAATATACAGTGTGTCCCACTTTCCATGAATACAATACACCCTAATATCTCAGTTATTAATAATGTGATTTTTCGGAAATGTTGGTGGTGATTGTATGTTAGAAAAAAGATGTATTTGGTATAGTGAACCGTTTTATTCACCATTGGCGTGCGGTGTTGGGAGGGAAAAAAAGGCTTGAAATTTAGGGAAAGCAATATTAGAGCTGATTTTAGATAACTTTTCCTACCAGAATTAGGTTCAGCATCCCCAAAAGCAACTTGATTCTTTTTTACAAAAATAACTGGAGAGCTGATTTAACAGATTTTTTGTCTTCTAATATATTGTTCATTTCTAACTCTTTAGTTTAAATGCTCTAATAATAATTGCATTTCGAACTCCCCCATACTGTCTCTGAAATGATGTTATTCTTAATTTTTTTACCCCAGGTACAAATAACGAACTTATGAACTTATTGGAATTCATTATTCCAGGTTTTTATCAGGGAGAATATAAAAATACAATTCCATATAAAAAAAATCAAATAGTACCCTGTAGATCGTTTGTTCCGGAGCACCCTGTATTTTTTGATGTATCGAAAAAAAACTTTATCGAAAATCATTTAAGATGATATTTCAGATTTTGAAATCGGTTCAAAAATAACTGAAATAATCCGAAAACGGAACATAGTATCGAGTTTCACCAGGAGTACCTTTTTGGTGTAAATTTGAATGATGTTCAAGTTCACATCAAATTTAGATTGAAAAATCTAACCTCAAAAAAGTTATGTTTAAAACTACTCGGTAAGAACCGTGTAACTAGCGCCCTCTATGAGAGTCAGATATAAAAACAAATTCATGCGATGTGTCAGATTTCAAGAAACATCCATACAAAATTTCATTACAATGTTGCCAGTAGTTTCGGAATTATCGGGAAAAATGTGTAAAAAAATAATTTTTCAACACCTTGTATCATGAAAACGGATGCCGTTACGACATTTTTTCACTGAGCAAACCCAACTTATTTTGCAATGTTCTACCTACCCTAGCAAGGGGGTTAGGTTTTTTTGAAACACTGTATATTTTTCAGAGGAAAAAATCATCCTTAAAAATGTCAGTGGAAGATTGCGATCCGGCGAGCTATGCGCTATTATGGGGCCCTCTGGTGCCGGAAAATCCACCCTACTCAATATCCTCACTGGATACAAGTAAGTCCGTAGAATACCGCTTGAAAAATCAAGCATTGAATTCTTCTTGTGTCCCTTAGAACAGACGGAATGGGTGGACAAATATTGATGAATGACAGTGAGAGAGACCTGAGTCAGTTCAGTAAGTTGTCGGCATATATCATGCAAGATAACCAGCTCCATGCCAATTTGACTGTGGATGAAGCTATGGAAGTTGCTGCCAAACTCAAAATCGGCAATAAAGATCAATATGAACGGGAAACAATCGTAAGTACACCATCAATTTTATTAGGTTGGTTATTACCAAAAACAAAAAATGATTTCATTTCAGATAACTGAAATTTTGGACACCCTCGGCTTATTGGATCACAGAAGGACCATGACCAGCGGGTTATCTGGGGGTCAAAAAAAGAGGTTGTCCATCGCCTTGGAACTCGTCAGCAATCCTCCGATCATGTTTTTTGACGAACCGACCAGTGGACTGGATTCCTCGTCTTGCTTTCAATGCATATCTTTGCTGAAAAATCTGGCTAAAGGTAATTTTTGAAGTGATAACTTCTATGGGCCGTTGGGCACTTTCTGGGATGGAAGTAAGACGGCAAACTCACGTCAAGGTGCCACGTACTACAAGACCAGCATAATCATAAGTTTACCATTGGCGATAGAAAATAACACGTGGCCCCTCCTCCTGAGCGGTTTGTTTTGATGATATGACCAACAAGCTCAGACAAAAAACAAATAAAACCAATAAAAACCAAGTAAACAGGCCGCTTTGACGGCTTTCAAGAACTCCGATAGGTGGCGTACGCTTATTTTCTATCACTTTCGACGCACACCAGTTTTTTCTTCAGCTGTCACCATGTTGAACACAAAATTCATACTTACTGTTTGCTTCATGATTTCAATTCAAGATGAAATTCATATTTCGTTTTATTCATAATGACAAGTGGATTAGACAAGATCATCTTGTCATATGTCATGGAGCAATCATTATGTGAAAATAGTGTGTTCAACAAATTGAAGGCCAGTTTGAAAATTTCAGTTTTTTCCACAGCACACATAAAAATCACATTCGATCGGGAACTTCAGAAATATTAGTTATTCAATGATTCATAAATTCTCAATTATGTATTGGTAATATTCCTAATTAGCAATTATAATCAATTTTTTCAAAATTTTCCCTCGTGTGTTGTGTTTTATTGCTTATAATACATTCGTGTAAATCATAATTGTATTAATTCACACTAGAGAACATTCGAACTGGTAAACGTGACAACACGGCGCACGAATTGTGGGCGATGTCTTGTCAGTTCTCAGCATTCAGCACAATGTTGCCAAGTCTCCAACATCCACATGATATTTTGTTATGGAGTATAAGAAATATTTGGACATGATAGTTGCTCGAAAAAAATCATGAATGAACTTTGTGGCCTGTTCGTTTGTATTGCTGGTTCAGCAGGTAAAGCAAGCACAAACAAACAGGACTATAATATCCATGGTTTCCTCCTATCATGCTTTATTCTCGGTTTTATTCAATGACAGGACTCTTAACATCTTTTTGATAACTCGATTTCAATTAATAATAATAATATAAGTTCATTCAAAAACGTTTACAAAATATACATTGGAATAAACATACAACATGACAACCTTGCTTCATGAGTGGAAATGGAAGATTATCTTGCCAATAACGAAACAGCATGAAAACTGATGTCACCATTTATTCGACGTATCGCCAAATGGCGGCCATGACAGTTCGTGAGAAGTGTTGTTAACTATAATATTAATACAACAAAATGAAAAAATTCAAAGGACCATTTTTTTTTTCAATAATTCAATCATTGTCTTATCGCCTATTAGTCAGCAATTTGGATCATCTACCTGTATCTGTGTCTGGTCTTTCAATGTTTTGAAATGTAAAAATGCAAAACACTTTTCTATCTTGGATATCGCCGGGGTTCTTCCGGATGTCGGACTAAACGGAAAATTCGAATTCTCCAGGGGGCCGAACGATAATCTGTACCATCCACCAGCCGTCCGCACGACTCTTCGAGATGTTCGACCAGCTGTACACCCTGTCCGATGGGCAGTGCGTCTACCAGGGCTCCACCACGCAGCTGGTGCCCTTCCTGGGCTCGCTCGACCTCCAGTGCCCCTCCTATCACAATCCGGCCTCCTACATCATCGAGGTGGCGTGCGGGGAATATGGGGACCATACGAGGAAGCTCGTCCATGCCATAGACAACGGTGAGACCTCAGAGTAGCTAGTTGAAAAAAATTTGAGCGCAATGACATTCCGGAGAAGATCAAAAGAACAAGCTTCCATAAAGAACATTTTTGAAGGGAAGCTTCCATTAATATGTACTGAAAAGGAAAAATTATAAAAAGGCTCCGACAGCGACGTTGCCAATAACAGGAACTTGCACGAATATCGCTGTGATTGCGAGGCGGTCAAATCGGTGGAAGTAGGAATGTTTATTAGATTCATCTGGCAATGGTTCTGCAAAATTATCCCCACCATTCGCGATATCATTCATGCGTTTTTAACGATTCATGAATGAATCGCGGTGTCTATCTACTGTTATTCAGCCTGAGGTCCTTCATTCTTGTTTGTGTTCATGCAAAAATGACATACGAGATTGCCACTCGTTCCCCACCTTCAAAGCGCCGAACAACGCGAATAGCAGCATAGACACCATGGTATAATATCTGAGCAAAGGCTCCGACAACGATGTTGCCAATAACAGGAACCTGAACGTATCGTATATCCCTGTGATCGCGAGGCGATCAAATCGGTGGACGTAGCAATGTTTATTAGATTCATCTGGCAATGGTTTCTCAGAATTATCCCCACCATTCGCGATTTCATTCATCCGATTTCAACGATTCATGAATGAATCGCGGTGTCTATCTACTGTTATTCAGCCTGAGGTTTTTCATTCTTGTTTGTGTTCAGGCAAAAATGACATTCGAGATGGCCACGCGTTACCCACCTTCGAAGCTCTGAACAACGCGAATGGCAGCATAACAGCTGAGCAAAGGCTCCGATAGCGACGTTGCCAATAACAGGAACCTGAACGTTTATCCCTGCGATCGCGAGGCGGTCAAATCGGTGGACGTAGAAATGTTTATTAGATTCATCTAGCAATGGTTCCGCAAAATTATCCCCACCATTCGCGATTTCATTCATCCGTTAGGCTTTCAGGATTGTTGAAGATTACTTTTCAACGATTCATGAATGAATCGCGGTGTCTATCTAATGTTATTCACCCTGAGGTCCTTCATTCTTGCCTTGTGTTCAGGCAAAAACGACATACGAGATGGCCACGCGTTCCCCACCTTCGAAGCGCTGAACAACGCGAACAACGCGAATGGCAGCATAGACACTGTGGTGCAACAACTCAGAAAAGGATCCGACAACGACGTCCCCAACAACAGAAACTTGAACCTGAACCAGGGCGTTAATGATCGCCAGGTTGTCAAGTCGGTGGACATTTCAGACATCGAGAAGGCGAATGTGGATTCGGCTTTGCTCGATTATTCGGCGCATTGGAAGCAGCCGAGATACGGGAACTCGGAGCTGCAGCAGTTCTTTATCATCCTGCGAAGGGCGTTGCTTTTCAGCAGGAGGGATTGGGTAAGGAAACATTGTTTTTTTTAGAAAATATACAGGGTTATTACTGAGCGAAACAAGTTTACTCAATGTATGAATGCTGTTTTGTGTTGTGATTGATAATTGCACTGAATGCAGTTATCAACATTCATTTTCACAAATATGATTAATTATCATTTGTTTTTCGTAACAGACGTTGATGTACTTGCGTTTGTTCGCCCATTTGCTGGTTGGCTTCTTGATCGGGGCTCTCTATTTCAAAATCGGCAACGATGGCTCGAAGGTGCTCAGCAACTTGGGTTTCCTCTTCTTCAACATGTTGTTCCTGATGTACACCTCCATGACGATAACGATTCTCTCTTTCCCGCTGGAGATGCCCGTCCTTTTAAAAGAACACTTCAATCGGTGGTACTCGCTGAGGTCCTACTATTTGGCTATAACGTTGTCTGATATGCCATTTCAGGTAAGGTTCGATGTTCTAGTTTTTTCATTTGTGTTAATAAAATTTGTATTTATTTCAGACTGTTTTCTGTGTGATTTACGTGACAATTGTATACTTTATGACATCTCAACCGCCCGACCTAGAAAGATATGGGATGTTTTTGTTGGCTTGTCTTCTAGTTTCTTTCGTGGCACAGAGTGTGGGTCTAGTGGTTGGAGCAGCAATGAATGTGCAAGTAAGATTTTGTCATTTAGATCTTTTATTTGAGGTATCACAAGTTGACATCCACATTTGTGGTTGAAGGTGTTTTTTCAACTTTTTCATTTCGCGAGATATTCACATTGAAAGTTTTCAAATTGACACCCTGTATACGAGGTATTCCCGAAGATGAATCATTTATTTTTATCAGGATATACAGGTTTTTTCATTAATATTGCACAAAACCTCAAGGTCATATTTTTAGGGTCAAAATGAAAAAAGTTCATATTTGAAATCCTCTTTCAAATTTCGTTTTTCTAGGAAACGAATGAAAATATCGTGTTCAAACAAGAGTAATTAAAATCACTAAAAAGTATCATCAAAAAAAGTTGAAAGTTGATTTCATCATCAGGAAACATTCACGTGGCGCCCCCTGTAACAAACTGTAGAATTATACATCAAATAATATTTCCTGTATAAAATTACGCCTCTGTGCTGATTTTGATAACAATTGATAAATATACAGTAAAATTATCAGCAAAAAACGAAAATAAAAATCAACTTCAGTGACCTGTATTTATTTTTCACAGCAATATTTTATTGAGGCATATCTGTATGAGTAGTGATACTTTTTTTGTGACTTGCTATTATACATGTATTATTTACATAACATAGTCAAATAAACTACTCTACTCTAATCACAGCACAGAGATTCGTACGGCCAGGACCGTAATAAAATGTTTTCAAAATTCATGAAATGATCAATAACTGATAATGTCTCAGTTAATTTGCAACTTTTATTGGGGCGATATTTGGTACATCCTCTCAAAAAAATGCCACAAATTTGAGAACACCCTGTATAAAATAGTGCACGTTTTTTCTACGCCCTCACTATCTCACTAATGATCGTGTTCGAAGAACGGCGTTTTCCTGGCGCCCGTGATGTCGGTGCCGTTCCTCCTCTTCTCCGGCTTCTTCGTCTCCTTCGACGCCATCCCGATCTACCTGCGCTGGATCACGTACCTCTCTTACATCCGGTACGGCTTCGAGGGCACCGCCTTGGCCACCTACGGCTTCGACCGGCTGAAGCTCGACTGCTTCATCAAGTACTGCCACTTCAAGAAGCCGAAAACCACGCTCGAAGAGTTGGATATGGTCAATTCGAGCTATCTAGTGGATATCGTGGCGCTGGTCTTAATCTTCTTCTTTCTGAGAATATCGGCGTTCTTGTTCTTGAAGTGGAAGCTGAAGCTGAACCGTTGAGCGTGGTGGTAGGTTGAGGTGGCGATATGCGACGTTCTTGTTTTTCGCGTTGAAGATATGGTAGACTAACACTATAATACATTTCAGTTAAGAGAGAAGCGGATAGTGAGATAGGGACTCTTTGACCTTGCTTTTCATTGGTCTATACTTAGCGGTTCGCGACAGGAAGTATAGTCCGCCTCGCAGACGTCTTATTTCCAAATATAAATATTGATGATGAAGTGAACTGAAGTGCCTTGTTGATCGGTCGACTGTCTATGAATTATCTAACCTCAAGGTTTAACATTGATATTGTCATTGTATTAATTGCTCAACAACTAATGATTTCATTCATTTTGTATTCGGCAAAAAGTAGTATGGTTCACCACTAAGTTTTGCAATAATTCTTAGACATTTGTATTTGGCCGATTTGCTATTGTAAAACGGGCTCTTCTCGCTATACCATCCACGTCATTCTTAACTGGAATGGAGTAAAATAGTATTCTAGATTCATCGTATTTCCTTCCGGATATTTGAGTCGTATATCAAAACACTGTATTTTTTTATAGTCATTCTGAGATTATCACCAAAAAACTGTTATTAATATCAAGTACTGCCACTTCAGGAAGCCAAAGACCACACTCGAAGAGCTGGATATGGCCAATTCAAGTTATTTAATGGATATCGTGGCGCTGGTCTTAATCTTCCTCTTTCTGAGAATATCAGCGTTCTTGTTCTTGAAGTGGAAGCTGAAACTGAACCGTAGTCATTCTGAGATTATCACAAAAAAACTGTTATTTATATTATCAAGTACTGCCACTTCAAGAAGCCGAAGACCACGCTCGATAGCTGGTTATGGTCAATTCGAGCTAACTGGTGGATATCCTGGCGCTGGTTTTAATCTTCTTCTTTCTGAGAATATCGGAGTTTTTTTTCTTGAAGTGGAAGCTGAAGATGAAACGTTGACCGGGGTGATATGTTCAGGTGGCGATATGCGCCGTTCTTGTTTTTCGCGTTGAACAGACCAAGACTATAATACATTTCAGTTAAGAAAGAAGCGGATAGTGAGATAGAGACTCTGTGACCTTGCTTTTTATTGGTCTATACTTAGCTGTTCGCGACAGGATGTAAGCGTCTTATTGAAAGCTGCCAGAGCGGTCTGTTTACATTCGGTTTTCGGTTGTCCTTGTTGTTGTTGTTGTTGTTGTTGTTGTTGTTGTTGTTGTCAACAATCAAAACAATTGCCTAGTTGAGGAGTCGACTGTCTATTAATAATCAAACCTCAAATTCGACCATTGATATTGTTATTGCATTAATTGCTTAGAAATGATTTCATTCATTTTGTATTCAGCAAAATGTACTGTGGTTCACCACTTAACTTTGCAATCATTTCCAGATATTTGTATTTGGCAGGTTTACTAGTGTAAAACGGGCTCTGCTCTCTATACCATCTACTTCATTCTTAACTGGAATTGATAAGCGTATCCCGGATTCTTCGTATTTTCTTTCCGATATTTGAGCCGTATAGAATCAAAACAGTGTATTTGTCTATTCATCATCATTTTCTCTTAAAGCTGCTCGTATGTAAGTCCTCTAAAAAAACCCACAATGACTTGTTTGAAAATACAGTTTTGTGATTGATATAGTTGAAAAACAAAGTTGCTGAACTATAGGCATGTGTGTTTATCACGTAATCATAGAATCGTTGTTGATAGTTGAATGATGAAAATACGAAGGTGTGATGATACATATTCGTGTTTTGATACCAACATTATGAAATTAACGTTTCCTATGGAATTTAGACTGGTGATTGGTTGATATTAAGATCTAGGAACCCACCACAGTATTCATTCACTGAAACGAAGTTGATAGCTATGTAATCGCCAAAATTCACCACGATCTTCGTGAAGCCCTGAATTATTTGTATGCATGATATTTTCGTAATAAGCATTTTTTCAACACTTGGAGTGATAGTTTTTGGAATACATGCAGTCCTCAACTATTGAAAAGTAGTAAGGCGGAAGCAAGAATGCTGCAATCCTGAAGAAAATTTGTAGTCGAGCCATCTCGCGCCATTTATCAGATTGGACTACTTTAGTGACAGTTTTGAAAGGAGGAAATTAACAAGCATCATTCTCGAATTATCCCTCTTTGACGCGTAAAATGAGAACTTTATATTATTTTGTTTGTCTAGTTATTTTATTCATGGCGATTTTTCATATTTTTTTTATGTTTTGAGATTAAATATTCGTTTCCTCTTTAACATTCCCAATACAATGACACACATATCCTCATGACGACTTCAACAGTTTTATTGCTGAATCTCGACACTCATTATTTATTTTGGTAGGTATAAAATAAAATTTTCATTGGGAAACAATAGTTTACCTAACAAGTGCGGAAAGTGATTCTTTTCCGCAGGCGATAGCAGATGGCCGAATGACGCTTAGCAGACTTTGGCCAGCAATCGCGCGCGGAAAAGTCACTTTACGCACGTATTAGGTACACTTTTTTTTTTACTAGCGTGCGGAAAAAAATCCGAATGTAAACACTGAGAAACATTCATTATTTTTGAATATTCAAATGTCAGTATACTACCCAATAGCTTAACAAATTTACTTTTCCGGGAAATGAACTTTTTTCCGCACTAGTGCGGAAAAGTACACGCACGCTACTAGAAAAAAACATTTTTTGATCATGAAATCTGGTAAAGGTGAAATAGAGATCCAGACAGGTTCATCATTTTATCCTATGATTGATTCAAAATTGTCTATAAATTCTCAAACTATCCACTATTCTTAAAATTTCATGAGGACCTCAAAACTAATATCTTTTTGAGATTGATGCACAAATCAGAAAATTTTATGTGATGACTATAAATTATTGTGATGACTAAATTATTGTTGATGGTTTTTTATTTATGTAGTTATTTTATTTTCAACAGTAAGCAGTTGCTTCAAAACCAAGAAAAATGGATCGGAATTTGTTTTTCACAAATTTTTCATGATTGCCGAAAATTCATCACAAATTTTCTTGACAGGTTGTCATTATTTGTTTAACTAGTTTTATTTTTATTAGTTGATGTATTATTGTTTAGCAAAGTATAAGTATCCTATGGTCTGGTTATGGAATAAATAGATTATATTATTATAGGTGTAAGATTAAAAATATATATCTTTACCAAAATTGCATTCTTTTATGTTTTACATTTGCTTTTATGAATCAAGGTGCTCCAAAACAATATGCATATCATTGCATTTACTATAGGTGATGACAGTTTCTTGCCAAACGGTTTTTGTGTTGAAAAATATCATCAGTATTTCTAATATACTTTTTATGCTGGGTTTATAGATTCAACTAAACTAAGAATTGAACTAACAACTAGGAACTTGAAAAGTTGAATACAAGATACATCTATGAGAGTTTATACATCTAAATCTGTCATTTAAATCAAGAATTAAGAATTAGAATGTTTGCCAACTTCCAACTTAACAACTAAGAATTATGAAATTCTGGAGACAGAACATTCGGAGTTTGGATTTGTTATTGTTAAAGTGGAGTTTGGTGATATTTGATTGGAATATTTAATTCTTTACTATCAGATATGTATAAACACCCTCATCATCTTCATTGTAATATTTGAATGTTAGTTTTTTTTGTCAGATCATTGCCCAAAAAGCTTAGATGAGTGGGTTAGACAACCTGAACACCCTGTGACTGAAATTATTGGTATATATAATAATATTGTGATTGACGCTGGAATATGGGACCCAATTTTAGATATGGTTGTCAAATATTACATAATATACTTGTTATCTCACTTGTTGTGTTCTTGTATTTTTATAAATTACCTAGTTATTTATGTACCAAGGACGAAACACTGTATATTATAGTCCAGGCTGCAAATTGATAGTCTAGGCTAGCAATCATCAGGTGAGACAATAGTCAGTTTTTCGCCGAGGTGCATATTTCATTTTTTCGTCGACCTAATCAAAAACCTCTTACATTTTAAACCTATTAATTATCATTTTGAAGTGAACCAAAACACTGCAAAATGGAAAAGAAGCATTTGGCCAAATAACTTATTTTGGCGAGATATATACCCTGTTGAATAAAAAACCTCACTTTCAGATTCACCCTGTGAATGTAAATTTATTTAAACAGAGAGCGTGCCGCAATATCAAGCAAATTAAAAGTGTATTTGCTTAACTGAAGATTAATAATACTATATATCTAGATAATTAAAGTAATAAATAAGTGTGAAAATATTTTTTAGGAGGTTATGAAATGTTTCTGTAGATCAGTGTAAATCAATATGGAAATCAGGAGATCTACTAGAAATTCAGTAGAACTGGCAACCATGCAGCGGACGAAAAGTGTTTGCAGACGAAAAGTTAGTGTATGCGGACGAAAAGTATTTACCTTCGGAAATAGTCGGTTTTTCGTTCGGAAATTAAAGCGTAAAATGTGAGGTCGACGAAAAAAAAATATATGCTATTATTTTATTGCCAATAAAATAAATTAAGAAATATTTTTATTTCATAAAATCGCCCTTCAATAAACTGGAACAATAATGTTGGCCTAATTTAAAATGAAAATGAATCAATAAACAATTTAACAATATGCTTATGTTTTTGTAGTTCCAACCAAGGTTGGTAGAACTGATGATAATTTGACATCATACACATCTGTCATGAACCCATAATACACAAAACAGTTTCTTAATTTTCTGTGTTTTGTCTTTTGTGGTCACAGATGGCACAGAATTCTCAGCAAACAAACTTTTCTTGAGTTTCTTCTTTAGCAGATTCTTTGGTTTTGTGGTCGACAGATGTTGACAGTGACAATTTTGACTTGAGTGTAATTCAGTGCATTTTGAGTGTGAGTGTACCTTGACCAGTTGCCATGTTGTGTGACTGAAAGGGTGTTGTAGGGTAGGGTGTGCTACGCCTTTCTAAAGAAATTTCCTGGAGACGTGACCAAAAATTTACAAGTATTTCAATCCATATGTCCCTTTTCAAGTTTTTACCTTAGATTGCAGTGATGAAAATGTGAATTAGTGCATCTCTTCACACGTGGGGTCGCTATAAAGAAGCTATAAGGTGAATGATCCAAGTACATGTGTTCTTGTGCATACTGGGATTACGTGTTTTGATGAATTCCTATAGGTGAAGTGAAAATCCGAGTTGTTTCTACAAACGGCGACGGCTATCGTGTGCGTTGTGAACATTTGTTATTGTTTTGGAAAGCGCTTTTTGACGGAGGCTTCCAGACAATCTTATGAAGTGCCGTGTCGTTTCGTTGCTAATCGGGAGATCAGTCCATTCTTTGCTTCGAGGGGAGTGAGGTGAAGTGAGGATGTTCCAAATTTCACATCAAACTTCCCGAAAATTTCGTTTCATTCAATTATGTATAAACAATGTGGCCTAAAGGACTCACAGAAGAAGTGATCGGAAATTATGGGAATGTCAATCGGCTAATAATTTTGCCAGAAGTGATATGTTATGTTTTGACTGACTCTTTGTTGTCTTTCTATCTCTGTCTAGCTCGGTGTGGTAGTGTCTGCGGCTGTAGAAGCTTCTTTCTAATTGGCCTTGAAGAGCGGAAGGTTACTGGCCTTTGAACACGCGGAATTGTTTACCCCCTGACAGAATGGAAGGCTGTTTCTAAGGTGGACCTGCCAATGCTGACCCCGGCTGGACTGCTAATTCGGCCGCGGGTGGAGAATAACAAGGGAAAGACCTAGGAATCTTGTATTTTCTAGAACCCATGGCGTGGCACAAGCATGATCACATAATGCTCTCCTCAGTCTCATCGGATAAAAATAGACCTAAAAGTAGGTATATCTGCAACATGAGATGTCTTTCCAGCTGTTTTGTTGGCAGCTACTTGCCTCAGCTGAGTGGCATCATTATAGTGAAAGCAGCTGAAAACCAGTAAAACAGTATCTATCAGCATCACCTGTTGTAGTTTTCAGATATTCACAGAGTAGGCTAGTCTAGGAAAAATTGATTCTGTCAATGTCAATACTTGAGGAATCTGTAAATATCAGTAATTAATCTTTTCAAAAATGTATAAGGCTTTCAGAGTACCAAATTGGTTCATACCTATTTATACAGACACAAACTCCTGCAAAAATGGTTGGTTTTTTGATATTCAAATCAATATTTTTCATATATATAAATTGTCAAACTTTATAAATGAAGCAAAGAATTTATATTATGATGGTGGCAATCTGGTACAATATGAAAATATTAGAATTTAAGAGCTAGAAATTAAATTTTCAATTTTTGACTTGGCTGACACTTCCCACTAGATTCCTACTTATGGACTTTTATTTCATTATTCAAACATCTTGTAACTTTAGAAAATATATTTTTTCAACCACACCAACATTTTTTTGTGATTAGATCTTGTTCAGTAGGTATATTTCAGTAAGTTTGCTTCATAAATGTTCCTAACAAGTGAATTGATTCAAAGACCACTATAAAATGAGAATTTACAAAATGGGCCAGTATACTATTTACTCAACTATTCACCATTTACTGTGACACAAATTCATAATATAAAGCTACCAAATTTGCTTGAAATTGAATACAGGTTGTTAGTGAATGAGTGCAATATGTCAAACAGCACTAGGTATATCAAAACTTCTTTCTCCATAGAACTGCAAAGCTCTGGAATTAATTGCCTGGAGGATATTGAAGTTGTTAGTATCAATTATTGCTTTTATTTATAACCCCTCTGTATAAATTTTCATGGTGTCAAAATTCAGTATGGCTAAAGACTGACAAAGCCTCAACATTTCCAAATGATTCTCATTGAGGATATTGAGTAATCTCAAATTGAATTTTTATTGTTTCCTCAAAAGCAGACTAAGAAACTATGTGAGATACAAAAGTAATACAGGGGATAAAAAAGTTATCATTTCAATTGTTCAATATCAATCTAATAAAATTAAGTATTTCCTAAAATATCACTAGGAATCACTTCCTCAGGTTTGTAGCACTTATTCACCAACACCATGTATACCTACATTCAACATCATTTATGTGTTATTTTTATGTCTATTAATAATTTCAAATTGTCAAACTATATATACCAAGTTAGGAGCAAGTGGCAACAAGGAATGTCTAAAGAATATGATATATGATGGTGGCAATCAAAATTTAAGTGCTAGAAATTTCATTGTCAATTTTTAACATGGCTGACACTTCTCACTAGATTGCAGCATATTAGCAACATGCAGCAACATTGTAGCCATAGCTGAACATTTTCATGATAATTATGAACTTTCATTTTATTATTCCAACATACACTGATTCAAGTTCATGAAAATATCCATATTTCAACCATGCTAACATTTTTTGTGGTTAGATCTTGTTCAGTATATTTCAGTTTGCTTCATAATAATTCAAAGACCACTATAAAAATAATTGTGTAATTTAGTTTTTCTTTTTTTTCTTTTTTTATTATTATATTTCAAGGTTCAAAAGCCTTTCTTCAGGCTTTGATTTTGAAGAACAAATAAAGATTATCTACCGCAAGGCCTTTTCACCTATTCCTATGGCTGTATCAAGAGACATTTGCTTATAAAACCCCTGGTAAAATCCCGCTCATTCCAGTTCCCGTTGCTACCGGCGGCGGCGGAGATGCCTCCTCGGGTCAAAGGCGTCCTCTGCCCCTCTATGGGCGGCTGGTGGCCGAAGATGGTCTGGGAGCGCCGCCCATGTCCAGCTCCTCGACCGACATCCAGGCCATGCAGGCCAGGATACCGCCCTCTTTCAGGGACCCTGCTGCTGCCCCTCTCAGGAAACTCAGTGTAGACCTCATCAAGACTTACAAGCACATAAATGAGGTGAGTGGGATGATTTTTTCAGATCTGTGACCAGGAGAATCCTGGCTTTCTTCAGGGATAGTCTATACATAGATGAACATTTGTCATGGTCAAAACATATTGAAATACTTAGGAAAAAAATATCTCCAATAATAGGTATACTTTTTAAGGTACGGGGAATCAAGTTCCTATAAAATGTCTCAAATCTATATACTTCTCTTTAATCTATTCTAAACTTGAATATTTGATTTCTGTATGGGGTTCAACAAAACTATCAATTATAAAGCCTCTCAAAACTCTTCAAAATAAAATTATCAAATGTATATACAGACTAAATTATTTGGAACCTACTATGAACCTTTACAGAAGAAGAGAATTATTAGATATAGATTCACTATTTAAATTCAAATTAATGTCGTTCATTCATTCGGTTAAACATTGTCAAAAGCATTCAAATTTGGTTTTCCAAATCAATAGTAATCACCACAACCATACAACCAGACAAGCAGATCATTCTGCTATCACAATGGAATGATACAATACAATTCACTACCAAATAACTTGAAGCTGATTAATAGGATTGAAAAATTTAAAAGAGAATTCAAGAAACATCTACTCCTGTAATATTGACATCTTATCTCATTTTAATAGTTTTCTTGTCCCTACAACTACTATAGTTTTCAATTGGGTACCTAACAGCTGAGTCAATTGAAAATCATTTTCAGTTGAACTTGAAAAAAAAAAGATTCTTTTTGAGTGTGAGTATTATTTTACTGTCTTCTTTATTTTATTTCGTCAAATATATTTATGTATTCACTATGTTCCCTGCTATAAACAAATGTTGTTTCTTGGGAATAACAAAGTTGATTGATTGATTGATTGATTGATGTTGTAACTCTGTTAAAAATTGATAAAATGATGTTTATTTATTTATTTATTATTCATTTATTTCAACAGTTACAGCATTTTTATAAAAAAAAAATAATAACAAAAGATGAATAATAATAGGAGCAATGAAAATTACACTCATAGAAAAATAGCACTTAAGTTATACTCATTACATTAACTAGGTATTCATAATTATTTATTTAGACTGCCACAGAATAGGTCACAATGATCTTGAAGAACAATATAATTCCTTTGAAGTCTTGAAATAGGGTTATTGTTGCCATAATTCATTGAGTGAAAGGTCAATGAAAATAAAGGAGGATTTCTTGTTCTGGCCAATGTATTGAATCTGATCAAACTAAGTAGATCTGGAGAATTAATAAGGCCATTTACCAATTTATATAGGAACCACATATCCAACACATCTATGCCAACACTAATCTATGATTTTCTAAAGTTAGGAGATTAAGTTCCATTAAGATATCTAGGTAGGTTATATGAGCAACATTGAGATATGAATATGTTCTCAAGAACCTGTTCTGAATTTGTTCTAAACTATCAATATGTATTTGATAAAATGGTGTCCAAATGATGGAACCATACTCTAGTGAAGGTCTGACCAAATGGCAATAAAGTGAACTAAGTCTTTCAGAAGAGAATTGTTTACTGTTCCTAGAATGTTGATCACAACTACAGGGTTCTTGAAACAGAGTTGAATATTAAAATTTTTGTGTTCTCTTTGGCAATGAAAGAGACCTATTAATGTTATATAATATCCTAAATTCTGTCCATACATGTCTAGAGGTTAATGAGAATATTTGCTTTCATGTTCCATCCAGACAAACCCACTTGAATAATTTATGTCATATTCCCTTTTACAAATCTAATGCAGCTGATAGCCCTTTCATCCCTAGATCATCTAAGCTCACCAACACTCATTCTCTTACCCTGGACTTTTCTGCTGGCCACACACAGTTCAAATCTTGCATGGGAATTTGTGATGTTTAGGAAATTCTCATAATATTGTGATATTGATTGATACCTTTTGTTCTGTTATTTTGTTATGTATTTTTTTGTGTGACTATCTTTTTTTTTGTAAAATTAACTGAGCATTTGCTGGTTAATAAATGATAATAATGAACCAGAAAAGAATAATGCTTTAATATTCCACAGGATGATGCATGCAGGCATGTCTTTGAAAAGAATAATATCCTAAACATACCTCTAGTCTCATATTCAGAACTCCTTTATGTTGACAACAACAGGGGTTGTTCTGATTATCATAGATATTCTACCTTTAATGCTACTGATTTTGATCACTAGACATAATCTATCTCCTACTGAAAAATCCTGGACTATTTGGGAATCAAACTCTGCAATCATTTACCTCAAGAAATTGAGGAAATGAATCTAGCCAAGTTCAAGTTGTCAATAAAGTCCATATTGACTCAAGAGGCTTATTATAATCTAAATAGGTACAATGAATGTAGCTTGCTATGACAGCATAGTGTATGAAATTGATAGTGTGTTTACCCCAAATTGTCAATTGGTGTTATTTTACTCAAATTGTCAGCCTGTATAATTTTTACCTTATGTGTAAATTATAATTTGTAATTTTAAATGTTATTCTTCTTATCATCATCTTATGTTTGTGTAAATCAAAATTTCAAATGTCTTAGCCTATGCTGCATTCTTTGAATGACTGTTTTAAAACTGACTGTATATCCATCTACAGATAGCTGCTGTATGCTAATAGGAATAAGCATAGGAATGTCACCTTTAAGACGTCTATATGATGTTTAAATTTGGTTTAGTGGATGTCCATGAGACACGTGAATGTCCGACTTGAGGACCATTCAGAGACATCCTTCTGGAATATTATATGAAGATGTTGTCGAGTGGCGATCATGCTAGTTGTACGGGTAAAAAGTACCCTGTACAACTAGCATGATGACATTCAAGTTGCCAGATATGAGTTTGGTTTGTCTCATATCTGACAGGGTTTTTTTCTGTTGAAAAGCCCCACGTTGGGCGCCATGTCGAAGTTTATCGTCAAGTTGCCAGATATGAGTTTGGTTTGTCTCGTATCTGTCAGGGGTTTTTTCTGTTAAAAAGCCCCACGTTGGGCGCCATGTCGAAGTTTATCGTCAAGTTGCCAGATATGAGTTTGGTTTGTCTCGTATCTGTCAGGGGTTTTTTCTGTTAAAAAGCCCCACGTTGGGCGCCATGTCGAAGTTTATCGTCAAGTTGCCAGATATGAGTTTGGTTTGTCTCGTATCCTCTTTCTAATCTAGTGTATTTGTCAATCCTATCATTCTCTATATGGAGTCTTATCCATCGGAAGGAAGTTTTCACGGTTTCCCATACAAAAAATCTCAGGATGAGGAAGATAAACTTCGGCAAAGACCCTTCAGGAATCTCCCAAGAACGTCCAGGGATGTCTCGTAAGACGTTTTTCACGGAAATTTCAAGAATGTCCACCTTCATGATGTCCATGGGACGTTCAAATGTGGCAACGCTCACGTCCATGGGTTGTCTGTGGGATGCACATGGGTCTCACTTATCTACCAATCAGGGGCAGCCTACGGAGATATTCCTTCAGGGATGTTCTATGGGCATCCATCAATGTTGTCTAAGAGCTTCCACCTTCAGGAAGTTCAAATTTAATACCACATCAATAGGCATTTGTGGGATGCACAAATGAATAGATCACTGGATATCCATAGAATATCCATAGGAATTCATTTTGAGAATTATTTTATAACCAGAGTACTTCTAAGGACATTGTGTCTGTGCTATCAGAGTTGTTCAATATGAGGCCAAATGTAAAGTTTTATTGGGACTTGATTGAACCTTTGTTTTATTGATGTTGTTCTGCCTTTGTTTTTGAAATGCCATTCTATAGTGTATGAGTATTGGATCAAAAAATATCCTGCCAGCAAGATGTTTACTGAACTGAAAAGCACTATTTTTCTAAGATAGCAGTATCTAGGAGTGTAAAGTAATATATTCAAAATATAGAATACACTTACCATAACATATTATCCAGACTGATTTAAAAAGTCAACAGTCAACAAATAACAACCTATTTTTATCCATACCAAAATCAGTACTATTGGTGAGATCAATATAAATAATGTTTTGAAAGTCAAAAAATATACAACTTGGAAGAAATGTCAAATGTAAAAAAGTAAAAATGTTTACCAAACTGATGCTTTAGTTATTCAGAATCTAAAAAGAATTGAAAATATGGGCCATATTATAAACCAATTTGACAAAAATGTCATAGTTCATAATGCTGGATGCTGGATTAGTGAATATCACCTCACTTAGCCACATTTCAGAATAATTTTGAATTCAGGAATGTTTTCCTACAGTACAGGCAAATATAGAAAGCTATTCAAAAGATTTGGGACCTTTTTTGTGTGTAATGTTTTTTTTGTATAGGTACAATGTATTGTGTTTTGTAATAAAAAATGTTGTTGTGATTGAATTTTACCCCTTCTTTCCCACCTCCTATTTTACAAACTTTCTTGTTGAATTGGTTAATGAAAAAAAGTTTTGAAAATTTGAAACAAAATATATAGCATCACTCCCTTAGTAATGAATCACCAAACCTGTGGCCAGGGTGTTTATCAAATTCTTAATTGCTGAGTTACGGGGGTGCTTCCATGAAAAATGCGACAAAATTTCATTTTTCCGAACTGAAAATTTTCCAGGAAAAATTTGAATAGTTAGTAAATTGGGCGTCCTGATTCCAAATCTGAAGTGATTTTCAACCTATTTTGACTCCTAATATCATTTTCCGGAAATTGGGGTGGTTTCATGGCTGTTGGCGAGCAGTGTATATCACTGAAGATGACCCCACTTGGTCATAGAGTGCATTTTTGGTATATCTCGCTCCAGCAAATTTCAGGATCCTCACCCAACGATTACGTAAGATACAGGGGTGAGGGGTGGTTCCATTAGAAGTGGGTCACAATGTATATATTCATAGTTTTGTGTTCATAATCACATCTGAGAATATTTCCAAACAAAGTGAGGTTATGTTTCAATGTTTCACCTCCAGGGTCATCTGATAGTTCTTGCACGCAACCCATTATGTAACTATTTCTCACCTTCAACTATATCGTTGACGTGTTTTCCCCTGGAAGGTATACTACGCGAAAAAGAAACGACGAGCGGCCCAAGTACAAGGCGAAGACACCTCCCACAAGAAGGAGCGCAAGATCTACAACGACGGCTACGACGACGACAACCACGACTACATCGTGCGCAACGGCGAGAAGTTCCTCGAGCGCTACGAGATCGACTCGTTGATCGGGAAGGGCTCCTTCGGGCAGGTGGTGAAGGCCTTCGACCACGACAAGCAGTGCCACGTGGCCATCAAGATCATCAAGAACAAGAAGCCGTTCCTCAATCAGGCGCAGATCGAGGTCAAGCTGTTGGAGATGATGAACAGGGCCGACGTCGAGAACAAGTATTACATAGGTCAGTGATTATATTGTTGCTGGTAACTTAGATATCTGAAGAGTGTTTTTTTTTTGTCTTGTTTATTCAAATTTATAATTCGAGAAATTCACGCATAACAGTTTCTTCACTGCCCCTACCATATCACTATCACCAAAATCCCCAAACACCCTGTATTGGAATGCCAAATATAGCTTGTCTGTGAGCGAGAACGGGTAATTTCGAATGTAGTAAAGGCAAGAATGTGTATTCGATGATTCTGGTGGCAAAAATTCATCAAAATGCCAAATTGAGCTTGTCCGTATACGGGTAGGGGTGAAAAGAAAAAGGAACGTAAATACACGATAAAATTACTAGTAATTTACATAACAAGTCCGGAAAATATCTATTAGTAATAGCAATACATTAGACGACAAAGTAAATTGAAGCATTGAAGTGGAAATGTTTACTACGAGGACGTTTTCTTGACGTGCAAAAGTGGATTGGGAGGGGGTCTCCAGGATAATAATATTAAACCGTATTTATTCATCATTTGCAGAAAAAAAAATCGTACTAAAAAAATATTAAAAATGATTTATGTAAATTTTTACCTTTCTGCAATGGTGAATAGGTGTGGGGTAACAGCAAAAAGTTGTTTTCAATTCAACCAAAAAAAAAAATATGACCGACAACTGCTATTAAATTCCTCCATTTCTTAGTGAAATTGAAAAGACACTTCATGTGGCGCAATCACCTCTGCCTGGTGTTTGAGCTGCTCAGCTACAACCTGTACGACCTGCTGCGCAACACCAACTTCCGCGGCGTCTCGCTGAATCTCACCAGAAAGTTCGCTCAGCAGCTCAGCACGGCGTTGCTGTTCCTCTCGACGCCCGAGCTCAACATCATCCATTGCGACCTCAAGCCGGAGAACATCCTGCTGTGCAACCCGAAGCGGTCGGCCATCAAGATCGTCGATTTCGGCAGTTCGTGCCAGCTGGGGCAGAGGGTGAGTGTTCTTCGAATCGTGTATATAAATTTCTGCGAGTTTGCCCAATATTGGTCGGCGTCGTGTCTAACTCAGAATTTCATTAGATAGACACAATGATTCAATTTTAGCCATTCAAAAGTATATGCTAACAACCTTAAAGGCCAAACTTGAGTAAATGAATGAAATCGTGAATGGTGGGTATAACTCTTTGTGAAATCATGGCCAGAGCAGCACTGGTTTCATTCCTACTGGTCATCAACAACTTACCTTCCATATATATGTATGAAATAATTCTGGATGTCTATAAATGTGCATATGTGCCCTGATGAATTAACTCTCACGTGCTGTTAACATGATAATACTAACCCGAAGCGGTCGGCCATCAAAATTGTCGATTTCGGCAGTTCCAGCCAGCTAGGACAGAGGGTGTTTTTCCCAATTCAACTTTGAAGTGTTCTTTGACTCGTGTATAAAAAATTCTGCGAGTTTGCCCAACATTGGTCGGGGTCGTATCTAACTCAGAATAAATAACAGTAGATACTCAGCGATTCAATTATAGCCCATTTAAAAGTATATGCTAACATCCTCAAACGCCAAACTTGGGTAAATGAATGAAATCTTGAGTTATGGCCAGAGAACTGACATTCTTTATTTATATATTTTATATATGTATATATGTATGAAATAATTCTGGATTTCTATGAATGTGCATATTATGTGCCCTGATGAATTAACTCTCACGTGCTGTTAACATGATGATACCAACCCGAAGCGGTCGGCCATCAAAATTGTCGATTTCGGCAGTTCCAGCCAGCTAAGGCAGAAGCTGAGTTTTTCTAAATTCAACTTTGAAGTGTTCTTTGACTCGTGTATAAAAAATTCTTCGAGTTTGCCCAATATTGGCCGGCGTCGTATCTAGCTCAGACTACATAACAAGATATAGAAATCGTGATTCTTGTTAATTCTTGAAGATTAAGAATTCTTATCACCCTGTATTTTTTCGAATTTAATTCCAGTAGATAGTGAATCAAAAGTTAAGATAGGGGCATGTAAGCCGTTTTGATCGATAATGAATAGTTTCGATACTAAAAAATCCCAAAATTGAAATATCTCGATTTTGAACACCCTATATCTCTGTAATCATTCCTGCTAGACCCGAGTGTGATACATCGATAAAATTAGCTCTCTAGGGAGAATCTGAAAATGCAATAAAATACAAGGTGCTCCATTTAAACTAACGAAGTTGCTAGTTGTTTCTGATAGAAGTGGCAACACTGTATCGATGAAAACATTTTAGACGAATAGAGAATGTTCAATTATCGAAGCATCCTAACTTTCGGAATGTTCTGTTTTTTCGTTCTCCAGATACTTCTAATAGGCCATCCACCGTGACCTACCCTGTATATCCAATAATGAAGAAATATAAAAAAAATCCTCGTCTTTCCAGATATACCAGTACATCCAGTCCCGGTTCTACCGATCGCCCGAGGTCCTCTTGGGCATCCCCTACGACCTGGCCATCGACATGTGGTCGCTGGGGTGCATCCTCGTCGAGATGCACACCGGCGAACCGCTGTTCAGCGGCGCCAACGAGATCGACCAGATGAACAAGATCGTCGAGGTGCTCGGCATGCCGCCCAAACATCTGCTCGACCAGGCGAACAAGACGCGGAAGTTCTACGAGAAGTTGCCGGGCGATAGGAGGTGGGTTGTATTTGTTGCTTCGTGTGGCGTTTTTGTTGTCTCAATCTATAGCTTTTTCTAGTTGTGTTGCAAAATAGTCACTTCCATCTACAGATTTTCCAGTTGTTTTACAAAATAGTCAATTGTATTTCAAAAACCAGCAGTTGTATTCCATTACAGTCAATTGTGTTTCAGAAAGCATTAGTTGTGTGGCAGAACAACAGTCAGTTGAATTTCAGAAAGCATGAATTGTATCTCAGAATAGTCAATTGTATTTCCGAAAGCACCAGTTTAATTTCAGTAAGCATCAATTATATCTCAGAATAGTCCTTATATTTCAAAAAGTAGTAGTTGTCTCAATTTATAGCTTCTTACAGTTGTATTTCAAATAGTCACCTCATTCTACAGCTTTTCTAGTTGTTATTCAAAATAGTCACTTGTATTTTAAAAAGTAGCAATGGTTTTCCATTACAGTCAATTTTGTTGCAGAAAGCATTAATTGAATTTCAGGAAGCGTCTATTGTATCTCAGAATAGTCACTTATATTTCAAAAACTGACAGTTGTATTCCATTACAGTCAATTGTCTTTCAGAATGCATCAATTGTATCTCAGAATAGTCACTTATATTTCAAAAACTAACAGTTCTATTCCATTACAGTCAATTGTCTTTCAGAAAGCGTCAATTCAGAATAGTCAACTGTATGTCCGAACGCATCAGTTTGATATCAGAAAGCGTCAATTGTCTCAGAATAGTCCTTTACTTCAAAAAGTAGCAGTTGTATATTACAGTCAATTGTGTTTCAGAAAGCATGAGTTGTTGTGTAGCAGAACAACAGTCTATTGAATTTCAGAAAGGATCATTTGTATCTCAGAATGGTCAATTGAATTCCAGAAAGTTGGAGTTTTATTCCATTACAGTCAATTGTATTTCAGAAAGCATCATTGGTATCTCAGAATAATCACTTATTTCAAAAACTAGTGGTTGCATCCCATTACAGTCAATTGTATTTCAGGAAGCATCAATTGTATTGCAGAATAGTCAGTAGAATTTGGAAAAAATATAATAATAATAATAATAATAATAATAATAATTATATGTCTTTATTCATCATCATTTCACAACTGGTATATCGATAATATTCCAAAATAGTCGATTGAAAATTTGTCGAAAAAAAAAGTAGTTTGAAAAATATTGAGCTTCTAGTTAGCCTGAAACTCTTTTAAATCATTGATCGCAGGTTAATAGCCCAACCCAAGCGTTTGCTTTCGGCGAGATCACAAGCACCGGAAGCATCAATGTCTTTTACAATGCTGCCGGACGTTCAATAATAGTTGAAAGATGTAGGATGGTGGGAGCCCATGAAACTTTTTTAAATAATTGATCGAAGGTTGAAAGCCCAACCCAAGCGTTTGCTTTCGGCGAGATCACGAGCACCGGAAGTATCAATGACTATTACAATGCTGCCGGACGTTCAATAATAGTTGGAAGGTGTAGGATGGTGGGAGAGCGCATTTTAATGTATCCTATCATTTTGTCTCATGAAACACTTCATTTTATTTATTGCCCCAATTTCGGTAACACCCTGTATCTATCCGGAGAAAAAAAGTGATATTTTCTTACCTGTAAAAAAAGATGTAATTTCAAACATTTTTCCCGTCGCATAAAGAAATGATAACCTGTCCCCATTGCAGGTTCGTGCTGAAGAAGACAAAGGACGGCAAAAAGTACAAGCCCCCTGGCGCGCGCCGCCTCCACGATATCCTCGGCGTCGAGTCGGGCGGGCCGGGGGGGCGGCGCGCCGGCGAACCCGGCCACTCCACCTCCGACTACCTCAAGTTCAAGGACCTCGTGCTGCGCATGCTCGACTACGATCCGAAGACGCGCATCACGCCGTACTACGCGCTGCAGCACAACTTTTTCAAGCGGACGTCGGACGAGGGTACGAATACGGGGGGTGGGGGTGGTAACAGCGCCGGGTCGAGTCCGGCGGTGGGGCTGACGTTGGAGGGGGCGGGGTCGAGCACGTCGGGCAGCCAGCACGGTGAGTGAGATAACCTCAGAGTGAATAACAATAGAATGAGATTATATTATAAATATCATCTATCACACTGTAAAGTTAGAATTTCAATTTACATATCATTCTTTATTTCATCATCATTTCCATACAAAACCAGTCCACTATCTATCAATCATCGAATATATTGGTCCTTCGAGCCGGATCTATTCAAATTAAACCTTCAAGACTGCCAAGTTCGTCACGATGGTCAAAAAAGCTCACACCTTGAAAAGTATACGCCAACAATCCTAAATTCCAAAGGATGAATGAATGAGATCGGGAATGATGGGGATAAATCTGCGGAATCATTGCCAGAGAATTGATATTTCTCATAGATATTTTTTATATATCTATTAAATCGGGATTTTTATAAAGTAATTGTTTAACATCACGCCGTACTACGCGCTGCAGCACAACTTTTTCAAGCGGACGTCGGACGAGGGTACGAATACGGGGGGTGGGGGTGGTAACAGCGCCGGGTCGAGTCCGGCGGTGGGGCTGGCGTTGGAGGGGGCGGGGTCGAGCACGTCGGGCAGCCAGCACGGTGAGTGAGATAACCTCAGAGTGAATAACTAAAGTTCGAATTGCAATTCTCATATCAATCGTTATTTCATCTTCTTATCCATACAAATACAGTCCAATATCAATCAAGCATCGAACATATTGGTCCTTCGAGCCGGATCTATTCAAATCAAACCTTCAAGACTGACAAGTTCTTCACAAAGGATACAGAGAAGCACTCAAGACTACTTGAAGTAATAGTGAATGCCAAGCAGCTGGCAATATTGATATTCATAATAGATATATTTCATATAGGGTGTCATGGATCAAACAAATTGGGGTGGTAGAAAGGGTAATTTCCAATCAAACTAACGGTATATGTGGTTATCCAATTGTTGATGGTTCAAAAGTTATTAATTTTCTTTTCATTTCCATAAAAAAATTAATTACGATGAAACTGTCTCATTTGTGATTTTTTCTTTTACAAATTTCATCCGCATGGATCCCCAGAAATAATTATGAATCCCTATCAATTCCCTGAGAGAAATGTTGTTTTCCTTCAGTTTTATCATTGAATGAAATATTTCAGTTGATTTTTGAATGCCGCTGGCAGATTCAGAAACTGACCAAAAAAAAGACTACCAATCATAAGAAAAACTTGCCCCTCCAATACATATAATATGGGGTCATGAAAAATAATAAATCGGGATTTTATATATTTTGACCACACTTTCCATCAACAAAAGCAAGCCAAATATCCGGAGGGGGGGCTGGCCATTTAGATTTGTTAATTTATTCTTCTTTTGGTCTCCCTCCATAAACATTTATGTTTCTTGCGATCAATTGTTATTCTTGTTGCAGGTATGAACCTGGTGGGCAGCAGATCTCGTGACCTCTCCGTCGGCCAGCCGTACCAACCCGCCAACTACCTAGCCATGGACTGCGACCCCTCCCCCTCGCGCCACGCCCACCGGCAGCGCTACCAAGGCGGTCCGCCCTCCCTGCCGTACGCCACCTACGCGGGCGGAGGCGGCAGTACTAAAGCGGATGCGGCCACGCCCCCCAAAAAGCCGCCTTCGGACAGGGACGACAGCCCTATGGTGGGGGTGTGCGTGCAGCAGAGCCCGATGGTCATCCACTGAACGCCTAAGGAGCTTTGTGTCGCGGTTCGCGTTGGAACTGACTGCGGGATGGTCGAGAGTAGCTCGCGCTAAGGCAGCCCGCCCTTCCTGCCGTACGGCGCGGGAGGGGGCGGGGCCTAAGCGGACGCGCCCACGCCACCCAAGAAGCCGCCCTCGGACAGGGATGACAGTCTAAGGGTGGGGGTGTGCGTGCAGCAGAGCCCGATGGTCAATCCACTGAACGCCTAAGGAGCTTCGTGTCGCGGTTCGCGTTGGAACTGACTGCGGGATGGTCGAAATTAGCTCGCGCTACCAAAGTGACCCACCCTTTCTGCCGTATGGCGTGGGAGGGGGCGGAGTCAACGCGGGCGCGGCCACGCCCCTAAGAACCACAAGCCCGATGGTTAGAACTAGAGTTCCTAAATGTACTTGACACTGCAGTTTTGACGTTTTTTGTTATATTTAGAGTACGGACACCATAAACGATTTTGAAGCAAATCATATGTTTTGCCAGACAAGGACAAGAATATGTTTTTTGCATACATAAAGGATCCTCGCATCTTCCTTCCTCCTCAAGCCCTGAGAAGAGTACAGTCATATATCTTTCTCTGTCTTTGATTTTTGTATGATAGTGCATAGCGTCTCCTCGAGTGGGTAAAAGGGTATGATAAATTGATTAGAAAATAATTTCTTCTGGAAATATTGAATGATAAGGCTGAAGGACCTCAGTGGAGGCGATATCAAGTTGGTATGTACATATATACCAACGAAATACATATACTATTCCTATGAAATAAGTCTCTTATATATGCAGGTATATAAATACGTTCAGTTGAATATTTTATTATCACAGAAGTTCAGATTGGGGTTTTACAACTGATAAATTTCAACCAATGAAACATACTTTTACTTCGTATGGAACAATTTTGCTTGTACAAGAGTGGTAGGTAATAAGTAATTAATAAATGAACGAATGATATGGCAACAATAACAGTTGATTTCAGTCAGGATGAATAATAACAGGTTCTCCAAGACATAAGGAAGTATTGGTATAAATGGACTTCAGCGCTCGACTCACTATAGATCGCCGTTCACATTGCTAAAGGGGATTGTTGGTGTGAACCCGGCCATCGGAAGATCATTGTCAAGTGTTTTTCTCTCAAAATATTATTGAAATAAATGTCATGATCTGCAAATTCTCCGTTTCTTGTTGGTTCTAAATTGGAATAAGATTCATTTCGATACTCGCTCACTTTATAAATCTTCCGTTCTGAAGTGTACCTGATAAAAATGTTCTATACTACCAAGAAATTTGAATATCTAGCAAATTTTGTGGCCTGAACCTATATTCCATGCCGGCTGCATCATATTCTGTTTCCATTTTTGTATAGTTACGTTATCCGATGGAAATTCGAATAGAGTGAATTGATTTCCCGTGTACTCACAGTTGAAAACTGCACAAACTTTCATCTTCCTCCTAATTCTCTCAATTTGTCAAACCTTTGAAATTTATGTCATGTACGTCCGTGTACAGTCAGTTCCCGTTTTTACCATCAGTTTATTTGTGGTTATGTCTGATTGTCAGCGCTTGTCATAGTGTCCGTACTCTGATATACAAAAAACGTCAAAACAGCAGATTCAAGTACATTCAAGAACTCTAGTTGGAACTCACTGCGGGATGGTCGAAGTTAGCTCGTGCTACCAAGGCGAACCGCCCTTTCTGCCGTATGGCGTGGGAGGGGGTGGAGTCAAGGCGTGCGCGGCCACGCCCCTAAGAACCACAAGCCCGATGGTAAGAACTGACTGCGGGATGGTCGAAGTTAGTTCGCGCTACCAAGGCGGCCCGCCCTCCCAGCGGTAAAGCGTGGGAGGGGCGGGGCCAAGGCTGGCGCGGGCATGCTTTCCAAGAAGGCACCCTGCGTGCAGCAGAGCCCGATTATCATCCACTGAAGGGATTTTCTTCGGTGTTGAGCTTCCCGTCGCGATTTGCGGTGGAACTGACTGAGGTAGGGTCTGAAGTAGCTCGTTTCGGACGGGAAGTCGAGGGGTTTTCCAAGGAAAATGTCGTACTCGTCAGAGAATGTTACTTGAAAAGTACATTTCTGTGAACTGTGACTCGAATATTTGTTTGGCTCTGGTTTGGAAACATCAGATTAGAGAAATAGACCAGGGCGAGAGCCTTCAAGAATGGTAAAAAGTGAAGAAAGATGATAGATATAGATATGACGGGCGATCTGAGGTCGAGAAATGGATGTTTTTTAGGGTAAAAAACGGTTTATCTCTATTTTTGGCAAATCTACAAGTCCTATGGGAAAGAGTTGAATGCAAAAGTTGTAGGTACAAAAAGGTCTATAACTTTTGTATTCACACTTTTTTCACGTAACCCCAAGATTTATGTGAAATATTCAAATATCAAAGTTTTTGTTTTATTTTTATTTTTCTTTGACTAGAATTTGTTTTCACGGAATTTAACAAGAACCTGTTACCTTTTTTATGTCCCAAACTTTTTTTGACAGAGTGGAGCAGATATTTTGACGGGAGGATTTTCGATTGGAAATTAAGGTGCTTTTTCGATAGGAGTCGATATAAGGTGAAAAAAATAGTATTTCAAATCGGAAAAAAATTAATAAAAAGGTAAGTTTAAACCGAATTTCGTGAGGAAATATTTATTTTTTGTTGAAGAGAAATTACAAACCAGAAAATGGTTACAATTACAACAGTTATATATATCTTTTCATTACTTACAACTTTGCCATTTAACTTTTTTCCATAGGACTTGTAGTTTTGCGGACAATCGAAATAAACCGTTTTTTATGTTTTTTCAAATTATCGACCCTGGTTTAAGGCTCACGAAAAGTATGTTTGGTACTTTGCTACCTAAGCGGTACTACGAGCACTGGAACAGTTGAGGCCAGATGTCGATTCATTTAAAGCCGTGACAAGCTTGATAAAAATATCAATTGAAATATCGAAATGCCAAACTTGACACTGTTCATTTTATGGGTAGCTGAAATATTAGGTAATTCGTAGCGAATTCCCCATATACTCTGAACGGTTTTTTATCAATTTGCTTTGCTCAATATCGCTTCAATTAAAAACCCCAATCTTAAAAGTGCACCGTTTTTAGATGATGTCACACCTGACTATAGACTTTGTGTCATGAAAAATTTGAATTGAGCAGGGTTGAAATTCGGAATTGAAGGCGTGAGGAACGTCCATATGTCCACGCCCCCTCTATATTCCGATTGGTTGAGAGGCGGGGTCTGTGGTGAAGGCGGGGAGACCCACGCGGTGCCTTGCCTACTAATAACTGAATCTATGATGATATGAATCTGTCTGGCAGCATACATCTTGGAACTTCCTATTCCCTGGCATTTTTATACAGAATGAGGTAGTTTGGATTATTCCTGCAGTTAGTTCCAGGTTCATAGTTTACTTTGCTAGACTACTTTCGCATCGAGGAAGTATTGTGATTTGTGATTCGACTGATGACTAACGCAGTTTTTTATCTAGGCAATATTACGTGTTGAGTGTTGTTAATGTTAATGTAATTGAGAAAAATGAATTGGTAATATGCAAACAATTGCTTAGTGACGACGGAAAGAAATGTGGCCGTTGCCGAGGACATTCAGCGGACCCCGATTTTAATTTACGGAGAATTTTATTATATCAGTAATTGAATGAAAGGTAATTTATGATTAGTATTCAAATATATTGATTATAGCAAATACATATGTACCTATACAAGTTTGCTGTTGTCTTTCCTTTATTTTAGTTGTTTTATTTTCCTTACCAACGGACTTCTCCAAGAATCTCTGGTGTGCTGATTGTGTCCCATTAGCAGGGTTGGAAGTCAAAAAAGTCCGACTTCTTTAACTAATTCGGATTTTTTTCAAATTAATTCACTTAAAAAAAATTTATATTCACCCACTTTTTTGTTCTTACGTGTTTTTGTCTGAAAAACACGAATTTGATAATGAAAATGTGAACAAACCATTACTTATCAAGATATTTCACCATAAGTTACAAATTTCACCTGCTTTTCCGCGTCTTCTGGATTGCATTCAAAACAATTTACCCTTCTTTTTCCATCATTGGACAATTTATATATATCACAATGTAAGACACATTTTTTTCTATTATTGAGTCAACTAGAAATATGATTTACTTGTGATTTATCCATATTTAGTGAAAAGAAGGAAGAATATCATCTGGTATGCTTGTTCACTAAATATGAAAAACTCGCCATAAAAATCATATTTCCTGTTGAATTTTCTGTATAAAAATGTGTTATTATTGAAGTACATCATGAGTGAGTATATAAAGTGTCCAATGACAAAATAAGAAGAGCAAGTACCTGTAAATGCATCAAACACAAGGGGGAAAAGGAGTAGAAAATTCGAACTTTTTTTTCAAATATCTCGATAAATAGTGGTTTGTTTACATTATCATTGTCAAATTCGTGTTTTTCAGACAAAAATACATGAGTACCAAAAAAAATTTTCAAAAAAAAATCCAACGCATGCTAAATGCAGTTTTGCCAAAAAAATATTCACCTAAACGGGATACAACAACGCAACAAAAAAACTAGTTTTCATTTTCGTCGGCACAGCGATTTATTTTGCTGCTATTATTCCGGACATACTTCCGTCATGTGATAACGGGTTGAAACAAAAAGCAAAGTACCGCGATTCAAACTGATCTATAAGTTAGTGGCAGAGCATATCATTACTTCCCAGAATATTTCGCCCCCAGCTAAAGATAATATCCGATGGAGCAGTGTAAAACTCACCATGTGGATTAGAATACTTCTAGTGTGAGCGCCACATGAGCACATACTGGTCCATCGGATGTTATCTTTTGACGAGGGCGAAATATTCACGGAAATATTGACGCTTAGATCAGTTTTGGATCCAGGCACATTTTTTACTTGGGGCACAGGTAGATTTTTGAGATCTACCATTCAACTTGTATGGAATGGCATAATAAATCATTTTGCTCAGGATAGTGATTGGCACAGGTGCTGTTATGAACTGAAATGTTTTTACATTCCTTTGGGACATGTATCATTTCCTTATCAGCCGGTTCTCCTACTATGTGAGAAGGCTAAAGTAACAAGTTTTTATCTTTGCTTGGCATGACATTGAAATATACCCGAATATAATAATTGATTATAGTACATTTATTTAATCTATACAATTTTAAAAATAACATTCAGATTTTGAATACTGCAGAAGAACTAGAATAAAGAAGCATTATTATTAACATTAAATATCTCATTATACAGATTTCCCCAGAATCAGAAATAATTGCATCAAAATGATATTTCAAATCCAATCAAACTCATCAAAAAACTAGTGATCACTGATTCAACACTTGAAATCATCCAGAGACCTTTGTTCAAAAATATTTTGAAGTCGGTTATTTGATCATTGATTGAACTGAAATACCAACACACTAGATGTTTAATCCACCACTCATGTAACTTATATATTAATAGCTTTATATACAAGATAATACATATTTAAAATAGTATATCCTCATCTCCTTCATCTAACATATTACCACTAGAGGCTTGTGCTTCTTTGAGGAGACCTGCAGCAATCAATGCTTGCTTTGCCTTTTCAACTTTGGCTCTATGGATCTTCTTTTTGTCCTGAATTTTCTTCAACCTGTAGAATTCCTCTCTTTCCAACTCATCAAGCTCAGAAATGATGTAGGCCAATGTACGTTCAATTCTTGGAATGATAACTGAAAAATAATGAGATATATTAGTTACTTCAATGGAAATTTCAGGCAGTATTTACCATGCTCAATAGCATTCACTCTTCTGTTTGTTATCTTGATAACATCATCTAGAGTGACAAATGATGTTTGCAGAGATGCAAGTTCTACTAGTAGCTTCACAGCACTCTGGTAGTTTTTCTTGAGTTTTGCCAACTGCTGGCCTCCTCTAGCCAATCCAGCCAGCTCATATGTGTCAGTACCATCTTGGTAGCTTTCAAACACTGGCAAAGTTACACCTATAACAAAAAACATGTAGGCTTCCCCAGAAAGTGAAAAGTATGATTTCTAACCTGCTACATTGTCTTTTTTGGTTCTTATTTTGATTTGAGCCTTGGTAACGTTTTGAAGAACCACTTGATTGAAATCCCCAGTAGTGAATTTAGCTTCTGCCAAAGAGAAGGCTGCCTCCTTCATCACTTCTCCCATAAGGGTTTTTGTTTCTATGATTTTGTTCAAAATCATACGGAATCTCATCTGCAAGGCATCTGCCTTCTTCTTCAATAAGCTGTGGCCCTTCTGGGCCCCCTTCAAACGGGCCTTCATCAACATCTGAGCCCTAGAAAAACAGGCACTCCCATAAATGTTTTGTTCCTATACATCAGCTTAGATAATTGCATTAATTAGTGACCTACCCTCTAGATGGGAAAATTGGTAGCCTCTCTCTTGCAGACATCTCGTGAAACTTTGTATTTTGTTCAGAATTTTTAACTACCAAATTGTTATCACGAGCTTCTCATGCGACAAATCCTTGAAAATTTGAAATGTCAATTATTTACAGAAAGTCAGCTGACTTTTGTCTGATGACGTTGCATGTCATGTGAGGTGTTTTCCATTGGGAGGTTTCCCGCAGAGAAGTTATACTTGTTTTTGTTCAACACATGCAAGAGTAAGAGATAGATATATATGAGTGATTTTTCGTGCGAGGATCGGGAAAGTGGTGCTAGAATTCAATGTACATATACAGGATGTTCTGGATGTGCTCAATCCGAATTTGAAATATTTTTTCAAGAAATATTTTTAAATTGAATAACTTGTTTGATTTTTGAAATATTCAGTCTCTTGCTGGTCACCAAAATCTCCATTTTCATTTTGAGGAAACAAATTATAACTTTCTTATTCTCACACATTGCCATATACAGTGTGTCCCACTTACCATGCTCACCATGGGTATCTTTTTAACGGTGAGAGATACGAAGTCGGTTAAATGACACCAAATGTGGAGTTTGTCAAGGCCAACTATAAAGTTAAAAAATATTTCGATAGAAATACGCGAAAAACAGATTTTGATCATTTTCATGTCTCCTCCGTAACTTCTTATTTATTTATGAAAATATTCAAATAGGAATTTCACATTCTCCTGGCAGTTTTTCAAAGTGATTTCGGAAAAAATATGAATAATTTATACCAACTCTTCTAGAATTTGAGATATCAGCACCAACCTTAGTTTTTCGAATGTAGGTCAAAGCTCACTATGATTTAGTTACAAATAAATAACTTTTTTTTCTCTTACAGATGATATGTCGCAGTAATAGTTTTGTGTTGATAACAATAACGGAGTTATCGTCAGCATTTATATAAAAATAAAAAATTATTTGGAAGCCGCCATCTTGAATTTATGAATTTTAACAAAAAAATCATAATCTCCGACTTCAAACACCCCCACTAACCAATTTTGAATAGAATCGGACCAAATCTTGCCGCCATCTTGGAGCAGCCATTTTTTTTTCAATTTCAACAAAAATTCCATAATGTATTGTCACCGAAATTATGAACACTTGCCGTCCTATCAACTTGAAATTTGGCAGATGTTCGTAAATCCGGTGACAATAATATACATTATGGAATTTTTGTTGAAATTTAAAAAAAATGGCTGCTCCAAGATGGCGGACATGATTTGGTCCGATTCCATTCAAAATTGGTAAGTGGGGGTTTTTGAGGCCGGAGATCATGATTTTTTTGTTAAAATTCATGAATTCAAAATGGCGGCTTCCAAATAATTTTTTGTTTTTGTATATAAATGACGATAGCTTCGTTGTTATCAACACAAAACTATTACTGCGACATATCATCTGTAAGAGAAAAAAAGTTATTTGTAACTAAGTCATAGTGAGCTTTGACCAACATTTGAAAAACTAAAGTTGGTGTTGATATCTCAAAATCTAGAAGAGTTGGTATAAATTTCATATTTTTTCCGAAATCACTTTGAAAAACTGCCAGGAGAATGTGAAATTCCCATTTGAATATTTTCATAAAAAAAAAAGTTATGGAGGAGACATGAAAATGATCAAAATCTGTTTTTCGCGTATAAAACAAAAACGAATAGATTTTATCAAAATATTTTTTCACATTATAGTTGGCCTTGACAAACTCCACATTTGGTGTCGTATCGCTCACCGTTAAAAATATACCTATGGTGAGCATGGTAAAGTGGGACACACTGTATAAAGGCCCTTTCATAATTATACAGTGTCAAGGCTCTGCAATTTATTGACTTTTGTAAAATAAAACAACAGTTCAATTTCTTTGGCTTCCATAATTTCTCAAACATTTTAGATTAAAATATAATATATAATTATCACATCATCAATAAAGTTACATACAAAAAACGAAATAAAATTTTAAGAAAGCTAAACATCTTCGCGTTTATCACCATAACAACAACAATTTGTACAGTCGAAGTAACATTGCTATCTCTTGCTACCCCCGTTTCTTTCCCCGTACACCTGGTATTGCAGCTGCCGAATCTCGTTGATCAGCTTCTCTTTCTCGTTCAGCAGCAAAACGATCTCGTCTTGGGATTTCTGCAGACACAGACGGAGCACGTCGGATTCCTCCTTGGCTTTCCGCAGCACGTGATTCTCCTCGGAAATCCTCTCGAAAGCCGTCAAGCGCCTCTTCAGCTCTTCATTCTCTTGCGCTTGTTGGCTTTTTGATATGGAAAGAACTTGATTGGTCCCATCTGGACAACAAAATACAGAAAAACATCGTAACTATGCCAAAAAATAGGAATATACGCCGAATATTCCTAGAATATACAGGGTGTTAATTTATAATTAAATTAAGGAGATAAGTTTATATGAACACTAGCTGACCCGGCAAACGTTGTTTTGCCAACATTATTTCTAGAAACAAATTTGTAGATATATATTTATCAGAAAACTTTCATTATTTTATTTCAACTTCTTTCCAGTTTGTCAATCAATGAAAGCGGGTTTCTTTAGTTTTTCATACTACTCTATTTATTTTCTACTTCTTTTTAGTTAGGTAGGTACTCGATACCTCTTCATTTTTTCAAACTACTCTTTATTTTCTACTCACTTCTTTTTAGTTTGGCTATCTATGAAAAGGTGTTTCATTAGTTTTTCAAACTAATATTTATTACAATAGCTGATACCCGGCAAACGTTGTTTTGCTATATACAATTATTTCTAGAAAATATTTTTTTAGTTAAATATTCATCAACATACTTTTATTATTTTGTTTCCTAATTCTTCTCCGACCCCGAAAACGACCAGATTCAAACTTTGAATAAAATCGGATCATAATCACAAAACTCAGTTTCCATATTGGACCCTCCATCTTTAATTTCCTAATTTTGATGAAGAATCATCCGGTCCCAAAATCCCCCAGATACAAATTCAGAATGGAATCGGATCATAGTTACAAAACTCGTCCGCCATTTTAAATCTGCCATCTTGGATTTCTAAATTTTGATGAAGGAATCATTATTACCGACTCCGAAAACCCCTCCATACCAATTTTGCATAGAATCTGATCATAATCAAAAAACTCGTCCGTCATATTGGATCCACCATTTTGAATTTCCCCATTTTGACAAATGATTCATATTTCCGACCTCTGAAACCGCCAGATACCAATTTTGCATAGAATCTGACCATGATTACAAAACTCGTCCGCCATATTGGATCCGCCATTTCGAATTTCCAAATTCTGACGAACGAACCATAATCTCCGACCCCGAAAACCGTCAGATATCAATTTTGAATACAATTCAAATAATGAAATGAAACTGATTTTTTTCCAAAACTTTATCGCCCTGTATCTCAAAGGTTAAGACTTTTAAGACATACGTTCATAGGAAGTTTTTATCTTAAAATGAGTCAAAGAATCTCCCCCTTGAATATTAACATGTCTTTAAGGAACACCCTGTATATCAAATAGTAATGTTTTGAGGAATAATTAATGGTACCTAATTTGAATGGTATTTTTCAAACTGCCAGGGCAGAACGTAGCTTTTGCTGCAAAAAATACCATTCATATTCTTCTTGGTAACCCTAAAGATACGATGAGCCAGGTTTTTATGAAATAATGACTGTAACACGAAATATATTGGGCAAACGCGTCAAAGCATCGATATAAGAATTGAAGAACATATATTGCTCTCTTCAGATAAACGGTTCGATAAACCAAGTGTTGCCGAACATATTCTTGAAACTTTCCATCCTATACAGTGTGTTTCATCAATAAATTACCTACTAATATAAAAATAGCAGAAATTCGAATATGAATTTGAAAAACTTACTTCTTCTGAATGGAATAGATGAATTAATTTATGTTATTACCTTTTATAATTCCTGTTAAAATTGGCCCTTGTTCACTAATATAAATTTTGCTTTGATATAAAATTTGAATGGTATTTTTCATGTATTTTCAAAATGCAAGGGCAGAACGTAGCTTTTACTGCAAAAAAATACCATTCATATTCTTCTTGGTAACCCTAAAGATACGATGAGCCAGGTTTTTATGTAATAATGACTGTAACACGAAATATATTGGGCAAACGCGTCACAGCATCGATATAAGAATTGAAGAACATGTATTGCTCGCTTCAGATAAACGGTACGATAAAACAAGTGTTGCCGAACATATTCTTGCAACTTTCCATCCTATACAGTGTGTTTCATCAATAAATTACCTACTAATATAAAAATAGCAGAAATTCGAATATGAATTTGAAAAACTTACTTCTTCTGAATGGAATAGATGAATTAATTTATGTTATTACCTTTTATAATTCCTGTTAAAATTGGCCCTTGTTCACTAATATAATTATTGCTTTGATATAAAATTTGAATGGTATTTTTCATGTATTTTCAAAATGCAAGGGCAGAACGTAGCTTTTACTGCAAAAAATACCATTCATATTCTTCTTGGTAACCCTAAAGATACGATGAGCCAGGTTTTTATGTAATAATGACTGTAACACGAAATATATTGGGCAAACGCGTCAAAGCATCGATATAAGAATTGAAGAACATGTATTGCTCGCTTCAGATAAACGGTACGATAAAACAAGTGTTGCCGAACATATTCTTGAAACTTTCCATCCTATACAGTGTGTTTCATCAATAAATTACCTACTAATATAAAAATAGCAGAAATTTGAATATGAATTTAAAAAACTTACTCATCTCTTCTGAATGGAATAGATGAATTAATTTATGTTATTACCTTTTATAATTCCTGTTGAAATTGGCCCTTGTTCACTAATATAATTATTGCTTTGATATAAAATTTGAATGGTATTTTTCATGTATTTTCAAACTGCAAGGGCAGAACGTAGCTTTTACTGGGAAAAACACCATTCATATTTTTCTTGGTAACCCTAGAGATACGATGAGCTAGGTTTTTATGTAATAATGACTGTAACACGAAATATATTGGGCAAACGCGTCAAAGCATCGATATAAGAATTTAAGAACATATATTGCTCGCTTCAGATAAACGGTTCGATAAACCAAGTGTTGCCGAACATATTCTTGAAACTTTCCATCCTATACAGTGTGTTTCATCAATAAATTACCTACTAATATAAAAATAGCAGAAATTCGAATATGAATTTAAAAAACTTACTTATCCTTTTATAATTCCTGTTAAAATTGGCCCTTGTTCACTAATATAATTGATTTGATATAAAATGAATTCAAATGTTTGTTCATTCATTTTTTATCTTTGTATCAACATTATTTTCAACTACTTCCTTAAACCAGAATTCATAACGAGATTTTCGATTGTGACTGGAAGTTATATTACCAATGAAAAATAATGAAACGATTTTGATAATACTCACCAATATCATTGGATGGGCTAGAGTCCTTAATATCAGGCAGTATATTTACAACTCCGTTCTCGTCTCTTGATATGTTCATGCGCGGAATATTAAGATCTATCGGCACAGGACCAGGACTTGAGATATTCGCCGGGGGCCGATCCTCATTTAAGTGTATCTTCACATTTTCCAACTTCACCTGAAAATGAAAAATTATGGAAGGAATGATTCCATCAGGGTTGTTTTGTTTTAAACATTTTGTTGTAATCAACTGTTTTAAACATGTTTTAAACATGTGCTCAAGTTTTAAACAGTTTTTGTTCAAAACAAAACTCCACACATTTGGTGTCATTTAACCGACCTCGTTTCTCTCACCTTTCAAGAGATACCCATGGTGAGCATGGTAAGTGGGACACACTGTATAGCCCACTGGCAATGCGAATTTATAAATGGTCTGTGGTTCCCCCAGGCCAACAGTCCTCATCAGGTTTGTTCGCGTTCGAAAAATAAACAGTCTGAAACCATCAGAAGCATGCGCAGTTCCACGGAACTTGGAAAATGTGTACTGTTTTGTGAAATTGCGCATGCTCCTGATAGTTTCGGACTGTTTAAATTCTGAACGCGAACATGCCTATCACAATTGGTTTTCTTATTTCGGGGATTCACCGGCACATCCTCACAGCGATGGTGTGACGTTCATAACACAGCTGATCGCGAAAGTTTAGTTCAGTATACAGAGTCTGACTTCAAATAAGGAGTCTATTATTTAGTGGACTAATACTAAAGATTATTATATCAAACATTTTGAATTAATCTCTGAATTAATAATGTTTGAAAAAATTTGATTTGAACAATGTCTTTTTCTAAGCTTTATTTGTTTAAATCATAAAATTCAGAAACAAAAAAAAACAATGTTTAAAACAAAAAAAAACCGTTTAAAACAAAAAAAACATGTGTTTTGTATAAAATTAAAAAATACATGTTTTTTTTTCAACCCTGGTTTCCATGTTTAGCTGAGAGTGGTAGTAGTGTAATCTTTATTATAGGACTAGCAGACCTCGCATTTTTTCAGTTCAATATATTAATATAGGTACTATTTATTATTTTATTTTCTACTTCTTTATTTTAGTTTCGCTATCTATAAAAGCGTGTTTCTTCAGTTTTTCAAACTACCATTTATTTCAACTACTTTTTAGTTCACTTGAATTCCCCAATTCCTAAAACCCCAAATGAAAATTTTGAATAGAATCGGATCATAATTACAAGACCCGTCCGCAATAATGGATCTGCCATCTCGAATTCCCTAATTTTTACGATGGAATCATAATTTTTGATCCCGAAAACGCCCACTTACAAATCAGTATATAATTACAAAACTCGTCCGGTATATTGGTTCCACCGTCTTGAATTTCCAAATCCCGCCCTTTCCAAATTGTGACAAAAGAATCATAATCTCCGAACCCGAAAACACCCAGATAACAATTTTGAAGAGAGTCGGATCAAAATTACAATACTCGTTAACGATATTGGGTCTGCCATCTTTAATTTCTTAATTTCGACGAAGGAATCATAATCTCCGATCACGAAAACCCCTAGCTACAAATTTTGAAAAGAATCGGATTATAATTACAAAACTCATCCGCCATGTTGGTTCCACCATCTTGAATCTCCGAAATCCGCCCGAATTTTCAAATTCTGACGAAAGAATCATAATCTCCGACCCCGAAAACCCCCAGATACCAATTTTGAATAGAATCGGACCATAATTACAAAACTCGTCCCGATATACAAATACAGGGTGGTGCAGAATTCAGAATCTTGATCACCCGGTATATGTCCCAATTAAATATCAGTAGATAGTTAATCAAAAGTTGAGATAGGGACATGTAAGCCGTTTTGACCAATAATGAATAGTTTCGACAAAAAAAATCCTAAAGTTGAAAAATGACGATTTTTCACACCCTATATCTCTGTAATCATTTCCGCTAGACCCCAAGTGTGATACATCGATGAAATCAGCTATTCAGAGAGAATCTGAAAATGCAATGAAATACAGGGTGTTCCATTCAAAATAACAAAGTTGTTGCTACTTTTCGATAGAAGCGGCAACGCCGCAGAGCTGAAAGTATTTTAGATCGATAGACCAAGAGCAACTACGTCAGTAACCAAAATTTCAGAATGATCCTATGTCCCGTTCTCCATAAACGTCTAACGTACCATGGACCGTGAGTTACCCTGTAATAGATCCGCCATCTTCCTAATGGTACCGGGATAAAAAGTATCCTGGTTCTAAGCTACCTCACCACCAATTTTCAGCCAAATTAAAGTTTTCTCATTTACCATCCACGGCGAAAGTGAATTCCTGCGTATTTGACATTTTCTTGATAATCGAATGGCGAATGGGCGTCCCCATCTGCTGGTGTGATTGTTCCCCAAATAGTAAATATGGAAAAATCACAAGAAAATCATATTTCTGGTCGATTTTCAAGTTGAAAATGTGTCATTGAAGTACATCGTGATAAATAAATTGTCCAATCATGAAAAAAGAAGGGCAAATAGTTCTGAGACAAGCGGAAAAAGAAGGTAAAATTCAGAACTTTTTTGTGAAATATCTTGATAAATAGTGGTTTCTTCATATTACATTTTCATTATCAAATAATTATTTTATATTATAATCAAGTTGATTGATTGATTGAAATTGTGTTTATGAGACAAAAATACGTGATTACCAAAACCAATTTTCAAAAAAAAACGTCGCATGATAAGTGCAAAATTACTACTGGCGGTCGTAGAGATCGTAGAGAAATACCCAGACCATGGTTCACTTACCTTGATAGGGAAAAATATAGGCATAAATTCGTCCTCAACAAGATCCATCAAATTCGTCACAGTGCTCATGTTCAAGGTCAAATTCAGTTCGTTGACGTGCACGTTGAGCACGTCTCTGAAAGCCTTGCCGAACTGCTGCCTGTCGGTGAGATCCAAACCCAGTACGTGTTTCGAGCTCGGCACGGCCAGACTGTGGTCCAGGCGCAACTTCACTTTGGACGTCGCAGTCACATTGGGAGGATTCGAACTCCAGGCTCTCGATCTCGAATTGAATTTACTCTGGAAATCAACATTTTAGTATTGATTTGGTCCTTACTTGATTAAACAAAACGATATCATCACCACAAAATTCTCAACACGTTTGGTGTTCCCTAACTTGGAGTGTTTCCAAAGGTAAGTTTTCTTCAAGATGATGTGAAACTCATCAAAATAGACTGAATCACCAAACATTGTCCATATAAAACTTGAAAAAAAAAACGAAGTTCGAAAACCCACCGATAGAATTGGGCCTATTACGGTCCTGGTATATTTACTACTAGCAGACCTCGCAAACGTTGTTTTGCTACATACATTTTTTCTATATTATATTTTTTAGTTCAATATTCATCAAGACACTAAGGTTCGCGCATTGATTACAAATTGCGAAGTGACACTTTTTTTTCAGTTTCCTACGTTACCATGATACCTCGCACAAAACAATGCGCGAAGTAAAACAGTGCGCGAAGTACCTACTTCGCGCATTGTTATGTAAAATATATGAGATATTTATATTTCAACTTTATGGTCCTCAATCGAGCAAACATACACGAAATCATTTATTTCTGAATGTTCAACAATAACTTTGTTTTATCTCTTGGATCGCACGAAAGAAAATCCCTATTATGTTCGTGGAACATCGTGCGTACCTAGGGAGGATAGTGGGAGGCCTTTTAAGCCAGTTCAACACTATTTTCTATATCAAGCTTAGCATATTTTTACTTTGGAGCTATATTTTTTGACGTTTGTAGAAAAAATGTTGTTTGCAACTCGAGCGCGAAATACTTTGGTCATCTCGACTATTTTTTTAACTCGGCTACGCCTCGTAAAAAAAATCAGATCTCGATCACCAAAGTAGCATTTCGCGCTCTAGATACAAAAATAACTATATTTTCTACTTCTTTTTAGTTTCGCTATCTATAAAAGCGTGTTTCTTCAGTTTTTCAAACTATCATTTATTTCAACTTCTTTTTAGTTCACTTGAATTTCCCAATTTTCACGAAAGAATCATAATATCCGACTCCTAAAACCCCAGATGAAAATGTTGTATAGAATAGGAACATAATTACAAAACTCTTCCGCAATATTGGATCGAGAACGCCCACTTACAAATTTTGAATAGAATCGATATATAATTACAAAACTCTTCCGGTATAATGGTTCCACCGTCTTGAATTTCCAAATCTCGCCATTTCCAAATTTCGACAAAAGAATCATAATCTCCGACCCCAAGAACCACCAGATACCAAATTAGAATAAAATCGGATCCTAATTACAAAATCCGCCATCTTGAATTTATTGATTTTGACGAATGAATCCTAATCCCCGATCACGAAAACTTCTAGGTACCAGTTTTGAAAAGAATCGGATTATAATTAGAAAACTCGTCCACCATATTGGTTCCGCCATCTTGAATTTCCAAATTCCGCCTGAATTTTCAAATTCTGACGAAAGAATCATAATCTCCGACCCCGAAAACCCCCAGATACCAATTTTGAATAGATTCGGACCATAATTACAAAACTCGTCCGATATATTAGATCCGCCATTTCGAATTTCCTAATGGTACCGGGATAAAAAGTATCCTATAACCTTCTCCTGGTTCTAAGCTACCTCCCCACCAATTTTCAGCCAAATCGATCCAGTAGTTTCGGAGCCTATTCAATACAAACAAACAAACGAACAAACAAACAAACAAACAAACAAACAAACAAACAAACAAACAAACAAACAAACAAACAAACAAACAAACAAACAAACAAACAAACAAACAAACAAACAAACAAACAAACAAACAAACAAACAAACAAACAAACAAACAAACAAACAAACAAACAAACAAACAAACAAACAAACAAACAAACAAACAAACAAACAAACAAACAAACAAACAAACAAACAAACAAACAAACAAACAAACAAACAAACAAACAAACAAACAAACAAACAAACAAACAAACAAACAAACAAACAAACAAACAAACAAACAAACAAACAAACAAACAAACAAACAAACAATCAAATCTTTCCTCTTTATAATGTTAGTATAGATTTCGGGTGGTACAGGTCTTCTCACATGTCCTCCTCTTTTTTCCAACACCCTGTGCTACGACACCTTTGCATCAAATTAACGAACCTTCGCGGTGGTGAATGATTTCTTAACGGAAATATTTCCGTGTATAAACGGAATGCTGCTGCTGCACCTTGGCGACACTCACCATAAATCGAAAGCATGTAAACAAGTTCTTCATTTTTTGTTTTCTGGTACATTGCTTGAAAATGCACCAAAAAACAATTGAGGAAGATAATCCAATGATCAGCGCTAGGCAAACAAAATTCTACTGGGGATAGTAGTAGGGGGGCAGGGGATCAGTCGAGTACATCTCCTTACAAAAATGTCTCACCTTTGGGAACACCCAAGCGTTGAATTGTTGAGGTGTAGTTGATCAAGCAAGATGATTTTTGCATTTGTTCATTCTTATTGATTGCGAATTCTTAGATATTTCTTTGTTTCATGTTCGTTAAAGCGGTGGTGACACGACCTACCTATCTGACCAATGTATACATTAGGAAAAGATCCAGTTCCATATGTGACATGTTTTTGAAAAACCTAAGATAAATAATGTTTTCTTACATTGATTATGTTATTACCTGAAATTCGTCCCATGGAATAGAAGAGCAGTCATCACAAGCTAAATCTCCAATTTGAATCTTCAACGATGATGAGTAACCCACCGATTGATGAACGAATTCCACCGTTTTGAGTTTGAATGTGGAAACGGAAACCTTAAACATAATACTTCATTATCGCATATCGAAAATTAACGCTGTTTAGGAAGAAAGGTTATTCAAAACTTTTGTTATGTGTTGAAAAATATTAATTTCTTCAAACTTAAGGGATTTTTTCTCATTTCCTACAGACAATATTCACAGATATGTTTTCGAAATTATATTTCATTAGAAAAATTCAGCAAATCGACAACGTTCGACTTGAAAAACAAATAACTGGAATTTTATGGAACAAAATTCTAGTTTTATTGGATTTACAAATTAATGACAAAATCTCATTCAAATTGAATGGGCGTATATAAAAGCTTGTTGATTGTTGTTGTTGAATTTCAGAGCCCATTTCAAACGAATCGTCATGGCCAACATTTGACGATACGTCGAATAAATGGTGAAGTAAGTTTTTATGCTGTTCCGTTATTGGTCAGATAAACTTCCATTTCCACTCATGAAGCAAGGTTGTCAAGTCACCAATTATAATCAAGTTATCAAAAAGATGTTAGTCCTGTTGTGGAATAAAACACAATAAGAGGAACCCATGATATTTTAGTTCATTCTCGACTTTTTCAAGCAACCAACATGTCCAAATATTTCTTAATCTCCATAACAAAATATCATATGAATGTTGGAGACTTGGCAACATTGTGCTGGATGCTGAGAATTGACAAGACCGCGCCCACAAGTCGTGCGCCGTGTTGTCACGTTCACCGATTCAAATATCCTCTAGAGTGAATTAATATAATTATTATTAACACAAAATTCATTACAAGCAATAAGTCACATATCATAAGGGAACATTTTGAGACAATTAAATTTTTATTGCTAATTAGGAATTTCACCAATACTTAGGTAATTGAGAATTCATGAATTATTGAATTACTAATATTTCTGAAGTTCCTGATCGTATTTCAATACATGGCAACTGTGGTAGATATCTATTGAAATGAGGTATACGTATACCATTATTGTAGAAAAAAGATAAAGGGACCAAACGGTGAAAGCAAAATGTCAAATTTGTCGCCCCTGTCAAAAATGCTTTCATCAAACGGAAAAAATTCGTCCCATCCTGTATGAGACTGTATCACTAAGAAGCCGTTTACGTATGTAGAGATGCATTAGTATGAGTTTATTTAACTGCCCGAATATCATTAATACCATGGCAACCGTTTGAAAGTTATACATGAAATTATAACTCTCAAGGTCAATAACTGCGCAAAACAGCGCGATAGACATATTTTTTTTAACTACGGCCACTATAGAAAGTAGGCAAGAACGCACGAGATACAGCCTCAGTAGGTAGCTCTTTACGCACAGTAAGCACATCGCACAGTTTTCGTTTCTTCCGCCAGTCATGATCGAGTAATCGCCGTCAACAGCGGATGACTGTCAAGAATTATAATTCAGACTGTTTGGTAAAGGTTAAGTATAGTACGTAATATACTAATATGGCTCACTCTGTCAGCCCTATCATTTACGACATAGCCTCTCCGGACACCCTGGTATATCCCTCCTATTTTATTTTTACTTATCCATATCTCGTCCTCCGAACACACCGAACACTCACCAAATCCTTCCTGCGGCCGCTGGCGCTCGAGGCCGACCGATCGCTCGCCGTCGTGACGGGGCTCTTCTCCTCCTCCTCAACGACTACCTCGTCGGCCTCCTCCACCCTGTCGCCGTCGAAACAGAAATCGTGCACGAGGAACATGAGGTCGGTGCCGGGGATATCCGCCTCCATGCTGATGTGGACGAACTGCTCGGAGTCGCTGGAGGCGTCGCTCCTGGTCGACACGGTGTCGCTCATGTCGTCGACATTTGGTTTGAGGGCGCTGTCGATCGAGGACATGAGGCTGGTGAGACCTTTTCTCATTGAGTTGAGGCCTAGGGTCGGAAATTGACTGTGCAATATTGATATGAACGCGGGGACTAATTCAAATTCATTATTTCGACAATGAATGCACAAGACATAAATAGAATTTTACAATAAGCAATGTTGTTCGATGGTTGAGTGCAGTGGACTGTATTTCGAAGGTTGCTTTCGATGATTGAAGTTGCTGATCTTGATCCGGCTCGAAGGACCAATATGTTCGATGCTTGAGTGCAGTGTACTGTATTTCGAAGGTTGATGATATATACAACGAAGATTGATCAATAGAAAATTGCCATTGGAGTTGCAATTTCCCTAATTTTCTTTATTCTATTTAGTATTCCAACTGTTTCTCATGACAACGAGTTGCCATGTTACAACTTCTCTCATCCACATCTTGAACATATACCAAACAAATATTATCACGTGGATAAACTCATTCTAAGAATCAGATAATTTTTCTAGAAAAATGGGAGAACAGATCAGAACAACGTAAAGAGATTAACAAAAGTTTGACAGTCGAAGTAAAAGTCGTGCACGAGAAACATGAGGTCGGTGCCGGGAATATCCGCCTCCATGCTGATGTGGACGAACTGCTCGGAGTCGCTGGAGGCGTCGCTCCTGGTCAACACGGTGTCGCTCAAGTCGTCGTCATTTGGTTTGAGGGCGCTGTCGATCGAGGACATGAAGCTGGTGAGACCTTTCCTCATTGAGTTGAGGCCTAGGAGCTAAAGTTGAACTTTAGCTTCTAGGAACTAAAGTTCAACTCTAGTTCCTAGGAACTAAATATGTTGCCTAGCAACATACCTATTTTTGTGTCAGTAATAGAAACGTCAATTCAAGAGCTAATTTTGGTATCAAAATGGACGACTTTTGTGTCGGTTGCAGAAAAATGTGTTTATTTACTCACCAACATTGAAATTGGCTGGGAGATTCACGATTTGTTGCTGTGGTTGTTGTTGGACAATAGGGAAGTCTTGGTATTTCAGATCAATTTTATGTTGCTCAAAATCCACTGGATAAGAAACCATGGCGTCCAATTGACTTGTAGAACCGTTAGCCATCGTTTTTCTCGCTGCCTCCAACTGGGAAATGGATAAAGTACTGTTGTGCCACATAGATTGTGTAGAACCTAAATAAAATTCACATGATATGTTTCCCTTTATGGAAGCCTCAAGAGAACAAAAATGTTTAGTCTGTCATTATCTAGTCTGACCTACAATCAAATTAATTATAAAAATTTGATATCAACAACGAAGAAGAAGAGTTATTCTGTATCTATTTTTTTTTTTGGAAAGAAAAGAATGTTGGATGATACTGAATATTATTCAATATTTAAATTGAACAATAATAAATGACATTGATACATTGGTTGGATGCACAATGGATCAACCCCCTTTCAAAAATCTGATATAATTTTAGCGCTCATTAGAGATGATTTTATGAAAAGGACTAACCAATGATCGCATCACCAGCTATGCTCGATGAATCGGGTAAAAAAGATTCTCCATCCCCTCCAGACGATTCCTTGCCAGGGCAATGTGCAGGCATCACAAATGTCACTTCGAGTTGCGGCAGAAAAACCCCCATCACCATCGAATTGTTGCTGGGAACCTTCAAAATCGTTGGAAACAAAATGGCAAATATCATCTGTCAGTGATGGCTCGTCAGGCTTGGCAGGGCCGTACCAGAAAATTTGAGAAAAAAAGCTGAACTATTTAATGAATAACATTCTTTCTCGAAACTGTTTTTAATATTCATTGTTTCAGATAATCTTCCATTCCCACTCACGAAGCAAGTTTGTCAAGTCACCAATTATTGTCAAATTATCAAAAAGATGTGAGAGTCATGTCGTTGAATAAAACATATTAAGAGGAACCCATAATATTATAATTCAATACTCCATAACACTTGGTACAGATGACAGCTTTTCCCATGTAAGCTTAAAGCGCCTCAGATTTTGATTGGTCACAATCAATAACGGTAATAAGAGAAAGTTCGTTTCAATGCCAATTCGCGAGATTCACGAAGTGGGCGACATCTAGGTTTCATAATACGAACTTCAAACTGGGGGAAAACAAACTGTTGTCTATGGATAAAGTGCATAGACTACATTGACATAAAGTGTTATCACTCTTATCAGTACACAGTACACAAGATAATGGCACGCATGGAATTGAGTGAGGATTGAGTTTGTTTTCCCCCAGTTTTGACGTGGCTTTGACATGGAACGATGAAAGCCGAGCGCCACCTGGTAACATTGATTCCCGCGAATAAAAGAGAAATTTTCAAACATTTAGAACATTTTATAGGAGAAAAGCTGATATGTGTCCAGTATAACCCTAAAATAGTGAATGTGAACAGTCCGCGCTTCATTATTCATCTTGCCGCTGTAAGTTGTATGCTGCCATCTGTACCCACCATAACAAAATATCATGTAAATGTTGGAGACTTGGCACCATTGTGCTGAATGCTGAGAAAGGCCAAGACCACGCCCACAATCGTGCGCGCCATGTTGTCACGTTCACTGCTTCGAATATCCTCTAGTGTGAATTAATATAATTACTATTTACATAAATAAATAAGCGATAAGCCAAAAATCATAAGGGCACATTTTGTGACAATAGATTATGTATTGCTAAGTAGGAATATTAACAAAACATAATTGAGAATTGATTCATAATCAGAAACTCTTTTAGTTCTGCATTGAAAATATTTTGGCTACTTCGATTGTTTATATCATACGGAAGATGATTGAAACATTTTGCTCCCATATATGACGGAGAGTTCTTATAGGGACGAGTTGAATGTTTTTGGAGCCGCATCAATTCACTATGCCTGGTAGGATATGCATGAAAATAACAATTTCGGCTGTAGTCATGCATATTTGTTTTGAATAATAAAATGCATTTGTATATATAAATGCATGGAACGGACATGATTTTGTTTTGAAGGAAGTATTGTCCACACGATTCTCTTTAATTTATTTCAAATAATATCAATCGCATAACCCTTTTCTGGGAAATTAATATTTTATTGCGTTTTGTGCATTGAATGTGGCCGATAGTGATTCATTGATTCAATGATATTTTCGTTCAGGATTGAGCTCTATTCGAGATATTTCAATGCATAAATAACAAAACCATAACCTGTCAGAATGAACCCAACTACCCTCTGCATTCATGCCTCGAGTGCATTCGTGGTTATGTATGTTTTTGTTTACCAATTTAACTTTTTCTTCTATTTTTTCATTCGTTTTTCATTCCTTAGCTATTCGTTAGTTATTCGCTAGCTATATTCTTCACCATCAGCTATTTTCAGACTAGATTCAGAATTTACGTCACAGTTTGCCGCTCCGAAAACTATAAATTGCTTCAATTTGATAATGAAAGCGACTTCGACTTTATCGGTCGCCATTCTGTACAGGGTGGACATAAAACTGGAGAGTTCCGACCTCATTTTATGAAAATTCATCTGAAGGAAACTTCCCCATTAAACCTGACACTAACCTTCAATATCCTTTCTGCATCCAAGGATAAGTACGTAGTCATCATCGCCACGCTATCTGCCAGCCGCATCAGGAACAGGTACTGATAATGGTTCATTTGAACGCTGACTAAATTCGAAACGTGGACGATTGCATGAATGTCTGCGTTGGGAGCGTTGCCAGCCTGACCGAATAAAAATACAGTTGGATCTCAGAATATGATGATTATTAAGTGGAATTCCGGTTTTTTTCAAGTTAGACTTCATATTCTGAAATTTGTGAAATTCCGACTGATTTGAGACCCCAAAGGCACTCACTACAACTTTTTCTTGAACTCCCATATTGAAGTTAATTTTACTTTGAATTTACTTATGAAATGTAAGGTAAATTTCAAAAATTCCGAACCAAAACGTGAACAGCTGTTAACTTCTGATAACTTCATACTGAAAATTTTATAAAACAGTTAACTCCTAACGCATGATTTTTTCAAATTCCGATTTTCGAAGTTCAAAAAAGTTAATGAAGATTCGTGTTATATTCTAGAATTTTTGCTGATTTAAAAGGGGATATTTTTGGAAGACAGATGTCAAACTCTAGGATTCACAAGCAGAATTCATTCAAATTCTGAATATAAGGTTACAATAATTCCATATGACCTAGGGAAAGTCGAATAAAATGTTGAAATAACAGTAAGACCTTGGAAAATAAAAAAAATCCGACTCTATACTTGCAAATTTCTCAATTCCAACATCAGTTTCATGAGATTCTGACTTTTACACTAAATCTAACTTCACAAAAACCCAAAATTTGAAGTAGAATCCGCATCGGCGGCTACAACGTGAAATTCGGGTCCAGAAATAATTTTAAGATAACAGAATAGAAATTTTTTTGGGAACAGATTTCAAATTCTAGATGCAATTCCATAAGAAAAGGAGAAATATCAGTTGGATCTTAGACAATATACGATTTCCCGACAAAAATCTCGCGAATTTATCGATTTCAACCTCAATTTCACGAGATTCTTAAAATTCCAAAATCCCTTACCTGGTCATCGGGCGGCTTCAACGTGGAATTGGGATCCATGGTGGTGTGCAGCCACACCGAGACGGGCACGGCGTCGAGAAAGGCCACCGACTTGTTGACGCCCGGGGCGCGCGCCCCCCCGAAGTCCGCCCACACGGGGTCCAAGCTGACGCACCACACGTCCTTCGCCTCCAGCCACAGCATCTCCCGGCTGAATTTCGGTGACTGAACGAAAAAGGAAAAAAAGAAGTGTTTTACTGCCTAGGCAGTAAATTTTCACTTTTTTGCCTAGACAGTAAAGTTGCATTTTTATTGACTAAACAGTAAAGTTGCACATTTACTGCTTGTTCAGTGAATTTGGATTTTCACAGCCTAGACAGTTGAATTGAATAATCACCACCTAGGCGGTGAATTAGCACTCCAACTGTCTAAATGTTATATCTAGTAGAAAAATTTCATGAAATTCCAAAGATCGAACGTGGAAATCTGGTCCATGGTAGTGTGCAGCCACACGAGACGGCACGACGTCGTGAAAATCCACCGACTTGTTGACGCTCGGCCGAAGTCTGCCCACAAGGGGTCCAAGTTGACGCACCACACGTTCTTCGCCTCCAGCCACAACATCTCGTTGTTGCCCTTTTATTGTCTAGACAGTAAAGTTGAGAGTGAAGTTGCACTTTTATTGCCTAGACAGTGAAGTTGCACTTTTATTGCCTGGACAGTTAAGTGGTACAAGCTGACGCACCACACGTCCTTCGCCTCCAGCCACAGCATCTCGCGCCTGAATCTCGGTGACTGAACGAAAGGAAAAGTGTTTTACTGCCTAGGCAGTAAATTTTAACTTTCATTGCCTAGGAGGTAAAGTTGCACTTTTATTGACTACACAGTGAAGCTGCACATGTATTGCCTAGACAGTGAAGTTACACTTTTATTGCTTAGACAGTGAAGTTGCACTTCTACTGCCTGTACAGTGAATTTGGAATTTCATGAAATTCCGAAGATTGAACGTGGAATTCGGGTTCATGGTGGTATGCAGCCACACCGAGACGGCCACCAACTTATTGAATCCCGGGTCCAAGCTGACGCACCACACGTCTTTCACTGCCAGCCAGAGCATCTCGCGGCTGAATTTCGGAGAAGTTGCACTTTTTCTACCTGCGTGATAGATTCGGATTTTTAAAGCCTAGGCAGTAAATTAGCCCTATAACTGTCTAAAAATTGAATTTCAAGTACAAAGTTACAATTTAATGAAATTCTCTGGATTGAAATTGATATAATTCTGAAATAACAGTTAGATTTTGTATTATGGTAATCAATGTGAGCTAAATTTCAGATTTTTGTAAAATTCTGACTTAAAACTCAAAATTAGAACTTCTGATGCGAAATTTCTCATATTGATTTCAAAGGTGGAATTGTAGTTCTGACATCACAGATCTAGAAAAAATTCCGATTAGGAACTCAATGATTAGTGAAAACATCTCGAAAAACAACTGGAAATTTCAATATATTTTGACTTTGGACCTCAAATGAAGACTCTCGTTCGACCAGGCGGTAAATAAGTGCTTTTACTGCTGTTACCTAGGTAGTAAATAGACACCTTCACTGCCTAAGCAGTAAATTCTAACATCTACGGTCTATGCCTCGGTCTATGCAGTAAATTTGGATTTTCACAGCCTAGTTAGTAAAATTGGATTTTCACAGCCTAAGCAGTAAATTACCACTTCACTATCTGGGCAGTGGTAACTGCTTCAGCAGTAGATTAGACTATTCATTGTTTGAGTAGTAGGTGTGTTTTCTACTTCCTGGACAGTAATTGTGTATTTTTCACTTAAGAGACGATTTCATTTACTTAAAAAAATAAGTAAAGGAGCGTGAACTTTTTCATTATAAATATATAAGGTAAGATATGCTAAATATCTGAAATATCAGTTTTCAAGAATGCTTAAGCATGAATATCATTAGTTCTGCGAAAACAGTGACGATATACAGACTGACTGAATTGATGAATATAAATTGTATATTTTCTTTGCCCACATGCGAAACCATCACTAAAATGCATGCTTGGTGTTTTGTAGGTTTTTGAATTTTCAATTTTAGGTCTTCAGAACTGCTATATTGTTGAAATTCTCTGCATAGTCTTCTTGTAGTGTTGCTTAAGAAAAATATGCGATGAAAATTCAAAATCAAACTATAATCCTTTTTTTTTATATCGATCTCACCGAATTTTCCACTGAAGCAGCATCAATGGTGGCCGGCTTGCTCCTAATATTGTCCTCGGTCGAGATATGATCGAAAAACTTCTGCGTCAACAAATAATAGTCCCCGGGCAGCGAAGGGAAGCCGGAGCCGAAAAAGAGCGAGCCCATGTGGAAGGAATCCACGCACTTGGCGAGGTCCGCTCTGGAAGACTGCTCCAGACTTCGGATATTGGTCACGGTGGCTCTGGTCACCTGGAAAGACAGCCATCCAGGCCTGTCTTTCTGGCTCGGTTGATCGACGGTGCTCTCGAAGTTGATCTATAAAACGACTCCAAAGTATACAGCTGAGGCTCAGATTCAAATTCATTCTTCTAAGTCGGTCACTTTTGGTTGTAAAATAATTGTAATGACTTCAGCATAAAATACATTGGGCAAACACGTCAAATCATAGGTACAAGATTCAACGAACATTTAGAATATGATTGGTGTGATATACTGTGGTTACCCAACATATTCTTCAGACTAGTCAATCAATCAACAGTTCCATTTGTTTGCCGAACAGACGTGGACAAATTGTTACCTTAGGCAGAATAGCCTCTATTTTCACATCCACATAAGAATAATTTGAAACTTGCACATCATTCTTCGAGTTTTCCATGGACTGGAAGAGATTCAGAATGAAAGAGTTCAGCCATAAGCAGCTGTAAACGTCAACCAAAACGGTTATTGGATTCACTTGCACATAAAACTTTGGAGGTGGAACTGAAATATAAAAATGAATGTTTCAAATAGTAAGTAGTGTCATTTGAAAAGATATTCAAGTGTTGAGAAATACATATAATTCTTTCACAATCATTAATATAGATTTGGAAGGAATTCTGATATGAGATATACAGGGTGTATTAAAGTTGCTGGGACACAGAGCTATCACCTATGACAGAGGTCAAAATGGACCCAATTTATTTATAAACCAAAATGTACCGTTTGTCCGTGAAATTGGTTTCAAGTTTGTATACAGGTGCATTTCAATTTTTTACGTCGAATTGACATTTGTATTTATGAAGGTGGCTGTCATATTGAACATTTATTATAAAAAAACGTTCTGCCTTCATTTCCATTGTCAACAAAATTTTGTATTACAACGTTATTAAGCTTGGTATATAAATAAATTGGGTCCAATCAACTTATTTTGACCTCTATTACACGCGCTAGTCCTCTGTCCCAGCACTTTTAGGACACCCTGTATTTGATCCACTACTACTACAACTTACGTGGAAAAGGACAATCTGCAGGATAGTAATAATAAATGAATTCTGCGTGGACAATATTCGAATCTCTCGGTAGAGACATACTGCTGCGATCCCCTGACAAAAAAATTTATAAAATATTTCAAACGAATTCAGCACAACGATCATTCCCTCACCAAAAACAAACTCCTTCAATCCACCCTTATTATTCGAAGTTGCCACTCTATAAACAGTGAAATCTTCAATACGCAAAATAATGCAGGTAGTCATCAATTTTGATAACTGTAATTTCAGACTGGTCTCATAGTCTTTTTGGCTGTTCCTCCGCGGATCAGTCTCCGGACTTTTTGGCACACTTTGAGGTCTCTGCAAAAATAGTTATTCATTTCTTAATGTTTATTGAATATCTCGATGGAGGTTTGAAATAGAATATTACACACTGAGGTGGGAAGTGATTCATTCCTGTCGTGAGATTAGCTATTCGCGAGATTCACGAAGTGGGCGACATCTAGGTTACATAATACGAACTTCAAACTGGGGGAAAACAAACTGTTGTCTATGGATAAAGTGCAAAGACTACATTGCATTCAGCTTGCTGTAGCTGTAGTCAAACTTGTCCTGCTTTGCATGAACAAATACAAATCCATTGTTCTACAGGAGTTCCTCTGGACCCCAACTTCAATTTTACTTCATGTGGGGAAGATTTCATCGCCGAAGTTTGTAGACAAAGTGCAAAAATGTGCCTTTTGTTGAAGTCTTCTGCCTCACACAAAATCACATGATTAGCACGGAGAACTGATTCTCCTTCCACTACTGGTCGGCTTTTTCCATCTAAATAGAACAAAATATCTGCCAAAACAACATCTACAACAGGCATCAGTAGCGTTTTCGATCGAATATTGACAATTAATGTCAAGAAATTCGAAAACTTATCACTCTTATCAGTACACAGTACTGCGAATTCGCGGGAACCAGTAGGTGCGTTTTTTTGGTTTCCAACTGGTGGCAGTAGAATTGACGACCAAGAAAACGATGTGATGTATTTTGACAGTTGTGACATGCAGCTGATCTTTTTTAGGTGATATAATAATGATATAATTCCGGGATCTTGCTGTTTATCCGTACATAATTATAATTTCAATTTGTAATGGTCCAATAATGGATGTTGCTCCCGCTTTCTTGTTATCCTCCTTAGTAGTTGCATTGATTAGAATTCAAAATACATTGATATTCATCGATGAAACTGATTCCTTAATACTAGAAAGGGTTTAATACTTGTATTAGTCTTCTGATGTTATATCTACAGGAATACTCGACAACAGATTTTCTAGCATTAATATACCAAAAATTCAAAATTATTATGAAGATGTAATATACCTACCGCAAATGGATTTATCAATATTCAAAAGTCATTTCAGGAGTCCATAGGTGTTTGATAGTATTCTGGGTAGAATTGCAATTTTAGTCAATTTTTAGTTCAGATTTCGAGGTCAGAGTATCTGAAATACCGCCACTTCCGCCAATTCGTACACTCCCTCCATAATCGTCTTCCCCTATCATTCCGTATGAGAAGGCGGAATGAAAAGTTGAAACCAGTTTCAGAATTTCGTTCAATAAAACGACATAAACTGTCATTCCGGTGGAAGAATCTTGCCAATAAAACGCTCGGTTTTCATCGTTCCATGTCAAAGCCACGTCAAAACTGGGGGAAAACAAACTTGATCCTCACTCAATCCCATTAGTGCCATTAGCTTGTATACTGTGTACTGATAAGAGTGATAAGTTTTCAAATTTCTTGACATTAATTGTCAATATTCGATCGAAAACGCTAATAATGCCTGTTGTAGATGTTCTTTTGGCAGATATTTTGCTCTATTTAGACGGAAAAAGCCGACCAGTAGTGGAAGAAGAAACAGTTCTGAGTGCTAATCATGTGATTTTGTGTGAGGCAGAAGACTTCAACAAAAGACACATTTTTGCACTTTGTCTACAAACTTCGGCGATGAAATCTTCCCCACATGAAGTAAAATTGAAGTTGGGGTCCAGAGGAACTCCTGTAGAACAATGAATTTGTATTTGTTCATGCGAAGCAGGACAATCTGGGTATTGTAAACATGTTGTAGCTACTCTTTAATATGTCAATTGATTTGCTCGTCATAATTAGTTTGAATTGTTTGAACTATCTCCAATTCTTCACCCATTCACTGTTCACTAAACTAATAAAAATATTATGTAAAAAATTAACCAACTCAACCATCATCACCACCAACAGTGCCAACACTTTATGTCATTGACAAGTTTGACTACAGCTACAGCAAGCTGAATGCAATGTAGTCTATGCACTTTATCCTTAGACAACAGTTTGTTTTCCCCCAGTTTGAAGTTCGTATTATGTAACCTAGATGTCGCCCACTTCGTGAATCTCGCGAATAATTTCTAGACAGGAATGAAACCTCCTACCGAGGTTTGTATACTATTTGATTTACAACCATCATATTTCGATCAAAATTAATAAATCTATGTTTTGTTCTGAACATACCTGAATTATTACATGAGTGGGGCGGGAAGTGATGGCGGGAAGTAGTGAGGGAGGGAAGTAGAGGTGTGTAATGTGACACTTCCCAACCTTCAATGACGTTAGTAATGACAACATTACATACAGCGTGTCTCACTTTAAACGGCCCCCCCTCTATATCTCAGTTATTAGTCTAGCGAATCCAACCAAATTTGGTGTGGTATGAATAACCATCAATATGATCAGTTTTACAGAGATGTACATTATTTTGGACAGTGCCGTGCGTTTTTATTGAACTAGAAAGGGGTCGATTTTTTATAAAATCATATTAGGCATTTTTTGACAGGAAATCTAACCTCATATTATTGTTCCTCATGCTTTTCAACCTCCATATGCAAAAAATCACCTTATTCTGGATTAACAGGATTGGCTTCATTTTTTTCATTTTCAGTCTCGTATAAATAGTGAATTAAAATCAACTACGAATTTTGGAACGTTCAATGGCTCCGGTAGATGGCAAATCATGATTTGGAAGGAAAAACGAGTTATACTTTTCTATGTTGAACTGACCGTTTCCGAGTAAATAATTATTACGTTCGCAAAAATGCTGTTTAGATGTGCCTGTTTTTCTGAAACCCTTCATATAGGCATCTCATGAAAATCCACGTATGTGGGTTTGAAACCATGAAGAACAATATTATTAGGTCAGTTTTCCTGTGAAAAAATGCCTAATATGACTTAATAAAAAACTGACCCCTATTCATTCCAAAAAAAAATGCACGGCACTGTCTAGAATGATGTTTCTCTTTGAAAACTGGTCATATTGATGATAATTCATACCGATGGTGAAGATCACTCGACTGATAGCTGAGATATAGAGGGGGGCCGTTTGAAGTGAGTATATGGTTGTAAATAATTTTTTTTATCACATACTTTGTCCGCTCTACTCAGAGGAGTGTGCTGAGTCTTGTTGTAATCCAGCAAATCCATCAGTTTTGCTCTGAACGAGCTCAGAGCCTGATCCTGCCACATGGAATGGGGTACAGAGCTGACGTTGTACCTAGGCCAATGTTTTCTATTTCCTGCAATAAGTCTGTACAGGCAAGAATTCGCAAAAAACGAGATTAGTATACCCACCTTTTGCTAGATGGTAAGGGTAGTAATCGATTTGGAACTTTTTCAGGCAAATCTGTAGTGCCCCGCCATCTTTCAAACGAGGATGAGATGATCGACCACCTTTGGATCAGGGTTGGAATGAGTCATGAGTTTTATAAAAGTGTCAAAAAAGTCTGACTTTTCGAATTAATTCGGACTTTTTTGAATTAATTCATTTGAAAACAAATCAAATTCTATTTACTTGAACAAAATAAAAGAACATCGAAAAAATTAAGTTTTTATTTCCGTTAAAAATCTCTAAGCGCTAAGCGTGACAGAAAAATATGCAATTTTTGCAATATAAACTGAGACTTGATTGAATGAAAAATGATGTTTATACAAATTATATTACTCATTCACAATCTTCATTATAGAGGCGCTTTACAGTTATTTTCAATAAAATGCAGCAATATCCATGGCGCGTCTACGGATTGGTGTCACCTTGGAAAGCAGTTTTTCGATGCATTGCAAGAAATGAGTCCGGACATATTTATTTATATTGTGGTAATTTGTATTACTGGTGCAATTCTAGTGGTAACATGTTAGATTTTCGGAATTTCACGCATCATTTGATACACATTGGATCTTACTTTTCTTGCCTTTCTCATGGTTTCTTCTACCCAACTCTTGACCCAACTCAAAACTCGGTAAGAAGTAGTACACAGAATCTATGCCAAAAAACATTGCAAGTCGGTAATTCCGATTCAGTGTTGAAAAGCCTACATATTATTTTTGCCGGAAATATGAATTGAAGCAATCAATTGCATGCAATGAAATATTGTAAACTGTAAAGCGGCTCTTAGAAAATTTTGTTTTCCGCGTGTGGTGCTTCACGGTTGTCAGTTGTCAGATGCCATCGGATATTTCATTTTAAACTAGTTTAAATTGAAGGTAATAATGCGATTTGTTCCCATTTGATAAATTTTGAATTAATTCACGACTTATTTGAAAAAAGTCATTTGAATTAATTCACGAATTAAATCACTGACTTAATTCATATGAATTAATTCCTGCCAACCCTGCTTTGGATAATTTCATGAAAAAATATACAAAGTAACTATAGCTTGAAAATTATACATAAATAATCTCCCATAGCTTCCATCAATAATTTTGCTGAGCTTTCAGAAGAATTCATACTGATTTAGTATTTATAAAACTTCAAAATTTGATTAAATCTATGATAGCCAAAATAATTACAATAAATAAAATAGAAGTATATCAATGAGACCCTTCTTTTTGGTAAAATAATAGTTATACAGGGTGTTTCATTGGGAAAGGTGAATAATTCAACTGTGGATAGGGGTCACTGAGGTGATTTCAAAAAACCCATGGTTAATGGATCTTCGACATCTTATAACCGAGATACGGGATGTTTCATCAATTTTGCCCATATCTTTATTGTCTCATAACTTTCCAACCAACCTGTATATTTTTTTGAAAATTGCGACACTTACTCAATCTATCCTGTCGAATTGATTGAGGCATCAACAAAGGATAGAATCCTGGTCCGGCTTCACTTAAATTCACAATTTTCATCTGCTCAAAAACAACACCCTATACATTTGAATTTCTCAAATTTTTGGCCATATCTGAGAAGAGCATCAAAATGTCTATTCAACGATGTACTTTTTATTCATGCACAGACGATTTTTACAACTCATATCATGTGCTCAAAATATTATTTTTGCTCATTTCGGGGTATAAAGTGAAATCAGGCGAAGATTTATTAATGTTATTACTTCCTATTAAGTCTACGTGAGTATTACGTTTTGAAGGAGTGTTTCATATCGTTCTTTGTATTCATCCAGACTATTAAAAAATACAGTTGCAGGTCCGTCATCAAAACTATACACTAATAAACTATACTTAAACGTTTTAGACAAACCTGGCAACGGATAAATCAGAAAATTCGATGGCGTGTATAAATTAATATAATCTACACCCTGTATTTCATTACATACTTGGATTCTTCCTGAAGGGCTGATTTCATCGATTCACAACATTCGGACTCTAGCGGGACTGATAACTGAGATATAGGTTGTGAAAAATCGAGATGTTTCAACTTTCGAAATTTTTTGTATTGAAACTATTCATTATTGCATCGTCAAAACGACTTCCATGTCCCTATCTTAACTTTCCATTTACTATCAATTGATATTCAATTGAAATAGATACAGGGTGGTGCAGAATTCCGAATTATTAACCACCCTGTATTTGTTTCTATTAAATGTCAGTGGATAGTAAATACAAAGTTAAGATAGGGACATGAAAGCCGTTTTGATCGATAATAAATATTTTCGCCACAAAATATTTCTAAAGTTAAAACATCTCGATTTTTCACACTCTAAATATCTCAGTAATTAGTCCCACTAGATCCCGAACGTTGTGAATTGATGAAATCTACTCTTCAGAAAGAATCCAGGGTGTCCCATTTGTAAAATCAAAGTTACTGCTACTACGGCAACGCCGGATCGTTTCAAATATTTCAGATGTTGAGATCATGTTAATTTATACCTACTTGTATATACAGGGTGTCCCATAGGTCATGGATCAAAAGAAATGGGGTCGTGCAATCAAACTAACAGTATAATATGTGGTTATCAAATTGTTGACTTCTTTTGATCCATGACTTGTGGGACACCCTGTATATCAAGGAGCAAATAAGGTACCCATTTATTCCTCCCGCGTGTGAAGTTTGATGCCTGACATGTAGCAAATGTCATTAAACACACCAACAGAAGAAATATAATATATAATTTTATCCACAAAGGCATATATTTCAGAGTGTTGTTCTTAAAATTGTGCTTCAAGCAGTCTATTCAAATTAGCCACCTTTTATACCTGATATGAGTCCAATTGAGCATGTATACATGTATGAAGTGAAATAAATGATTAATTTGCAAAAATTGATGCAATTTCAAAACATTGGGAATAAGCTTTTTCCCATAATTCAATCAACTGAGATAAAAATTATTCCCAATCCCATGCAACATGCAATAGCAATAGAGCTTTAGGAATTTTGAAGTCAAGAAGTAGTCTATTATTTTCTGAACAAAATTAGAGAAATCTCATTTAATGTACTGACATTCAGATACTCACTTCCTGGATCATCACACAAATGTAAGACTATTTGATTGGACACAAAATGATATGAGGTCTCAACAACATCATAAGCATTGAAGAGTTTGGACTTTTCTGATGGTTCATGAACCTCTTGAGCCATTTGTGCTCTATATTCTGGAAGTTCCTAAAATAGAACAAGAAAAGATGGGGAACTAGAATAATTGTGAACCAAGAATTTGATTAGACATTTTTTCAATCTAAACTTTGATTATTTTTATTATTATATAATATTCAAAACTATTTCATTCATGATTAGAACTGATTTTATTAGTTTCACAGAAAAAAATGTGTATCCTGAAAGTATGATTGAAGAGTTTTTTGGCTATATATACCTCTAATTTTCTTGCTGCCTTCACTAGCCTAGTCAATCTAGTAGCTTTCTCAACTAAATCTGAAAGTGAGTCAAGAAAATGAACCACAGCTCTGAGTTGTGAATCAGTCAATACCCATAAAAGGTCATCTAATATTATTGCCAGTCTTGATCCCAAAATAAAACAATCTAGAAAAAAGAAACATGCCAAAATATGAATAGGTAGGTACCACCTGAAACCCACCTGATAGTCTCTTCTTTATCACAATTCTACATCTAGCTTGATTTGTCAGTAGTCTCAGGGGTGTCAGGTTTTCATCCTTTGTAGATTTTGCCTCTATCCTAACTGTCTGCCACTCTAATTCCTTGAATATAAGTACCTGCCCTTTTTCTTGGTTCTTTAATCTAGTCATTCTTAAATCTGATTTTGTGAATTTAGGAGATTTTGATTCCACTCTTATTCTAGTGATCTGCAAGAAATTTTGTATACAAAGTGCATGCACACTAACAGAATTAATAATTTTCACAATAGGTACCTATATTATATTGACTGAGAAAAAATACTTTGTAATTCACCAACCTGTATTGTAGCCACAAATGCTGGACTATTGAATACAATATACACATTGTTAACACACACAGTGATTCCATCAATAACTTTTTGAATAAAACTATATTTCCCAGGAGTATATGATGCACCAGTTGTTGGTGCTTTGGATGTTCTGAGTTCTTCACATGTCTCAAGGGTTATGTGAATTTCATCCAAATTCTGCACATGGAATTCAAATAAAAATGTTACACAAAAACCTGTCCATTCTCTTGCTTCTTGGTTCAGCTTGTGCAAAGAACTTTTTTCTAATAAAAACATTTTCAACTTACCAAACATATTGGAACACTTTTCAATTTCGTCCATGGTATGCCAAATGTTACCCTATTGCACCAAGCTTTGGTGAGCCTTAGCCAAGTAGGCAATTCTAATAACTCAGTCAAGACATTTTCATCTAGTTCAAGGTTTGATAGTTCACCTTCTCCCTTGAAAGTACTCAAATTTATCTTATCAGCGGATAAATTTTTAGTGAATCTGAAAATCCAAGAATATCATTTACTAGATTTTTTATAATAAAGTTGGCTTTGGTGGTTCCAGAAAAAATTGTTTTACCTGGACAAATGCTTCAACAGCTGATTCTTAATGATAGATACCATTTCAATATTGAAATTATATTATATATTCTACTTTTGTTCTCACAATTTGATATCTAGGATTCAACAAAAAATGCAGAAACCATAACTCCCCACAGAGATTGACTTATCTCTGCTCATCATAACCCCTGATCTGATCCCCTATTTTTTATTTTTTTGCCCAACTCACAGCTGATACGATGACGATGACACTGACAGCAGTGACAGCACTGACACTTGTTAATCAACAAACTCAGTGATGCCAGTTCATAACCTTATCTGAAGATTACAGAAACTTTTTGAATATCATTAGGAGCAACAGAAGAAAATCAAGATAGAAGGAAAATCCAGAGTACCCTTATTGAATAATTAACAAGAACATGTCTGAGCCTGAACTTAGCCAGCACCAAGATAGGATGAATTTGGGGATTTGTCCTAGTATCATTTCAAACACAATCTTCAATTTCAGACCAGTATTATACTAGGGAGTATTGAATGAGAATGAATGAATTCAAAAGGAAAAAATTTATTTATTCTATAATTTAGGTTGATTCAATGTTATATTCATTTTTCCTCCAAATGTTTATCTCTTGCTACCACAGCTTCATCAAATTTAACCATATATGTTGTTCCTTTATGCCAATGTGCAGTAACTTTGGCAGGCTGAAACGAATTTATTTATTTGATCAGCTCAAATTGAAATCATCTCAGTTTTGATTGCAATACTTACAAATCCAGTTCCTGTTAATACTGCTTCAACAATACCAGCAATAAACACAGCACAGTTCAAACTACTCTTGTCACGTGGTACTGAGATATACTTATTGACTAGGGGGTCTTTCTCCATCAGATAATATGTGTTTTCATCATCATTAGAGTGTTCCAGTTTATCAGCCTCTCTACCAAATAGTGTCTGAAAAGTAAAATAAAAAAATGTAGTTAATGCTATTAGCAATATACATATACTACATACTTTCCATAATGTAGACTTGACAAAAAGAAGGATATTGAGTAGTTTGATTTCCCTTTTTCCTCCCCTTTCTCTCACAAAGTAAAGATCAATTAGCTTAACACCAACTTTCCTGCCAAGTTCATGTAACCTACAATAAAAACAAATAATATATTTTTGGATGCTCAACGTGGTTGTTCTTTAAGGGCGAGCATACCTATTCTGGAGTTCAGGGACAGTCTGTGATTTGTTCTGACAATATTGCACTATTTCTGAAAACAGCAGGGCAAAACAATTCAATGATACTTCTCCTTTACCTTTACTGAGAGGTTTGTCTAATATGCTTGTCTTATTAGTTCTTCCTGACAAACTCATATTTCCTAATCTTGGAAATTAGAATTATTCATATATTATTTGAAAATTAATCAGGATTTGATTGATTAGTAGACTAGTAAATAGTAAATATTTGTTGTCAAAATTTCAAATTTGACTGTTATTTGACGGATTTGACATGACTGGACATGAATCTGACATTGAAGGCCTGTTCGGTTGTGCTTGCTCTACCCGCCGAACTTATTCTTTTTCTATTACTTTCTCTGTTTACATCATGCCATGAAAAGAGACAACTATGAAAAAAAAAACACCTTCAGCAAGTTCAGCTTTACAAACGAACAGGTCTTGAAGAACCTTGTTCGGAACGAACGTTGAAAGTCATAGACAAAAATCAAATTTAGCAGGTAGAGCAAATACAAACGAACAGGCTCAAATTGTCATATTGTTCCAAGGTTATTATTCTACTAACCTTGATACTGTCCTTTTTTAAATACATGAAATAAACAAAGAACACAAGATAGAGCCAAAAAGTTCGATCGATGACAGGTGAAATTTGATGGATCGATGAAAATATTTTATTTTTCCATTTCCTTTTCTTGTGGAGTTGTGGTTGTGGAGCTGTGGAGGTGCATTTTCAATTTTCATAATTTCAATGTAGATTGTTTGTGATAAGGTTGATAAGAAAGATTATAATTTCTTTTCTAGAATTTAAATGCAATGCAAGTGTATTCAATGAATTTTCTATCTGGTATATTTATCATAATTACCATTATTTATATTTTAAAATCGATTTGAAAGATTCGAGGTTGTACATATTCAAAGTATTTATTGGAAATATATTAGTGAATAATTTCGAGTAGAATACGAAGTATAACATACTAGTACCTACTACAGTGAACATGGCAGTGAGATATAATCTTATAAAATAATAATTTCCATAGCCCATTTAAGAACTATAAAATCTATAAATTTGATAAATCATATCAGTGAGGTAGCATAGGTTAGATTATTGGGGATGGAGCCCCCTGCTGTGGAGGAGACCGTCTCACAAAAAGACAATGGAGTTGAAGATGAGGAGGATGCTCAGGAGGATGATATTGATGAGGAAGATGTACCTGGGGATTTTTTCGACGATTTCCTGAAAGAGGATTTCATGGCTGGGCTAGACATTGTAGATGAAGATGAAGGAGAAGAAGACAAATCTAAAAAAAATGCAACTGCAGGACAAAATGTGGATCCCAAAAAGGTGAAAAAAAAGAAAAGTCCCCCAAAGGAAAAACGGATCAAGCTCAAGAAAGGTAAAAAGAAGTTAGATGAAAAGCAGGATAAAAAGGTTCATAAGAAGTCAAAAGAACGTTCCATAAACGTTGATGAATTTGACATTCGGAGAGACCCTAAAAAAACTAAAAGAGACATTGAACGTGACAAGGCAAGATGTGAGAAAGACAAAGAAAAAAAAATCATAACAGAGAAGCTAAAACTAGTTGAGACAGGTTTGGTGCCACCAGGAATGGAAATGGAAACAGATCCGGAAGAGATCAAGAAAAAAGAAAAAGCCAGCCGTAAAGATAGCAGCTCTCGTCAAAAAAGCTTCAGTATCAGTTTGAGCCCCCCCAAACGCAGTAGGAGCAAGAACAAGGTCAACCCCAGTCCCAGGCAAAGATTGCCTAGGAGCCCCATCAGAAGAAGCCCAGTCATCAGGAGGCCTTCCCCAAGAAGGAGTCCTAGAAGATCACCACCCAGACGCAGCCCTAGGAGAAGTCCCCCTCGGCGATCTCGGAGCCCTGTTAGAGCTGCAGTGCGTCGTAGTGTGAGCCCCTATTACAGAGGAAGACGTCCAAGGCATTCACCTGTTTACTCTAGGCACAGTCCGAACCGTGATTTCTTCCCTAGACGTAGGAGGAGTAGGTCAGGATCAAGGTCACCCAAAAGGAGAAGGGATGAGAAGAAATCGTTCTTGCAAGAAATAGCAGAGAAACTGAATGAGACAAGGCATCCGGCAAACATGATCCAGCATTTACAGCCGCTACCAACAGAAATTTACCACCAACCCATGCCAGTACTGAGAGCACCTGCTCCTGTTCCTGCTCCCGCTCCTGTGCCCCCACCTATTGTACCCCAACAGTACACACTACCCCAACCCCAACAGCCCCCAATGCAACAACAGTATGATCCTTATGATCAGAACTTTTTCATTGGGGCATCTCAGCAGGGACATATGCAATCTCAACCTGTGCAGAATGTGGGGTTACAACAACCTCACCCTGTACAAAATTTGGGGCAACAACAGCCCCGCCCCATCCAAAATGTGGGGCAACAGCCCCGTCCTATGCAAAATGTGGGTCCTAGGCCGCCCCACCCTGTACAGCAGCCGCCATTGCCGTCTCCTACTTTGCAGAAGCCAAGTGTAGGTTCACAGTTGAATCCATTCCAGCAGGGTCATCAGCAAAAGAACAATTTAGCTGGGCCTCCCAAGAAGATTGAGACCAAAGAGGATATTACCAAGGTAATGTATATGAATATAAGCACTGTTGGTTTTGGAGTCACTCATATCTCCATGAGCCCTAAATTAATGGCAGGATAAAAACTCCAATATTCAGTCTACCTATTTTACTCACCCGGCGTTCTGAAACTTGTGCCAATATTCAATGATCTAATCTCCGACCGTGGGTCCATGACACCACAAGTGTCCATAGGATATGTTCGTATGCCCTTTCAGGGATATTCTTAGACAGCCCGGGGAACCGGGAAAATGTGCCTCCGAGCGTCTATGACCAGTCCTTGCACCTGCTATGACCTCTACTTCCGGTTGAAAAAAGGGTTAAGCATTCGAAGAACAAGGAAGCTCGGTCACGTGGATATATTATCCTATTTTGCAAAAATAACCGGGCGCTAGCCGGTTTGCATACGTCTAGGTCGCTACCGGAAGGAGGCATACGAACCGGAAGTGGCAATTTTCCACTGGCGATAGGCGATAATCGAGGAAAGTATGCCCTTTGGTGGAACGACTCTTTTCGACCCATTAACAGAGAGGGCACCTCGATTTATGCCAACATCAACTGACCGGACTAACCTATAATAATAATAATAATTAAGGAGCTTTATTGGATACCCAAAAGGCTACCGACCGAGGTCCTCCAGCCTGTGTTACAAAGTGATTATACATTGAGTTCAAATTCATCATTATTGTATGTACAAGATATATGGAATTATTGAATTTGCTAGTGTAAAAAAAAGAAAAGTCTATTGTGAGGCAAGAATTTTGAAGGAATGTCAGTCTTCTGAATTGATTAAGCATTCCAATAGTGTGTTTTCCGGAAACTTCCGTCTTGGGTTCACTGTTGGATCTCTCTGTAAACACTGGAATTGGATAATTTGGAGATTGGATTGGATTCGTTTTTGGAAAACTTCAATGTCAGCTTCTTCAGTCTCTCAGAAATTGGTTGCACCCTGGTCAGCCGATATAGAAGTTCGTTTGATGGATGGTGAAGGGGATTTTGAGGGTACCGGATTTTGGTAATGGCTCTCAGGCTAGCTCTTTCTGCTACTTCCAAATTGTTCAGTGCCGTCTTCCTCGTGTTTATGTATATTGGGTGAGCATACTCAAGAATTGGGCGGCAAATGGTTTTGTAAATATGTGCTGCAGTTCTTTTGCTAATTCCTTTATTCTTGTAAGTTAGGCTTCGAAAATGTTTAGCTCTTGTGATGCACTTTTTTTTCATCAACTGGGTATGATGGTTAAAGTTTAGTTTTCGATTTAAGTGCACTCCCGGATATTTAACTAATGCTTGTTCACAGTTACCGTGGGTGAATCATCTGATATTTTTTTATTGAAGAGTATCAGTTGAAATTTTTCTGGATTTGGTTTTAGCCTCCACTTGTCACACCATCTCATAGTGTTCCGAATTGCGTTTTGTAACTCTTCAACTGCTTTTTCAAGTGATTTATGATGACTTAATACTTATAATGGCTGTATCATCAGCAAATTGTATGCCATAGATGAATGTGCTTTGATTTTGTAGATTTTGATTGTTCCAATTGAAACCAACCTATAAATAGTCGATAATTTATGTTCGTATGCCAATCTGGCGCTGATAGACTAGACATTTCAATGAATAAAAGCTGGTTTGCATACGCTCAGGTCACTACCGGAAGGCGGCATACGAGGCGGAAATGCTAATTTTGCACTAAGATTTCTCAGGCATAAATTTGATTAATGTGGTTGTTTTTTCATATGGAAAAGGTGGAAAATTATATTTTTATTAAATGAAAATGACATTCAATTTATGAAAACGGAATTATATTTGTTCACGATCATCTGTAATTTTTTCGTGGAACTGTTATTCTGCATCGTCATCGGTATCATCTATGTCTGTGCCATCATAATCCCCTTCATCCTCGCTTTCGGTGTCTGAACTTTCAGGCGATTCCATACAGTCTCCATCATTTGCCAAATTCTCAGAAAGTTCTTCTATACTCAGCTGCAGCGGTTTTCGTGGGCCTGTTACAGAAGATAATTTTCTTATTTTTCTTGCGTGATTTTTCGATTTACCCCTGCATTCTCGTGGATAATAATATCATTCACTTCTGCGGGAAGGGTGGCTCCAAGGTACCAATGGAAATCATAGTCTTCATTTTCCAAAATCCAGCCCCACTCACGTGGCTCAAGATCAGTTGGCACCGCTCCACAACTGGGAAATAAAAACAGCCCGCCTGAACTGCTGTTCTAGTTCAGCTTCACAAGGCGGCAGCTGTGAGGGGTCGTACATGAATAAAGTTTTCAGCAACTTCTCGAAGTTTTTTTTCGGCGTTTTTCTTCGCGGCGAAAATAGCTATTCGTGTCTTTTTCACCGAAAAAATGTTTTTTATTTTTTTTATAATGTTGGCACTGCGCAAATTGTATGCAAACCTTTATTTGAGATATACTTTCACTTCTACCATTGTTGATCTAAATGATTACCTAGTAGGCGACCTAGTGCGAGGAGGAAATAGCTCCTGCCTGCTAACTACCTAACTAGGTTGACGATAGTGCTCCTAATAACCGTGGTCACAATTTCAAAATTTCCTCAATTATCGACTATTTATAGGTTAGTCCGGTCAGTTGATGTTGGCATAAATCGAGATGCCCTCTCCGAAATCGTATGCAAAGGTCGGAATAGTGGTTAATGGGTCGAAAGGAGTCGTTCCACCAAAGGGCATACTTTCCTGGATTATCGTCAGTGGAAAATTGTCACTTCCGGTTCGTATGCCTCCTTCCGGTAGCGACCTAGACGTATGCAAACCGGCTGGCGCCCGGTAATTTTTGCAAGATGAAAGAAATTCCCGGGCTTCCTCGTTCGTCGAATGCTTAACCCTTTTTTCAACCGGAAGTAGAGGTCATAGCAGGTGCAAGGGCTGGTCATAGACGCTCGGAGGCACTTTTTCCCCGGTTCCCCGGGCTGTCTGAGTATATCCCTAAAAGGGCATATGCTATCGACACTTGTGTGATGGGCCCACGCCTAACATTTTAGACTTTGATAATAAAAATGTTCCCAATCATATTTGGTCCATAACTGCCAGAGAAAACTCACCTTCCTATTTTTGAGTCACTGATAGAAATGTAATATTTGGTTATACACATTTCTTATGATTCACTTGCCTCATTTTTTCAGTTGTTCCATGATAAGAAGATTTCTTTAACAGAGTTTTTGGCCATCACTGCAAAGCCTGAAGGTATGTATATTTTTTTCTTTCCTTTTTTTTCTGGAATCTGGAAACTTTTCATGTTGAATTTGATAACTTACTGTTTTTATGAGATTGGAATTTCTTATATATCCTTCAGTAATATAAGATTCAATTTGTTCTATGAATAATTACATAATAATTAAATTATAACCTTTCTCTGAACAAAAACGAGTATTTCCGTTAATAATGATAAGAATAATAATAATGATAATATTAGTTGTAATTATAAAAAAATGATAAAATCAATATCAATGTTACAAAGTTTCAAAGATAATCAAGGAGGTAGTATACATTCAATAATGATGCAATGATAATAAAAATAAATGAAAGTAGTTCAAAATAGGAGCCATAAGAGCCATTGGCATTTCACCAATGTTGTTGATTTTGAACACTAATTCAAATTGATTTCCAGAATGAATTCCCATAATATTCTTCCTGAACTCCCACAATATTCTTCCGGAACTCCCACAATGCCCCTAATTCGCCTCAAATTCTCACATTGCCCCAATTTCTACTAAACACTTGAGATTGAATTTCCGCAGTTCCCAATAAATTCCTATCACTCGTACACCAAAATTCCCAACTGAAATTCCCTTTTGAGCCATATGAATAAATCATTTATAATAATAATAGGCATTAGAAATTTTATATACTCAATACAATCCAAGCCGATTGTAGTACTTGACTTGGCGTCTTTTAGAGAATAATAATTGTTCCATCCAAAGAAATATAAGAAGTACCTACCAAACTCTTCTTTGATTCATTGATATTCTTTCTGTACAGTTTACGGAGCCAGTCCAGCACATATTCAAGAAAAAATTAAGGGTAAGCTAAACTTTTCTATATACTTAAATATATTTACATTTTTCAGTGAATTGTTGTGCGGCACCAAAATAAACCTACCGATTTTTTTATGTTTCATTTCGTTCGCCCTCACAAACAAAAACCCACACATAACCTACGAACAATTCACGTGTATAATAATTGTAATGGATTCCAGTAATAACACGATGTCAAGAAGCGATAAAAATATTGGGAAATAGTGAAAAGAAATTTTCCGGACCGTTGGTAATAAGCAAAAGCGACACTGGCAAGCCGAAGACCAACGCCGAAGACAAGTTCCGCTCCCCCCTGATACGCTTCAACCAGCTCAAGATCCCCTTCACGGACGTCCCCAAAAAGGACCAGCAGGAATCCGCGTTCACCAGCTACATCAACCACCTGCTGAAGAGCATCGGTCTCATGAACGAAGTCGTCGTGGAAATCGAGGACCAAGAAGACAAAGCGCATGCTCCGCCAGAAGCCTTCCCCCCTCCCGCGCCCCACATCTCCGCCGACAGAAAGCAGCAACAGCAAAAGCTGCTAGAATCCCCGAAACGCAGGCCTGCGCTAATCGGCGCGAACTCCATGTCGAAGTTCGCGCAGACCGAGCCGGTGAAGTGCGTGGATTGCGAGAAGCGCAGTCGCGTGACCTTCAAGTCAGTGGGTACGCAGTGCGGCGGCGAGGGGGCTTCCTTCTCCGTCGCCACGCAAGTCAAAGAGGACGATTTTTACGTGAAGATCCCCAAGAACCAGTCGCTGGCTGCGCTGACGCCTGCGCAGCTGCTGGCCAAGTCGGCGGCGCCGAAGTTCAATAGGAACGTGGAGGTGGACGATTTCGATTTGTTGTTGCCCCCGAAGAACCCCCACACATGGCAGTACCAGGCCGGGGTGCAGTACCAGGCTGGGGCGCAGTCGCGGTTCGAGCAGCATCAGGCGGGGTACCAGCAAGGGGGCAGGGGAAGGGGTATGATGGGCAAGCCTCCGATGGACGATAGGGATAGATTCGGCTTTGGTAATAATTATTATTGAAGTGGATAGTTTTCGATGTAGTTTGGATTTTTTGTTGGATATATTTTTGTTGATGGCATTTTATATTCTTGATAATTATTGTAATGGAGGTTAGATTGTATAATTAGTTTGGATATGCTGATGATCCATGAGAGATCCACAAGTGGTGGACTCTGGTTTGGTTGAATGAATAGGTTACATGATTGTATTCATACAATGTATCATAAGGAATACAAATAAAGTTGTTTTAATGGTATTGTGTTATTTGTAACCAATATGCAGTGTTGTTTTACTATCCCACATTGTTTTATCTAAATCAGTGTTAATCTTCTTAAATCAATAGACCGCTCTGACCATAAAAAAACATGAATAAATGGGCCTTGGAATATTACATTTTGGGCGAATTACTTCATATGTAATTAAGAAGTGTACCTTTGTATATTTTGTTTATAAAATGTTAAAGACATGTTCTTTACTAACTGAGATGATGAGAAAATGTTTGTAAGTAGGTAATTATTGTGGAATCATTTTATGTTGTCTATAATTATTATTGTAAAATTATGAATCTGATTTCCTTCCGATTTGTAATGAGACCGAAATAGCAGTAGAGTTAGTGCCTTCACCTATGCCTATGATCCTAACCCAGTCCCAACTTTCAATATTAGTATACCTACATATTCTGTTTAAAAGGTTTGTATTTTTAGATACCAGTACTGTATTAACAATTTTAATCCCTTGAGACTATTGTAACAAAACAATAACCTGATTAGAAACCTGGTTAGCTTGGTAGTTTTTTTTAATAAAATATTTCTTGAAACTAAAATACAGTGTATGTACCTAAATTTGTTTAGAGTTTCTTATTTTTCATAGTTTATATAATAATATAAGGACTACTAGCATATTTTAGTATCATCGTTGACTTTTGCATCATTTATTGTTAATCAATATGTTTATTATCATTTCTATCTATAGTAGTATGCTGTTGCTGTGTATTTTTTATTGAAATATCTTGATAGTGATTCGCCCACAGCCGTCTTTCACCACATGATTATGATATTTATGGATTTAATTCACACAATAAAATATATGTTTTTATATGTTTTTCACTGAGAGATCACAAGGTAAATAACTTTTCGGAATTTTTAATAGAGAATATTCAACCAACACTAAACTTCCTTATATCATGATAAGTTTCCGTTGGGTTAATTACAGTTTCATCATTTGAATTAATGGGCTTATATCACAAAATTTTATTTCATAATTCGATGGAAATCACCCAAACTAGCTCACCACCGCAAACCGTTTCTTGCTGTGAGCTCCCAACGTTTTATAAAAAATTATTGAAATCCCCGATTTCTCGGACCTCTGAAAACTAGGCGATGATGTGACGTCAAAACCCTAATACTGAAACAAGACTATTCCAGACAGAGATGAATGATACATGATTTCTGACAGAGTGAATTAGCGCGAGATCACAGTTGAAAGAATTAATATATCAGTTGCCTCAGTCTCCATCAGGCGTTTGGTATTTTCTCTTAACTATGGCGAGATGAGGTTTCAACGTCATAAGAGGGTCCGTTTTCAGAAGGTACTATTATTTATGTCTAAAAATTGAACATTCCAGTTAATTTTTTGATGGAATTATGTGGTCAATTATTATTTATGTATAAAAGGATCATTAAACATGGTTTGAGTTGAAAGTTCTACTAAGGTGTATATGCCCATTGTTTTATGATGTATGCTGCTAACAGGAAATAATAGACAATACCGTTTCAAATTACTTAGCAGAAAAAATATGTTCCTCTTCTTGAGATATCCAGTTGGTCTTTAAGAGTTCCATTAAGTTCTGAAAATAATCAGTGTACCTATACCTGCAGGAAAGTAGTCCCAACATATTCCAGGCTACATTTTGAATTTGGCACATCTTTTACTGGATTGAAGAACTATAATAGTAAATCTATGTGAAAGTGAAATAAAATGAGTGGTGTGTGTTCATTACTTTTTGTCACTGAGTTTACAATACACCTTTATTGAACACTAAACAAATAATAATCAAATATTGAAAAACTATGCTTTTTGTTTCATCAATTGCATTTTATATTTTCTTGTAATTATTAAAAATTTTCATATGTAAAAAATAAAGAAGTATTATTCACCTAAAATATCATCTAACCATAATTCTAGATCATCATTTGAGTTTACAGGTTTCTTCTGGATGTCTGGTACAATAATATCATTGTCACTACTAAGGAATATTTCTACTTGAGTATCCAGCAGATCTTTGCTGCTATATTCTTCTACTGTATCAACTATTTGGCTGAATTCATCTTGCACTGCATTGATTTCATCATCTTCAATTGGATCACACTTTGGTTCATATTTTCCCTTAACTTTCCTAGAATTCTCTTCTGCCTCAGTTTTCATTACCAATATTTGTTGTTCCTAAAGACACTCATTGTTATCAAAATTGTTCTTTTGTTAATCTGTGGTACAGGGTGATTGTTTATTTCTGTAAGACCAATATTAACTGAGATAGCTAATAAGTGAAACATAAACAATCACCCAGTACATGACTCACAGAAAAAATATCTTCAGGTATGTTGAGTCTGGCATAAAATGGTATTGTTAGAATATTTTCCTGAAGTTTCTTGAGGTCCAAATGGAATAGCTCCTTGTTATTTTCAATTTCAACCTCCTCTGCTAGTGCTTTATCACTCTTGAATTGAAAATGGTTTCCTTGACCTATAGGAGCTGCTGCAAGTGTGGAGAAGTCTTTTCTATGTGTGGAGATGAAATCTTCATCTCTGCCTTCAAGTTCATACCTGTCCCAGTTTGAATCTAAAGCTGGCGTTGATTTCGTGGGTACAGATTCGACTTTTTTTATGGAATTTCCTTTATATTTTTGCTTGTTTTTTATATGCTTGAGTCCTCTGAACATATACTGATTATTTTAACAAATTTTAAAGGAAAAATTATCGGAAATCTCACCTACTTTTGTCCTTTTCCATGTTTTTCTTATATCGAGTATTGTTATCGCGTAATATATCAATCAACGCTTTTTCTGTTTTTAGTTTCACATCATTAATAAATATAATATCAAGAAAAACTAAAAAATTATAACCTCAATTAATTAGTGCAACTGACGTTACCGTACTTACCGATGATTTTTTTTTGTTGGTGACTGCTGACGTTTCATTTGTGTTTTGTGAGTGGAATTGTTCTGAGGATTATGACTTTTGTCACTTGACTTGACGTTTTGTGTTCTGTAGTACAATCACATTTTTTTATTTATTTCATTATTTTCTGTCATTTTTTGGAGAAGGAAAGGAAAGGAAGTTGGATGGTGGATTTTATTTTGGTCGTATCAGGTCGTATCTAGTTTTCGCGTGTTCCAATTTACGTTTCTGGCTATTTTTTTGCCTTTTCTGTTTAATGTGAATGTTCATTATCACGAAATCAGGGTATGATTACTTTTGTACAATGCTTTGTATACTTGTAATATCTTGTAATGATGATAATTATTGCTTTGCATGCATATTACGTAGTGAGAAGTGGAGATACCTATCAGCATTTTTACCAGCCATGCTATTTTCCATATTATTCTTAACGAGATATGTATTTCTTTTCAGATACAAATAATTCCAGGAAATTTTATTTGGATTCCTGCAATTTAATGATCTATTGATTGAGTGTCCCTTGGAAGCGAATTTCTGGTCATTACGAAGTTCTCGTCCAGAAGGGCGTTAATTACTTATATGACTTTAGTAAGATTCAAAGGTAAGTCAATTATTTCTTCCACAGCTATTTTCCTGTAGCAGAGATGTTGAATAGCAAGTATTAAGGAATACTATTGAAAGGTATATAAATTCTGTGAAAACTGCCAGATAAATCAAGGTCATAATATCCAGTTTCTTCCATATTGATGTCTCATTGGAATTCCAATTCATTTATCTACCTGAATCCTGAATCTGCTCTAGGGTCACTACTATTTTTTCTTGTTGTTCATTTGAATTTTTCAGAAATTCACTGCACAATACATAATACAAATTAGAACAAACAACTAACAACATACCTTCCTCATAAAAATGCGTGCCATAATCCATGATAAATGATTGTGTGGAGTGCTAGCTAGAGTATAGGTCCATGTAGGTGCTTTATTAAAATAAAACATGCCATGAACAGAAACAACTATAGGGACAAAATCAATTTCAGCAAGTTCAGCAATACAAACGGGTCTATAAAAAGTAAAAACCTATGTCAATAAAGTACCTATTTACCTTGGATACTACACCTTGATGTAAAAATTGATTGTAGAAACATATTTTGTTAAAATATCTTTTGTAAAATCCATAGTTTTTGATACACATTATGTTGAAAATATATTAAAATTAATTTCAGGTCTCAAAATATGTTTCATGATTTTGTTCTTTTTTTTATCATGATCTTAGTGACATACTTACTATACCTGGGAATTCCCAAAGAAATTCTGGCTCTAGCCTTGCTCTAGTACATAATATGCTCTTGTGATTAGGGTCCCTTGATGGAAATTGAGGTAAAAGTCACCTTAACAGGGTAAGGACAGATCCTCGTCTCCTCTCACTCTAAAGTGTTTGTGAAACAGTTATATAGGTCCATCCTTATTCAATTCTGGGGATAAACACTAGATTTTTGGCATTAGTTGTTTTTTAGGTTATATTGAGGTCACTGGCGTATCATACGTAATTTCCATATGGAATTCCTGATTCAACTATACCAAGACACAGATTAACGGGTTTACCACTCCAGCATAATCTTTGCGAGGTAGGGAACAGATAAATTGTACCGAAAGCTTAATATATTTCACCAAAAGAGACTGTTCTTAGACTGTATACCAGGTTTGCCTGAATTGACTGAATGAATTCTGATTTCAAGCTGAGCAGTAGTTTATCTATGAGTTAAATGAGCAGATAGCCTTATTATGATTGAGAAATGGTGGAATCTCGATGTGGGTATCTAAACTAATGTACTCATGTCATGTGTGCTAAATATATTTTCGGAAATCCAACTCTGAGAAGAATCTATGGAGTTACTAATATCACACTATGTATAAAACTCCGTCTAGGACGAAAAGTAGGCTGATAAAAAGTAAAATGTGTAGGAAAATAAAGAATAGAATATTCCTTACCTGATTTTTCCGTCTCCCTTGAATAACAAGTCATTTTCGAATAATTTTTTGATGAAAGTAACGAAAGACGAGATAATTATAATCTCCGACCCACGAAATCCCCAGATGCCAATTTTGATTTTTGAATAGAATCGGATTATAATTACAAAATTCGTTCGCCATATTGGATACACTATCTTGAATTTCCCAATTTTGACAAAAAATCAAAGTTCAACCACGAGAACCCCCAGATACCAATCTTAAATGGAATCAGATCATAATTTGAAATTTCTTTCGGTATACCTATATTGGATTCGTAATCTTGAATTTTGCAAGTATGACAAAACAATCATTATCTCAAACCCCGGAAAACCCCAGATACCTTCCAATTTTGAATTCGTTCGCCATATGATATTCCTTAACAAGTAAATACCCTGTACATACCTATTATTAAAATTTTGAATGATTTTCTGTAGCGCCCATGGATGTGACATGACAGCAATGTCAGGGATACCAGTAGACAAAACTAAAGTCTCTAGATCATTAAAAAAGAATGCAGCTATGATCTGTCCGTACCCTGTTAAGATGACTTTAACGTCAATTTCCATCAAGGGACCCTACTTGTGATTTACTTGGCCAATATGTTCCATGACTACTGTCATCAAAAAAAAAAAAAACAATGAATCTCTGGCTCCTGCAGTTTCCCAATGATTCTTTCCATGGCAGTGATTTCTCAATTATTCCATGGTAGTTTCCAATGGTTACATGCACGTTACATGGGTGCTCTTAGGCATTTCGCTGAAGAATTTTGATGTACACTCAAGGAATTGCCGAGGAATTGCGAGGCATTGAGAGGCATTACAAGGAATTATGAGGAATTGTGAGGAATTGTGAGAAATTATGAGGAATTGTGAGGTATTGTGTGAATTTGCCAGGAATTTTTGGCATTTCAGTAGGAATAGCTATGCCTGAAGACCTCGATTACGTCACATCTCGCCTATTGTCAGTTCTTGCACGTAACCCATGAACATTTATCCTAATGCGTGATCATTAACGATCATTAACCACTTTGCTACTGAAAATAGTGGAGATGAGATGTTCGTCATTTTTCAATCTATTACTATTTACTGTAATCTATTACAATTTCACGTCGCAGTTTAGTACATTTTATTGTATTCCTCATCGCAACCCTGTAATTTGGTTGCGCGCATGCCGATCGATATACTCCACAGAGCCATTAGAGCGCCTGTCCCCCTGGTCCTATCGATCGAATTCCCGTTCGTTCTTCCTCCTGGTGGTGCGGCAGGGCAGTGTATTCTGCATTTCCTTTCGTAGAAGTTGTCCCCCGCCCAACATAAGTCCCGTCAAGAAAGTGGTATCGAAGGGGCGCGGAGCCTCCTCTATGCCCATGCTGCCGACTGATTCGCGGCGACATGCGACATACTGTACGTATTCTGATTTTTATATGGGGGTTTCCAGGGGTCAACCACTATGTCCAATATATCGCACGTTGAGAACAATATAGTACCGTCGAATAGCAAATTTCGAGCTCTACATTTCTAGAATATCGTGACATCTCTAGGTCCAATAGCTGTTGCGTGACATCGCTGGTCAAGTTATTGCACTAGAGGAGAAGTAGGTAAGGTACTACAGCCGAGCAAGAAAGTGACTTTTTGCGTTGTCACCTAAACTTCACAGGATACGCCTCGTATTCTGACTGAGGAAATTTTTATGATGAATAATGTGACAAGTCATTAAGTCACCTTATTGATTGAACACAATTTCATCATTAATGAAATAATGAATTAAATGCAACAAATTTTTGAGTTGTAATGTTAACAATATGGAATATTTCGAATTGTCACATTATTGCATACGTTGCACTTAATGAAATGGAGTAGGTAATACGAGCTTTTGCAGAAAGAATAGCAAGTTGGGTCCCTTGATGCAAACTGACGTCGTCTGACGTATTTGTCATCTTAACAGGGTACGGATAGATCCTCGTCTCCTCTCACTCTTAAGTGTTTGTGAAACAGTTATATCGTTGATTGAGGTATTAATACCTCAATCAACGTCAGAACTCTTTCAAATATGTCGAAATATGTGAAAATAGCGGCGCCGAGTGGACCCACACCGCACCCACAATTTTGTTTTTCGGTTATTTTCTACAATTAACCAGAAGTATTGAAATTTCTTGTCAGGAACTCCAGAACTCTATCGTATCTACCCAGAATTCCGATAATAATTCAGTTTGATCGATTTTTGAACGATTTTCGAAAAAATGTCATGACAGTTATTGCAAATCCAGATATATTCGCTATATCGCTACCTATGACATTACATTTTTTTTTTGGCAGTGGTCACTGAAACTCAATATTGTACCCCCTCTCCCTATCCTCTAGGTACGCACGATATTCCACGAACATTATAGGAATTTCCTCTCGTGCGCTTCAAAAGATAAAAAAAATTGACAAGCTCTACTTCCGAAAATCATTCTTGAAATTTATCAAACTGTTAGTTTTGAAAACCTATATTTTGAGAAATACAGAAGATGAATATTTTGGGTGCTGTATTTTTGGAGTAGCTCTCCGGAAGGTCTTTCCAATTGTGTGGAAATATATAGAGGGGGATCTATTTTAAATTAATACACTTTTTGCTGCTCCTTTAATATCTTCCCAAATAGTGGAACCGTATCTTGTGTTTCGACCAGAAAGAAAAAACCGAGGGGTAAACCGCAGTCAAAATTCTTTACACCAAAATTCAATTTCCCAAGAAATTCCAAGGAGTTTCAAGGAATTCCAGTTGTTTGTTCACCAGAATTAAACCGCACTTCACACAAAGAATTCCAAGAAACTTCAAGGAAAT